TGGCCCAGCACAGGCACCGAGTGACAGCCTGAGCCAGGATGGGACCCACCCCCAGCCCCTCCTCCCTCTCACCTGGGGGTCCAGCTCAGACCCTCCTCCCTCACACCCAGGGCTCCAGCCCCTCCTCCCTCACACCCAGGGGTCCAGCCCAGCCCCTCCTCCCTCACACCCAGGGGTCCAGCCCCTCCTCCCTTACACCCAGGGGTCCAGCCCCTCCTCCCTCACACCCAGGGGTCCAGCCCAGCCCTCCTCCCTCACACCCAGGGGTCCAGCCCCTCCTCCCTCACACCCAGGGGTCCAGCCAGCCCCTCCTCCCTCACACCCAGGGGTCCAGCCCCTCCTCCCTCACACCCAGGGGTCCAGCCCCTCCTCCCTCACACCCAGGGGTCCAGTCCAGCCTTCTTCCCTCACACCCAGGGCTCCAGCCCCTCCTCCCTCACACCCAGGGGTCCAATCCAGCCCCTCTTCCCTCACACCCAGGGGTCCAGCCCCTCCTCCCTCACACCCAGGGGTCCAGCCCAACCCTCCTCCCTCACACCCAGGGGTCCAGCCCAGCCCCTCCTCCCTCACACCCAGGGGTCCTGCACCGCCCCCCCATCCCTGGCCTCTACCACAAAAGCAGCTTTGGAGTGAGGGAGGACAAATTCCCAACACAGGGGCTGGGGTCTGAAGACTGCACGCAGCATAGCCCTGAATGGGGAAAGTCCCAGAGGCTGGGCGACACAGATGTGGTGACCAATGCCCATTCCCAGGGCCAATAACGTTCCTAGGTCTTGGCACCTGCAGTCCAAAGCTCACCTTACACTCAGACCCGGCCCAAACCCCACGACCGAGTCAAACATCCCCTAATACCAGGGCTTTCCACAGAGCCACAGCAGGCGAGGATGCAGTGGGAAGGGGCAGCAGACGCCCAGGGAGCCAAAAATGGGAAAAGAGCAAGAGTAGCAACTCCCCAAAAAGAACCCCCTCTGTTTCAGGACTGAGGGACCCTACGGGCAGGAAAACAGAGCCCTGAACCCAGGGCAGGCTGCTTCTGCTGTCGCTCCCCCTCTTCAAAGCGTCCCCCTACCTCGCAAGTTTCCCCATCAGCTCCTACATTCCCTCTCGGATCCCACGAGCACCTGCTGGCTCCCACCGGCTCCGACGGGCACCTGCTGGTCCCCATCAGCTCCTACATCCCCTCTCGGATCCCACGGGCACCTGCTGGTCCCCATCAGCTCCTACATCCCCTCTCAGCTCCCACGGGCACCCGCTGGCCCGCACCAGAGCTCATGTCCCCTCTAGGCTCCCATGGGCACCTGCTGGCTCCTGCCAGCTCCCACATCCCCTCTTGGCTCCCACGGGCATCGGCTGGCCCCCACTGGAGCCCACGTCCCCCCACCGGGTCCCACCGATGCTGTGGGTCCCAGCAGCAACGGCCCAGAACAGCTCAGGCCAGCAGAGCGAAAGACCAAGAGGGACAGGAGGTGGCCCAGAGCCGGGCCGAGCAGGTGCCTTGAGGCCGTCCAGAAAAGGGGCGCTGACGCCGGTCCGCCCACGGGCGGTGAGAGAACAAGGCACGGGGACCTCGAAGGTGACCCCGGGTGCGGGGTCTGTGAGGGCAGGGCCGAGGGGGACACCGACTAGACGCGGGGCAGGCAGAGGGCAGCGCCAGTGACCCCGAGCTGGACCCGCGGGGCGGCGGCGCTCACCTGGTGCAGGGCGCTGATGCCGTCGGCGTTGGTGGAGTCCAGCACGGCGCGGGCGGGCGGCGCGCCGGGCTCGCCCTCGGCTCCGGGGCCGGGGTCGGCGGCGCGGAGCATGAGGCGCGCCTCGTCCAGGTCGCCCCCCGCGCAGGCCGCCAGGAACTCGGCGGCGCGCTCGAAGCGCACGGTGCGGGCGCGCCGCTCGCCGGGGCCCGGCTCGGCGCCCGCCCGCGCCCCCCAGCGCCGCAGCTGCTCCTGCCGCCGCTCGCGCGCCGCCGCCGCCGCCCCGGGGCCCGCCGCCGCCGGGCCGTCCTCGCCCGACATGGCGGCACCGCCGCCCGGGCGCCCGGCGAGCGCAGACAGCGACGCCGCGAGCCCCGGCAGCCGCAGCCCTGCCTCGGCCGGCCCGCCCGCCCCGGGGGCCGCCCCGCGACGCCCCGCCGGCCTCCGGGCGCCGGCCCGTGACGTCACGACGCCGCGCCCGGGCACGCCGGGAAGTGAAGTCCACTCGCGGAGTCGCGCTCCGCGGCCACGTTCCAGGACTTTATACCGCAAGGCAAACCGGGTAAGGCGCCCAGTGGAAAAACCCCGCCGGGGACTCTGGGAAATGGAGTCATTCTACGGCAGCGTGTCGCGAGGCGTTCTGGGAAGTGTAGTCACAAAACGAATGGGCGGCGTTGACTCAGCCCACCGGGACCCTAGAGGATACGGAACTAACTTTCCTTATGACTTCCACAGACTTTACGATTATTTTCTGGAAGAGATTTCTGTTTTCAGCGTGTTCCCCGCTGGTTCTCAGGGCCGGCAATACACTGAAAGGCGGCGACAGAAAGTATTTCTGAATGAATGAATGAATGAATGAACGGATCTCCTGGATCGTGGGAAACACTAGGGCATCATAGGAAATGGAGTCCGGTCGCCATCGTCGGGCCATGCTGGGAGATGTAGTCCCCAGGGCTCGGGCTCCTGCAGGCCCGCTTGGACACCTGGGAGCAGCTGCTGTCTCTTGGCTGCAGCCCGTGAGCGTAAACTGATGGATGGAACATTCTGTCTGCTTCGTCCTGTGGCCGCCACGCGCCCTCGGAGCCTCCCCGAAGGCGTTCTGCCCTTGACTTCTCCTTGGGGACGGTTTTCACAGCTCGGACCCCCGGCGGTGGCATCCCCGTGCTTAACCTTGAAACTACGGGCCCTCCTCCGTCCTTGCCGGTCCACGCGCCTTCCTCCTGCATACCAGCCAGCCTCGTAAAGTCGCTCGCAGGAGGGGTGAACTGAGGCCACGCAGGGCACTCCCCTGGCCGTGTGCACGTGGGCCACAGCCGTGCCAGGCCTGTGCTGTCCCTACACTGTCCTTGGAAAAGTTGCTTGAACTTCAGACACCCTGGGTCCTCCCCCGACTCCAGCCCGGAAAGCTGTCTCCCCCGGCCCCCAGGAGCAGCACGGAGCTCCCTGCTGTGATGTTGGCTGGAACATCCTTACACCTTCCCTGCGCCTCCTCTCCTGTGGGACCGAAGCACAGTCTGTCCCGAACTCCTTTAAACACAGCCCCAGGGAGCGTGCTGGGAGGGCGGGGTGCGTCTCCCCGTGTGGGATCACGGGAACTGAGTGATGACCGGCAGACCGGGTGAGGGGCCCAGCGTCCTCCCCTCCTGCAATTCCAGACCCCTGCACCCTGCCAGCAAAGGCGCCGCCAGCGGCCCAGGCTCCTCGCCCGCTGGACAGGACAGGAGGTCCTCCCTTGAGTGGCTGTCCTATCTGGTCTTCTTGCCTCCTGCCATCTTTCTTCCCCGACAGCAGGTGTTTTGGCTACAACTCGGGTGGTGGACATGACCTCCCCGCCGCCCCGAGCCGCATGCCTTTATGCCTTGAGGTTGTGCAGGAGGAAACAGACCCGTCATTTCCCTCTCCCCGCAAAACCACTGAATCTGTGTTGCCGGCAGCCAAGAGGCACTAAAGGAAAGTAACCGTCCAGTGTCCCTCAGGGAAGGTCCTGGGTCGGGCCATGAGGACAGAAAGAAGCATCGACAAATGGGCAAAGTCCTGGCAGGCACCCCGGGGAGCTCCCTGGCATCTGGGGTGACTGAGGAAGCGGCCAGGCCCTGCGGACGCAGCCCGGGAAGAACTGCCCAGCTGAGCCCTGCCCCAGTTGCCACCCACGCCTGCCACTCGGGGCAGCTGTTATGCAGTGAACACAAGCTGACAGGGGCAGCCTCAGCCTGCTGAGTAGAAGGTCCCAGCTGGGCTAACGTGATGGACAGAGGAGCGGTCATCTTGGTGCTGCCCCTGTGGCCCAGGTCCCAGGCTGCCATCCCCTGCCACCCCACCTGCTGCTTGCTGTTCCCTTCCTTCCACAAGGGGACAGCTGGTTTCAGGCAGGGCTTTGGACAGCCACCAAGAACAATGCCACCACAGGCACTGAGGAGGGCGGCTCCCCTCACTGCCCTCTAGCTCCGGGCTCCCCTCACTGGTCAGTCTCCTCACTGCCCACTCGCTCCGGGCTCCCCTCACTGCCCACTCGCTCCGGGCTCCCCTCACTGCCATTCTTGTCCCTGCAGCCACCGTGGGATCATCTGGAGAGGCATGGGAGCTGGAGAAGGTGGCTGCGCGTGGTCATGGAGGCTGAGTGGCCAGGGTCACATCTCTGGCACACGGGGGTGGGCAGGGATGGGCACTTGCTGCCGCCCACCTCTGTGGCAGGCGGGAAATGGGCTCCTTCAGCCTGTGCCTCTCCTCTTTCATCAGACTGACAGGAGAGACAGAGCTGCATCTGCCGCTCCATCCCAGACGGCCAGCGATCCACGTGACCGGACCTTCGTCCCCAGCACGGGCGCACGCTGGCCAGCTGGCAGCTTTGGCTCGGTCATTCCTCCTCCAGCTTTGCTTTCTCAAGGGCCCCTGACCATGAAGTTCGGACCCAGGTTGGCGACCCTCCCCATTAGCACCCACCTCAGAAAGACCCCCCCCCATTGCGCTCCTAGCAGATTCGCCTGGCACCACCTGGGACCTGCCAGCCAGGTGTGGCCGCACGCACCTCGTGAAGCTATGTCCAGTCCCAGCAGGACACAGTGCTCCCTGCCTTTCAGCGTAGGTCTTCAACAGCAACAAAAGGGATTGCCTGCAAGGCCCATTTGCCACCACCTTTTGGAGCCCCCAGGACCAACAATCTCGCAGGACTGTGGTAATGCCCAGCGCGGCCACCTCCCCAGGCAGCTGTCCCACAGCAAGTAGGGGGCTGGACCTGGTGTTGGAGAGCCACAGGCTGCTGGGTCAGATACACACACCCCCACGCATGTCAGTGACCAAGAGGAATCACCACGTTGAAGGGAGTGTTTATTTCAAGCACAGAACAGCACGCACACTCCGACAGCCATGACGCCAGGTGCCCTGGGCTGGGCCTACTTCCAGCGGCCACCAACACGGCCCTTCCCTGCCCCCTTCCGGCTGCAAGAGAGAGAAGAGAGAGAGGCAGCGCAGGGTCAGGACCACAGGGGCCTGCACGGACCCAGAGCCGGCCTGGAGTTTGAGTGTAGATGGAGTGTGTGATTTAGGGAGGGGGGTTCACATAGCAGGGACCCAGGCGAGGGAGAGGGCCAGGCGAGGGAGAGGGCCAGGCCAGGAGGAGGCCCCGCAGTCCACGCCATGGACACCAAGGCTGGATGGGAGCCGCTGGCTCTGCAGGTGCCGAGCTGCACCCTGGTCAGCCCTCTGCCCACCCGGGACCTCTGGACCTCCCTGAGGCCCTAGACAGCAGACTGCAGAGGCCCCGCGAGGGAGAGGCAGGCAGGGGACAGGAAGCCCCACAGGCAGGGCAGGTGGGAACTGGCGGGGTCTCACTTACAACTTCTGCGCGTGGCTGATGCGGTTGTAAAGCACGTTGATCTGCAGGGGGGAGCAGGGAGAGGCTGGGGTGTCAGGAGATGGCTCCGCCCACAACCGATGACCCCGCCCACACTGGCCCTGACTCGCCACCAGCCCTGCCCATCACCGCTAGTCCCGTCCACCTCTCATGTTCCCCACCCATCGCAGGCTCCGTCTGCCATGGCCCCGCCCATCACCTCTGGTCCCACCTTCCTCCATCAGCCAGGTGCGTCCCCACCTTCGGGCTTTCTCTGGGCCCCGCCCACCCACCCGGCCCCGCCCACAGCCCCACCTAGCACCGCCCACCTCGTATTTCTGCTGCTTGAGCTTCTCCATGAGGTCGAACTTCTCGGATTCCAGTTGGTGGATCCAGTCCGACAGCTCCTGGGCCTTCTGCCTGGAGGGTGGAGCCCAAACAGGGGATTGGGGACAGCACCCGGCGGCCTCAGCCTGGCCCCGCCCACAGCCTGGCCCCGCCCACAGCTGCACAGCCCCAGGAGACCCCGCCCACCGCCTGGCCCCGCCCACAGCTGCACAGCCCCCAGGAGACCCCGCCCACAGCCTGGCCCCGCCCACTGCTGGCCTGTCCCAGAGGGACACAAGGGCAGGTCGGGCCAGCAGCCTTACTGCGGCTCCTGGAAAGCGGAGAGATGGTCGGCGCCCCCTCGGGCCCTCCTCCCGTACCCCTGTAGGAGCAGCTGGCCCAGGCAGAGAGGGGACGCCCTGGGAAGAGAGGGGTCCTGGGAGGAGAGGGGGTCCTGGGAGGAGAGGGGGTCCTGGGAGGATGGGGGTTCCTGGGAGGAGAGGGGTCCTGGGAGGAGAGGGGGTCCTGGGAGGAGAGGGGTCCTGGGAGGATGGGGGTTCCTGGGAGCAGGAGAGGGGGTCCTGGGAGCAGTGAGGGGTCTGCTTGTGGTTTCTCACACTGCGACCTAGAGTACTGCTGTACTGGGGGCGCTGCGGGGAGGCGGCGGCTGCCAGGGCGTCCGGGGCAGGGGCACGGCCGAGGGGAAGCTGACCGCGCCAGTCGCTGCACCAGCCCCCCGCCGGGCCCGCCGCCTACCGCAGCTGCTCCTCGCCCATGGCGTCGATGTGCAGCGGCTTCTTGCGCTCCGACAGGATCCGCAGCTTCGTCTCGCGCCCGGTCTGCCGCTTGCCGCGCTTCTGCTCCGCCTGCGGAGGGGGCGGCGCCGGGCTGAGGCCACGCCCCTGGGGCTGCAGCCACGCCCCGGCCGAGGCCCTGCCCCCTGCCAAGGCCCCGCCCCTGCACTGCAGCCACGCCCCCGCCTGAGGCCCCGCCCTCGAGCTGCAGCCACTTCCCTGGGATGAGGCCCGCCCCCCGAGCTGCAGCCACGCCCCTGGGCTGAGGCCCCGCCCCCGAGCTGCAGCCACTTCCCTGGGATGAGGCCCGCCCCCCGAGCTGCAGCCACGCCCCTGGGCTGAGGTTCCGCCCCGAGCTGTAGCCCCGCCCCTGGACTGAGCCCCGCCCCCAGCCGAGGCCCCGCCCCGCGCGCACCTTCACCAGGTAGCCGCCGAAGTGCGCCCCCATGTTGGACAGCACCTTCTTCTTCTTGGCGTCGTCCTCCGCCCGCTTCTTGGCCTCCTCCTCCTCCTTCCGCATCTTCTCCTCCTGAGGGGCCAGAAAGGGGGACTCCCTGGGGGCTTCCCGGGGGAAGCAAAACCCCGGGGTCCCGGGACGCGTGGAAAACGGGGTCGCCCCGGGACCAGAGGCGCAAAAGACGGCGGGCCACTCCAGCGATCCCAGGGCGTGTGGGAGCGGGGTCTCCCCCAGAGCCCCGGGGCACGCAAGGCGGGGGTCTCTCCGGGAGCGGGGGCGCACAGAAGGCGGGGTCTCTCCGGGAGCGGGGGCGCGCGAAGGCGGGGGGTCTCTCCGGGAGTGGGGGCGCACAGAAGGCGGGGGTCACCCCGGGCCCCGCCGCACGCACCGCCAGCTTGGCCTGGCGCTCACGCTCCTTCTCGGTCCGGAAGCGCTGCTGCTCGGCTCTCTCGGCCCGGCGCCGCTCCTGGAGGATGGGGGCGGTGAGGGAGGGGCCGAGGCCGCCCTGCTCCCCAGGGGGACCCCCCCCCGCTACACCTCGCACCCCAGGGAGGACCCCGCGACGCCCCGCTCCCCAGGGGGACCCCGCGACGCCCCGCTCCCCAGGGGACACCCCGCGACGCCCCGCTCCCCAGGGGGGACCCCGCGACGCCCTGCTCCCCAGGGGGGACCCCTCGACGCCCTGCTCCCCAGGGGGAGACCCCGCGACACCCCGCTCCCCAGGGGGGACCCCCGCGATGAACTCTCCCAGGGGACACCCCGCGCCGCCCCGCTCCCCAGGGGAGACTCCGCGCCGCCCCGCTCCCCAGGGGAGACCCCGCGATGCCCCGCTCCCCAGGGAGGACCCCACGACGCCCCGCTCCCCAGGGGGACTCACAATGCGCTCCTTGAGCGCCACCAGCTCCTCCTCCTCCTTCTTGCGCTGCTCGAAGTGCACGTCGATGAGCGTCTGCAGCTCCAGCAGGTCCTTCTCCATGCGCTTGCGGTGGATGTCCTGCGGGACACGGGGCGTGCCAGGTGCGGGCGAGGCCAGGCCCCTCCCGGGCAGCGCTGCCCCCCGCCGCCCTGACCGCGCAGCCCGCCACTTACGTCGAAGTCCACCCGCTCCCCTTCCGGGATCTTCGGGGGGATCAGTGGGGGCACCACGGGCCTGCTGGGGGGACGGAAGGGACGAGGAGCGCCGGGACCCCCCTCCCCGCCCCCAGGGGGCCGCCGGCTTCCATGGGGGGCTGGCTGCGCTTGACCCGCAGAGGCCAGGCGCTGGGGTACCGCACCCCACTCTGTAGGGTCTCACCTAGGTTTGGGGCGCTCCTCTTCTGGTGGGGAGAGGGGATACAAGGAGACCATTAGTGAGCCTTCTGGGGTGAGGGGAGAGGGCGTTCCCCGCGCCCCCACTGCCCCCCGAGCCCAGGGAGGACTCCGGCGTCCAGTTCTGGGGAAAGGGTGTGGGAGGAGGGGCAGTGGGAGGAAGTGGAAGGTCACACGCGTCACATATACATTCAGAACTGGTGTGGGGAGCCCTCCACCCCACTCCATCCCCGGGCACCCCAGACCCTCATCGCTGACAGACCCTGCACCGTGAGACCCGCTGGAGGGCAGGGAACAGCGCCCCTCTCTCCCGCAGCGACCCCAGGACCCCGTCCCCAAGCCCCTTCCTCCTGTCCCACCGGGGCCTCCCACGCCCCACCCTGTGAATGTATATGGGGAAAGGAGATGGCTGGGGGTGGGCGATTGAGGGGCTCTCCGCGAACACCCAATCCTTCTGTCGGAGTCCCCCGAAGAAGGCTTGGGTGTCGGTCCCTTTAAGACGGAAGGGAACGGGTTAGGGGCGCGGCGACGCCATTTCCCTTCCGGCCGCCAGAGGGCGCGAGGGGGCTTAAAGGACCGGGCGGGTTGGGGCGGGGGTCCCCTGGAGGGCGGGGGTCCCCTGGAGGGCGGGGGTCCCCGGGGAGGGCGGCGACCCCCGAAGTCGGGCCCAGGAAGCGAAGCAGCCACCGTTACCTCGCTCTGCCACCGGCTCCGGCTCCTCGGGGGCTGGGGAAGGCGGGAGCGGAGGCGAGGATTTGGGGAGCAGGGAGGGGAGCGGCCAGGCCCGGGGACGGGGTGGGGGGCGGCAGAGGGGGGAGAGACGGGAGACGCTGTTAGAGGAACTGGAGCCCAGGCCCCGGGCGCCCCGCGTCCCGCCGCTGGCCCCACGCGCGGCTCCAGATCTCACCCTCCTCCTCCTCGGCAGCCTCGTCCTCTGGAGCGAAAGGGAAGGCGTCAGGGGAGGGGGCGTGGGAGAGCGGGGAGGGCGTGGGGAGAATGGGGAGGGGGCGTGGAGAGAGCGGGGAGGGGGCGTGGGGAGAATGGGGAGGGGGCGTGGAGAGAGCGGGGAGGGGGCGGGGGAGAGCGGGGAGGGGCGTGGGGAGAGGGGGAGGGGCGTGGGAGAGCGGGGAGGGGGGGGGGGGGAGAGCGGGGAGGGGCGTGGGGAGAGGGGGAGGGGCGTGGGGAGAGCGGGGAGGGGCGTGGGGAGAATGGGGAGGGGGCGTGGGGAGAGCGGGGAGGGGGCGGGGGGAGAGCGGGGAGGGGCGTGGGGAGGGGGGGGGGCGTGGGGAGAGCGGGGAGGGGGGGTGGGGAGAGCGGGGAGGGGCGTGGGGAGAGCGGGGAGGGGCGTGGGGAGAGCGGGGAGGGGCGTGGGGAGAGCGGGGAGGGGGCGTGGGGAGAGCGGGGGGGGCGGGGGGGAGGGGGGGGGGGGGCGGGGGGAGGGGGGGGGGCGTGGGGGGAGGGGGGAGGGGGCGTGGGGAGAGCGGGGAGGGGGCGTGGGGAGAGCGGGGGGGGGCGGGGGGGAGGGGGGAGGGGGCGTGGGGAGAGTGGGGAGGGGCGTGGGGAGAGCGGGGAGGGGGGGGGGGTGGGGGGGGGGGAGAGTGGGGAGGGGCGTGGGGAGAGCGGGGAGGGGCGGGGGAGAGCGGGGGGGGCGTGGGGGAGAGCGGGGAGAGGGGGGGGCGTGGGGGAGGGGGCGTGGGGAGAGCGGGGAGAGGGGGGCGTGGGGAGAGTGGGAGAGCGGGGAGGGGCGTGGGGAGAATGGGGAGGGGGCGTGGGGAGAGCCGTGGCCCCGGCCCAGCACCCCCTCCGCTGGGGCAGCTGAGGCACCGGAGGCAGGTGGGCTCTGGCTCCCAGCCCGCAGCTCCCCAAAGCTGCCACGTACCTTCTGGCTGCTCCCTGGGGAGAGATGAGAGAAGGGTTAGCAAAGTCCTCGCAGCCCCCAGCCCACCACCCCATGCCACAGCAGTCACTCACTCCTCATATTCCTGCTCTTCTACGTCCGACATTCTGGAAAGACCTGAGACCAAAGGGAGAGAGGAGTGTGAGGTCAGAAAGGAGGGGGACACGGGGAACCCTTGGTCTGAGAGAGGAGGGCCTGGACCCCCGGGTGTGAGGGAGGAGGGGCTGGGCTGGACCCCTGGGTGTGAGGGAGGAGGAGTGGACCCCTGGGTGTGAGGGAGGAGGGTCTGGGCTGGACCCCTGGGTGTGAGGGAGGAGGGGCTGGGCTGGACCCCTGGGTGTGAGGGAGGAGGGGCTGGGCTGGACCCCTGGGTGTGAGGGAGGAGGGGCTGGGCTGGACCCCTGGGTGTGAGGGAGGAGGAGTGGACCCCTGGGTGTGAGGGAGGAGGGATTGGACCCCTGGGTGTGAGGGAGGCTGGGTTGGACCCCTGGGAGTGAGGCAGGAGTGACTGGGTTGGACCATTTGGGCTTGGCACATGCCGGCCCTCCTCCCGTACAGCTGTCCCCTTTTGTCTAGTGACAGGTCCAGGGGAACCTGACCCTGTGGGGATTAGGACGGGTTGCAGCTGGCCAGGGCTGAAGACAATAGCTGCCCCACCCAGCTGCTATTTTGGGTGGATGTCTACATTTGCTGGGGGAAGGGGCTTCTGTGACAATTTGTCACCATCTGTCCCTTTCACCTTCAGCCGAGGTGGCAGACACCTCCCAGAACGGCCTGTGCACTGGACCTCGTCCTGACCCTTCCCTTGTCTCTGAGACCCCCACACCAACTCGAGCTAAGAGCCCTGCAACTCCACGCGTGAGATGAGGACTGTGACGCCCAAGCTGTGACAGCCCAGATGCGCTCTGCCTGTCCTGAGCCCTCTCGGGCTGCAGCCAAAGTCAGGGCTTAGCCTGTGGCGCCCCAGCTGCCACCCCATCCCTGCCGACCCAGGTCACCATCCCTCAGAGACCCCAGTGCCCGACATCCTGAATCCTGAGACCCTCAAAGTTGGAGACCCCCCTAATCATAATCTCGGACCCGTGAACGGCCAAGTGCAGTATCCTTCCCCTTGTGGAGATTCCCCCAGACTCCCCCAAAGCCACCGTGCCTTTAAGGAGGCACCCCATGTCCAAGGCCTACCTTTTCCCTTCGCACCAGACGCCAGAGCCTGCCTGCTTCTCCACCCCCACCTCACAGCCCTCCATCCCCATTGCTGTTGCCCACCCATCCTCCAGGACACCCCCCATGGAAACCACAGAGCCCCGTTACCTGAAGTGTGGGGTGCAGGTGCTGGAAGCGCAGCTGAGCCAGGCCTGGCCAAGGGGGCTGACGCATCCCGGTGTATGGGGGTTTATAGCCTGGCAGCTGAGCCCCGCCCACCTTGGGAGGAGGGGGGAATTCCTGAGCTCAGAGCCCTTCAAAGTCAGGGTCCAGCATCTGCTGGTGTCCCTTCCTGCTCCCCCACTCACCCCTGCTGGTCTGGAGCTCTGGACTGGGGTGGAGACCCCTCAGCTGCCCTCGGGGCTCCATGCTGGCCCCATGAGGTCCCTAAACCCAAACAGGGGCACTGCTTCTGGCTCCATGCTCCTGGGCATCTCCGTGGCCATCTCCCCGCCCCCACCCCTTTGTCTGCCACCAGGATTCCACTGTGTTGACAACAACTCTAAAACTGGGAAGCAGGTGTGTGGTGGGGGGGAGGGAGGGAGAGGATGGGGTGTCAGGCTGGGAGACCTCAGCGCCCCAGCCCCTCCCCACCATCTGACACTGCTCTTTTTCCGTGTCCTCTCCGCCAGTCAGGCCGAGACCTTGACCTCCTTGCCCAGGGTGTCTTTCTGGGCTCCATCTTGGTCTGTCTTCGGGCCCTTCTCTCAGGGCATCCTATGTGGGTCTGGCTTGCTCTGTCATTCTGACTGCTCTCCAGGGGGCTGGGTTGGTAGGTATCTGTGCGTGCCCTCTCTCCAGGTCCTGTGTGGATCTTTCTGGCTCTTTCTAGCTCATTCTGGCTCTTTCTCCTTGAATCTCCTGGCTGTCTTGGCCTTTCGGTGAGCTGTTCTTGGCATGTCTCTCTCTGTACCTGCATGTGTCTCAGCCTGCTGTCACTTGAGGCCTTTCTCCCCAGTGTGTGTGTCCCTGTGCTCTCATTGACGCTCCCCCACAGAACCCAGGACGCCCCACATTTGGAGGCACATCTTCTGAGCCACGAAGCCCCCCATCTTCCCCAGTCCAGGCCCCAGGGGGTGGAGCAGAGAGGGCTGCCAGAGCAGGTGCAAGGTGAGAAGCTTTATTCAGCAGGCCGCGCGGGGCCAGGGCGGGAGTGAGCTCAACCTTCGAACTTCTTCTTGCGACCCTCCATCCCACTCAGCAGGTCCACGTTCTTGCGCCAGTCTCCCACTTCCCGGTTCTCCTGGGGGAACACAGTCAGCAGTTGGGGTCGTGTCTTGTGTCCAGCCCCTCAAGCCTCCTCCCTCAAGGCCACCACATGCTGTTCTGAGACATTTCCTGTCCCCTCAAGCTCTGCCAATGTCTCCTAGTGACTTTCAGTTCATTATGTGCTTCCTGTCTCCCTCATGCACTTCCTGTCTCCCTCATGCACTTCCTGTCTCCCTCATGTGCTTCCTGTCTCCATCACATACTTCCTGTCTCCCTCATGCACTTCCTGTCTCCCTCATGCGCTTCCTGTCTCCCTCATGCATTTCCTGTCTCCCTCATGCGCTTCCTGTCTCCCTCATGCACTTCCTGTCTCCCTCATGCGCTTCCTGTCTCCCTCATGCACTTCCTGTCTCCCTCATGTGCTTCCTGTCTCCCTCTTGCACTTCCTGTCTCCATCACATACTTCCTGTCTTCCTCATGCACTTCCTCTCTCTTGCTCATGCTCTGCTGTCTTTCCTTGCAACTTCCTTTCTCTTGCCCTTCAGGTGGCCCCTCCTAATTCCCTCGCCGCTTCCCTCAGCTCCCAAAGGCGTCGCCCTTGAGCCAGACACCCTCAGCTCCTGACCATCCCTCTCCCAGCGTGGCCACACTCACCTTCTCTGTGTCTTCCTTCTTCACCTGCTTCAGGTGGGCCCGCAGGTCCAGGGACTCCTTGGCCCGGGTGCCCAGCAGTGCCTGCATCATGGCGTCCGCTGAAATCCGCACCCTCCGCAGGGTGGGGCGCTTGAACTTGCCCCGCAGGTCAAAGATCTTCTGGGTCAGATCTGCAATCTGGGGGTGGCCACGGCAGGAAGTGGAGACCCCTCCCCCACTTCCTTTTCACGCTCACTTCTGGCTCACCAGGTACCCCAGGTCCTGCCTTCCAGTGTCTCGGCCTCGTCCTGTCTCCTCCGTGACCCATTTGCTCCCGTGCCAGCTGGGAGCTGCCAGCACTGCGCCCCCGTCCTCGGGTTCCCACCCTGCCAGGGTCCACGCGGCCTGGCACACGGCGCACACCTCCGTGATGTTCTTGGTGACCTTGGCTTCTACGTCGTATCTCTCTTCATCCACTTTGTCCACGCGTGCGTGCAGCTGACGGCACAAGTCCTGGGTGGGGATGGGGAGATTCCGTGTGTTCCTGGGACTGAGGGAGGAGGGAACAGCGGCCCTAAAGGACAGTCACGCTGGGCACTGCAGCTCCCACTGTAAGCAGTGGCAACCCCGGGCTGCTTGGAGAGCCTCGGCTGCAAGAACAGGGCTCCAGGTTTGGAGTGTAGCCGTTGCAGCCAGACATCTGCGTCCCTGAGGCGGGGAGGGGCTGTGACAGTGGACCCCGGTCCTGAACGGCAGGTGGGCACCTAGTACCTGCAGCTCGGTGAAACCAAGCCCCGCCAGCTCCAAGGGCTGGCAGCGGGTGCTCAGGGCGCGCCCCTTCTCCCCGCGCCGCTCCTCGGCCTCGCGCTCCAGCTCCTGTTTGGCGATCTGCAGCATCAGGGTCTGCGGAGGGGCGTCCAGTCTGGCACCGGTGCAACGCTAGGCCCCGCCCCTCGGCCCTCCAGAGCCCCGCCCCTCGCTCGCAGTGAGCGCAGACCCCGCCCCCGGCCCTCCAGAGCCCCGCCCCTCGCTCCAGTGAGGCGGAGACCACGCCCAGGCCCCGCCCCTCGGCCCTCCAGAGCCCCGCCCTTCACTCAGTGAGCGGAGGCCGTGCCCCAACGCTAGGCCCCGCCCCGGCCTCAGAGCCCGCCCTCGCTGCAGTGAGCGCGACCCGCCCCAGCCTCCAGGCCCGCCCTCGCTCGCAGTGAGCGGAGGCCACGCCCCCAGGACCCGCCCCATGTCACATGGCGCCGTCCTCTCCCGCCCATCTCACCTTCAGCTGCAGTTTTCTGGAGGCGGAGATCTTGGACTTTTTCTGCCCGTGACATGAGCAAGGAAGGATGGCGGAGGGAGACGCTTGAGGCGGAAGACACCCGCACCGCCCGCCCGCCCGTCCCGCCTCAAGCAGGTGCAGATTTAGGCCCGCCTTCCAACTTGAGTCTTCGGTCCAGGGGAAGCCGCGCCCATCTTGGCGCCATCCGCCAACCGGGGCTCTGACTCCGCCCTGGTACCGCCTATCCCTGGCAGAGTGACGGGCTGCGCGGCTCCGCCCACAGGCAGTTCTGACCAGTCCGAGCCCGGCTTCCCCAGGGCCCCGCCCACCCGGGCCCCGCCCCTCCCCCACAGGCCGTCCCGCGGCTCCGAACCCGGGTCCTCCCAGCCCCGTCCACCTTGGCGTGCGGCTCCGTGGCGTAGGCGCGGTAGTTGGCGGACGAGCGGCGTCGCACCGGGGCGGGAGCGGGGGGCGCTTCCCCCGCCTGGGGTTGAGGACTCGGTCACCACCGGGCCACAGGCGGCCGCCCCGGGACCCCCACGCCCCGGGACCCCCACGCCCCGGGACCCCCACGTCCCGGGACCCCCCCCACACCCCGCGACCCCCACGTCCCGGAGTCCCCCACGCCCCGGGACCCCCACATCCCGCGGCCCCCACGCCCCGGAGTCCCCCACACCTCGCGGCTCCCACACCCCGGGACCCCCACACCCCGGGACCCCCCCACACCCCGCGACCCCCACGCCCTGCAGCCCCCCACACCCCAGGACCCCCACACCTCGGGACCCCCACGCCCCGGAGTCCCCCACACCTCGCGGCTCCCACACCCCGGGACCCCCACACCCCGGGACCCCCACGCCCCGCACACCCCGGGACCCCCAGCCACGGCCCCAGGCGCTCACCGCATTACTGCTCCTGCGGGGAGAGAAGCGCCATCAATGGCGGCCTTTCGGGGTCCGGGGGGCGCCCCTGGTCCCCTCCCCCTGGGACTTCTCCCACCGCCCCCGCCTCCCACGTCCGGGGGGCTCCGCGGGTCCCCAAGCCTCACTCATCCTCCATGCCGGGAAGGGGCGCCCTGGGGTGTCCGCGGTGACCTTGGGGCCGCAGGGGACACTGGCTGTCCTCCGCCCGGGTCTGACCGAGGACACTGTGGAGGGCGAGCGCAGACACTATATATACCAGCAGATAACGGGGCGCGTGAGGGGCGGCGCCGCCCTCGGCTGGGGTCGCGGCCAGCGCTTCCGGAGCCCGGCGCCTTCCGCCGTGGGTCCAGCTCGGCCCCGACACCCTCGGGAAATCGGAATAATCTGAGGACTTGGTGTATGTCTTCTTCCCCATCCCGGGCCCAGTGCGGGTGACCGTGACCGTGAGGCGCCCGGGCTGGGGTCGTGGTCCTCCCGGCCCCACGCAGGACACGCGGGACACGCGGGGCACGGAACTCGAGTCTTTATAGGCCCCGCCGGCCCTAAGCCGCTGTGAGGAGCGAGGAGGCGGGAAGGGGGACGCAGAGGGCGGACAGCAGCACGAGAGGCCCGGGGTTCTGCAGTTAGAAATCCTGAGAACATTCCAGAACACCACCAGTCACGGGGGAGACTGGGGAGGGAAGCTGAGGGCCAGCGGCCTGGTGTGACCACAGCAGGCCACACTGGGCTGCTTGCAGACGGAAGGACGGGTCCGGTCAGACCCTCGGGTGGAGGCTGACCAGCGCTGGGCGTGGCCAGAGCCTGCGGGGTGGGGCCAGAACTGCCTGAGAACGGCTGGGGGCGGGGCCAGGCCTCCGGGGGCGGGGCCAGGCCGTCACTGCCTGGACTCTACTTCAGGGGGCGGACACTTCTCAGTAGGAGGGGCCAGGTCACCTAGGGGCGGGATCTTTGCTGCAGGAGGCGGGGCCAAACCCTCACAGGGCGGGGTCTTTGCTTCGGGAGGCGGGGCCAGGTCCCCTTGGGGTGGTGGGGTCTTTGCTCCAGGGGGCGGGACCATGGCTCCAGGAGGCGAGGCCAAGCCCTCACAGGGTGGGGTCTTTGCTTCAGGAGGTGGGGCCATGGCTCCAGGGGGCGGGGTCTTTGCTTCAGGAGGCGGGGCCAAGCCCTCACAGGGCGGGGTCTTTGCTTCGGGAGGCGGGGCCAGGTCACCTAGGGGAGGCGGGGCCATGGCTCCAGGGGGCGGGGTTCCAGACTGGGCAGTAGCACGGTCGGGGTCGCCGCAGCCCCGAGCAGGACCCCGGGGCTTGCAGAAGCGCGCGAAGGTGTCCGAGGGGCTGACTTGGTTCTGCGGGACGAATCCCGCCGCCCGGGCCTGTTCCGTGACGCGCGAACACAAATCCTGCAGCTGCGGCTGCCTCAGGTCCACCAGGTACCTGGAGCAGAGATGCCGCGCGTCACGGCGGGGGCTGCCCAGCGTCAGACCCCCAGCCCGCCGCCCCCAAGCCTGTGCCTCCGCCCGGGGCTCACCGGGCCAACTCCACAACCAGGTTCCCGCCAGGGGCCACGCAGGCCCCCAGCTCGGGACTGAGCAGATGGATCATCCTGCAGAGGGCAGAGGGGACAGGCCATCACTCGGGTGCCCCTGGCAGAGGACTGGGAGGCCGCTGGTGCAGGAGGATGCCCACCGCTCCTACCCGCAGGCCACATAGAGCAGCTGGAACCGGCCGCGGTAGCAGCTCTTGAGGTGGAGCGCCTGGGCAGAGCCGAGCGGCAGGAAGTGGACAATGAAGGACTCCCGGGCCGGGGCTGCGGGGAGGACAGACAGGGGTCACTTCGGGGTGGGATGGAGCCACGCGTGGACGTCCGGCGCCGCTCAGCGCTCCCACTCCTCCTCCGCCCTGTGTGCTCCGAGTCAGACACCTGTGGCCGGCGGCTCCGGGCTTCTCGCCTGTGACCCGTGTGTCCGCGGCAGGTCCTCCCGGGCGGCTGCTGGGCACCTCCAGGCGGCCATCTCCCGGAGCAGCTCTGTCACGTTGTGCTGTGTGATCTGGCCGGCCGTCTGAGTGGGACACACGCCCAGGTTACCGATGGGAGCTGCAGGGCCCGCGACTCGGGGTGCCCGGGCACAGGACCTGGAGCACAGAGGGGATGGGGCGAGGCCCTGCCCACTGCCCACCTTGACCGGCTGTCCGTTGCGGGTTCGCAGGAGATCCTTGTCGTCGGCCTCGATGCCAAAGGCCACGAAGGGTCCCGTGGCGATGTCCCCCCAGTACCCGCGCGCTACCATGCGCTCTCCGCTCTGCCAAAGAGGAGGAGCATCAGCTGCTGTGGGGATGGGCTCCCGGTCCGGTCCAGCTCGGGGAGTGGACTCCACTCACGTGACTCAGGACGCGGCTGGACGCCAGGGTCCGGTTGGGCACGTGGTAGGCACTGGAGTCTCTGAGCTCAAAGGCGACCCCCGTGTCCCGCCAGCGTCGGAACTCGTGCGTGTGGATGACCTGCGCCTGTGGTCGGAGGAACGGAGGCCCAGGACGAGTGGAGCGGCGTGCAGGGGGCTCCCCGCCTCCTCCCTCCACCCCGGGGTCCCCTCTCCCCGTACCCCTCGGTCGTGCAGCTTCATGCGCAGGTCCCAGTCGCTGACGCCGTGCCGCGCGTCGTAGCGGGAGCCCAGGTAGTGGCGCAGCCGCGAGTCCCAGAGGCGGCGCATGGGGAAGGCCTGCGGCCCCTTCTCCCCGCCGGCCCAGAAGCGGAACACGGCCTCCAGGACGTCTCGCTCGCGGAACTGCACAGCGGGCATGCGTGGGGGCAGAGGTGGGTGAGGATGAGCGGCGGCACGGACGGCTGCTCCACCGGCCCTTCAATCCCTCCGGCAGGTCAGGGAAGTTGGGGACCTCCAGCCCGCTCCACCCGGCCAGCCCAGCCCGCTCCACCCCGGCCAGCCCGCTCCACCCCGGCCAGCCCGCTGCACCCCGGCCAGCCCCTTCCTGTCGGCCCTCCATCCCAGGCGGTGACCCAGGTCCTCACACCTTGAGCCTGCCCAAGTCGAGCCAGGGCAGCTGCTCCACCAGACGGTCGGGCTCCGGGACCAGTTGGGCCAGCAGGTGTGCCTGGATGCTCACGAAGGCGGCGGCCGCTGGGCGCAGCAGCGCGTTCCCCCACACCTCCAGAAAGGTCTCGCTCTTCTCTGGGGGGTTGGGGTCATACAATGAGCCCAGAAATCAGGCCCTTAATGTCTGTTCGGTATTAGTCGCATGAGCACCACCCCCCCCATGCATCCCGGGAAGGGTAAATTACAACCTAGATCTCTTCGGCCCTTCCCACCCCCACCCGCTCCAGTCCCACCGTTATAGGTGGGGAGTGTGTCTGTGTGAGAAAGAACAGGCTGTTTAGTTGTTTTAGTTAAGGCTGTTACAGCAGGGAATGCTGTGCTCCGTGGCCACCAAGACACTGACCTTGGAGCCCCATCTTCTCAGGGTCCTCCAGGGCCAGGCTGAAGATCAGCATCTGCCGTGCCACGGCTTCCAGATTGTTCTCCAGCACGTAGAACTGGGAGGAGAGACAGGGTGATGGGGAAAGCTCCCAGCAACCAGGAGTGGGCACAGGAGTCTGGGTCCCCCGAGGCTCCCTCCTCCCCTGGGGAGACTTAAACTGTGGGCTGTTGCAACCCCCAACCCCTTTCTTCCCTAGGACTCCTGGGTCCAGGCTCCAGCCAGTTCTTCCCTGGACCCCTTCTCCTCTTCTCCCCTCGAGACTCATGAACCCAGGTTCTCTTCTCCACGATCCTCCTACTTCTATCGCAGAATCCCAGCTCACATTGAATCTCCTGGGTGGCCAGAGAGCAGCTCGGGCCAGAGTCCGGAGCAGGTGTCTGCCGTCCACAGAGCCCAGCATCAGCACGTCTAGGTCAGGGTTCTTGGCCTTGGCATCGGCTTGTGAGTCTGGGTCCGCCAGAGGAGCTGGCCGAGTGAAAGCGAGTTGGGACGGGCGGCCCTCAAGATTGTCCCCTCACCCTGCCAGACGCGCCCCAGAACGGTGAACTACACATCCCAGAAGGCACTGCGCCCGCGGCCCAGGTGTTACAAGGGAGTTATGCCTCTGAGCATTCCGGAACTTGTAGTACAGCACCAGCTCGCTCCAATGGGGGGCTTTGGGCAACGTTTGCGCGCGCGCTCCCTGCCTTCCGCGCAGAAGGCACCCTACGCGTGAGATGGCGTAGGGGGACTCACTTTCCGCCTGCAGGTCCAGCGCCGGCGACAAGCCCCACCAGGACACCGAGCCAAAGCCCATGCCGCAGCCGGCCGCCGTGGTCATCGCCCTGCGAGGCAGTCAGCCTGTCCACCCCGCTCTCACGCCGCCCCTCGCGATGCTCCTCTTTCCTGCACCTCAGGTCCCTCCTTTCTCACCTTCCCCCTGTCCAGGTAGTCCCAGACGCCCCTGCCTGCCTGCCAGCTGCTGCGCGGACACTCGGACTCCACAACCGCCGCCCGGGGGTCCCTGTCCTTTTCCAAAAATGGACCAATGACAGCACGCGAGAAAGGCCCGCTGCGGCTTCTGGCCAACAGATGTGAGGAGGAGCCGCCCATTTACGAACTTCTGGCCAATGGGCACGCTGAGGGACGCCGCTTGCTCCCGCCTCCGAGAGCAGGGGACAGGAGGGCGGGGGGACGCGGTCGCCATGACGACAGCGCTGGCCGCCAGGGTGCTGGAAGGGGACCCGGTGGGTTTGAATCTCCGGGCTGGGGGAGGCCTGGTCAGCTCCGAACTGCGACGATGGCGCCGGGGCTTGGGACACAGACCTGGGCGTCCGTTTCCGGCTCACGCTGGGGCTTCAGCCAAGGGGGAAGCAGGCGCTGACACCATGGTGCAATTAACCTCTGCTTCAGATTGTTTGCGTTGCACCTGGATCAAGGCTCATGGATTAAAAGAGATGAACCCATTCGTTTTGAAAGAACTGCAGAGGAAGACGGCTCTTCCCTCCACTGGCTCACTCCCCAGATGGCCACAACGGATGGAGCTGGGCCCAACAGGAGCCACACGGGTGCAGGGTCCCAAATCTGTGGGCCATCCTCTGCCACTTTCCAGGCCTTTAGCAAGCAATGGGATAAGTGGAGCCGCTGGGATGCAGATGCAAGATGAGGATTTATCACGCAAGCCGATGATTTTCTTTTGGCTTGACCCTTAGCATCTGGGCCCCTCCCCTCACCCTGCCAGGAGAGTCTTCCTCAGATTTCTGCTCACACCCTGCCCGTGGAATGGCCTCAACTGCCCATGCTGCACCTAGAGAGGGTGGCCTTTGGCGCCAGGGCCAGCCAGCTTCCTTCCTGCGGCTTCTTGCTGGCTCAGCAGCTGCGGTGGGTCTGGATGCCTGGCAGGGTGTGTCAGCCATCATTGCTGTTGGGCTGTGGTCCCTGGTCAGCCCTGGAGGCCGATCCTGGCTGTCCCACTAGGGACCTTAGCAGTTTCCTTCGTGGTTACCACCACCTGCTGTGGCCTGGTTGTATCCATGGAGAGGACCCGCCACTCGGCAGAGTAAGGCTTAACCCACAGTCATCGCCTTCTGGGCACCACATGGGACACGGCCAGGGAAGGTGCTGCCACAGCCCCCAGGCAGGTCAGCTTCACCAGTCATCGGTATAAAGTCCCCAGGACCACTGGAGAAGGGCTTCTTCATTCCAATGGGTCAGAGCGACGGGGCATTCCAACACTGACCCCCATCCCCCAAGGCCAGTGCCCAATACTGAGTCCTGGGGCTGGGCATCTGGTTCCCTGGCGAAGTTGCCACTTGGGACACCAGCATAGACCCAAGGAGTGCCTGGTTCAAGTCCTGGCCCCTCCACTTCCAATCTGATCTGGTCCCCTGTGAACACTCCTGCCCCACACCCCCCACTCCATGCACTGGGTGGTGACTCAGACTGAGTGGTCACTTGGTGCCAGAATGTTCTCCCATTGCTGGGCAGTGAGCCCTGCCCGCTGTCCTCCTCACAGTCCCTGCCTCCACCCCTTCACCTGCTCACGTTCTCCATGGTCAGCTCTGGAAGGTGGGCTGGTTTGAGTCTGAGACAACAAGATCATAAAGCACAGGCTCTCGTGTCCTCCGGGTCCTTCAGGCTAAAGTGTGACCTGGCAGGTCATCGTCCACCTTCACGGCTGACTAATGCTCCAGGACACCGTGCCCACCCCCTCTGCCCTGGCCGGATTGCCCGCTTCAATCCTCTGGGCTCTTTGAAGCACCACTGCCATTCTCAACGGCTGAGGTCTTCAAGATTTATTGTATTTACTTGAAAGGCAGAGTTACAAAGAGGAGACAATGAGAGCTTCCATCAGCTGGTTCACTCCCTAAGTGATCACAATGGCCAGAGCTGAGCTGACCCAAAGCCAGGAGCCAGGAACTTCTTCCTGGTCCCCCAGGTGGGTGCAGGATCCCAAGGCTTTGGGCCATCCTCCACTGCTTTTCCAGGCCACAGGCAGGGAGCTGGATGGGAAGCGAAGCAGCCGGGACCCAAATGGGTGCCCATATGGGATCCTGGCACTGCAGGTGGCGGTTGGCCATGCCACAATGCCAGTCCCCCCCTACCCTCCGTGGCCCAGGTCTTGTGGTCTGTTTATCCTTGGCCACCCTCCAAAGCCAAATGGGGCTGTCCCCAAGAGCAGGGGTGCCTTCCCGGCTGTGCGGCTCGGGCAGGCCTCGCTGTCCCTGGGGCACTGGCCTCACCTCTCGGCCTGGGGTCATCATCAGCGACTGTCTTCCTAAAGACATCACCCGGTTCACACACACACGTGTACACACAAGTCACACACAGACATCACAGCCTTCCGCTGCGGGAGTTTTAAAATCCCACGAACATCACAACCGGCACAGGGATCTGACCTCTGCCAGCAGCTCAGGGCACTCTGTCCCTTCACTGGGTGCTCACGGCTACCTTTCCAAAGTCCACAGATCTTCCTGTGTCACCCCAAGCCCCATCTGGCATGCGACGGGCGTGGGGGAGTAACGAGACACGCATGTTAAAAACAAACAAGCAGGTGGCATTTGCTGACAGGAGAGGGAGGGGAGGGAGGAGGACAAGGGGGCAGGGAGAGGAGGAGGAGTCTGAGCTTGTGCACAAGTAAGCCTCCGTAGTAGACACGAGGTTTGGGGGGCCCAGGAGCAGGTGGAGAGACCAGGGGGTGCTGAGGCTCCCCACTCCCAGCCCACCAACCAAGAGCAGGAGATGCTGAGTATTGGGCCTCTGGAGCAGGTGGAGCAGGTGCGGGGAGAGCAGGGCTGATTGTCACAGCAGGAGGCACCCCGGGGGTGTGGTGGGGCGCAGCCAGAGGGGCGTGGGCTGTGGGGCAGGGGTGGTGGGGCCCCTGGTGAGGGTGTCGGGGGAGGCAGAGGGGTGGCCTTGGGGAGGCGGTCAGGGTGCGGAAGGCTGCCGCGCGCGGTCGGGGGGCCGCAGCGAGTGCCACTGAGCGATGGGCCGCCGCGGGTTGGCCAGCATGTCCGCCCAGTGCCGCAGGCCCGCGCCGCCCGCCGCCGCGCCCACCGCCACCCTCCCGATGGCCTCGTTCTTGCCCAGCTTGTCGTAGTCCAGCACGGTCAGCTCCACCTGGACCTTCTGTGGGGGCGAGGAGGAGAAGTGAGGGCACCCGCGCGGCTCACAGCCACATCTCACTGTCAGGGCTGGGCCAGCAGAAGAGCTCGCACTGCCGCTAGACTGGAAGGTTCTGGCCCCAGGCAGGGGAGGCAGGGAGAACATGGGGGCCACCTAGCCCTGCTGGGGGCCTCCCTGAGGGCTGGGGCTACCCGATCTTGCTGGCTTACAGTCCATTCTGATTTTTTGGAGGTAAAGAGGCCAATTTTGAGAAGCCTCTCCCCGGAGTGCGCCCCACAGACGGGCAGTGAGACCTCCTGCTCTCTAGAACCCGGTCTGTAGGAGGCGCTGAGGGTCTCTGTTCCCGCACGCGCCTGGGCTCACCTGCACCTGGTCACAGGGCACCTCGAAGCTGAAGGCCTCGTTGTAGTAGGGACTCAGCGTGTTCTTCTTGATGGTAGTCTTCTTCTTGCGCACCTTTTTGCCGCCTTGCAGCAGGTGCACCTTGACGTAGGGATCTAGAGGAGAAGGAGGGGCCCAAACTGAGCTCACGTTCCAGCCTGGAAGACCCCAGGGCCCAGACGCTGGCCAAGCCCCACCTGCCCACGTTCCTTGCTTCCCACACACCTGACAGTCCACCCACGTCCATCTTCTTCAGGTTCTTGGCCTCCAGGACAACGACGGTGAGCTTCCCAGCCGTGGGGACATAGCGGAGGGAAAAACAGATGTCCCCTAGTTTTTCTGGCTGTAAGAAGGCAAGGGACCTGTCACTTTGGCCCTAGCTCTGCCTCCATCCCTCCACACACCTTGGAATGGCCCGGGAGCAGATACAAGGCCTGTTATCTGGTCAGTGGCAGGGCCACAGGGAGGCCACACACACTTACCTCCTCTCGCGGAGCCATCTGCAGCTCCTGCCAGGTCTGCACCGACCGCCCCAAGTCCACAGAGCTCATGGGGACCCGCACCTCACCGATGGCGTCGTTGCGCGAGAAGCGGTCGAAGTCGTACACGGCCATGACCAGCACCCTGCCCCCCAGCTCTACATAAGGAATCTGGGGGGCAGGGTGGGGGTGCAGAGAGAGGGAGATGGGAGCGAGTGAGAGGGGTGCACCCACAGGATGGGGTGGGGGAGGCAGCGCCATAGGGACAGCCGGGGAGGCATTTCAGTGGAGTCTAACTGGGGAATCGTGGCCTCTTGAGGAACCAGCCAGGGTCAGTGAAAGCCAGATGGAAGGGCCACGGACGCAGGCCAGGACGCAGGCCAGGACGCAGGCGGCCTGAGGCCAGGGGCTCACCTTGAAGGCGAAGGTCTCCTCAAAGCGAGGGCTCAGCGTCTGCCGATGCACCTTGGTCTCGTGCCGCCTCCGCTTGTCCGGCAGCAGGTACACCTGCACGTAGGGGTCGGACGAGCCACCCAGGTCCAAGGCAGCCAGGCCTTCTGCCTGCAGGATGCCCACGAGCAGCTGGCACAGGAGACAGAGGGGAGGGGTGAGGCCCTCATCTGAGCTCCCTCCTTCCCGGAGGGAGCTGGGACCCCAAGATGCTCCCACATACCACACCCACCTGGCCGCTCTGGAAGTCATAATCCAAGGAGTACTGCAGCCGTCCCAACGTGTGTTTCTCCGCTGCCTGCTGCCCCGCACAGGGTGCTGCTGGCTCCAGGTCTTCCACTTCCGGCTGCACCTTGGGGAGCCACGGGGCAAGGGCAGAGTCAGGCTTTGATTGATGATGTCTGTCCAGGGGCAGGGAAGGGACAGGGTGACACACAGTGCCTCCTCAGAGTGGACCAGGAAATGTCTTATGACCACAGTTCTGTGTGAATCAGCATTCCCAAGTGATATGCTAAAACTCCCTGGGTCCCTGGCAGGAGTTGCTTCAGTGTCTGGAATTATCCAAGGAGTCTGATGCACAGCCCCGCTATCCCTCACCGGCTTAAGGGTTGGCCTTCAGGACCCTACAATCCTGACAGGACATACTTCCATCAGCTATGGGAGAAGTTCCAAGATGGGGAGCAGAGAGGGACAGGGAGCCCCCAGAGTCCCCTGGCCGGGCCAGTCTCCTTGGGCTAGAAGACCAGAGCTCTAGGACCTGCAAAGTCTGCGGTCCAGTTCCGTAGGGGTGTGTGTCCCAGGGCTCCTCTTTCTTCCACACTTGTAGGCTACCACACCTTCCTGCTCTCCTGGCCCCAAATCTGCCCCAAACTGCACCGATCTGAGGGTCTGCTCCCATGCCCGTCTGCCCCGTCCCTCTCCTGGAGCTCCCAGGCTCTCAGGCCCCTGGGTGGCTGAGGGTAGGGCTTCGACGTTCTGTGCCACAGCTGGCAGGGGATACGGCCGTCTTCCAGAACTCGCCGGGGCTCCTCCCTGGGTCTGCTTGTTCCTGCTCCTGGCTAACTCTGCCCGTGCATCCGGCACAGACGTCACCTCCCCCAGGTCTCTGCCCTTCCCACCGTCTTTCTGTTCTTACAGTGCTGGTTCCCCCCAGGTGTGACAGAAGGCCACCCTGGGCGGCTGGACGGTGTCTCTGTTAGCGTTTGGCTCCCATCCCACCCTGGACAAGTTCCTGTGGACAGAGGCATCCCCAGGTTCGCAGAATCCAACATGGACAGACACGCATGGGGCAGGTGAGTGATGAGGAAATGGAAAAGAGTGGGTCCCCGTGGAGCAGGGCGCGGGGCCGACCTTGTCTATGTAACTCTGCCCCAGCTCCTTCACTTCCTGGAAGTGGACCTGGGCTTGGGCCGGGCTCTTCTTGCCCACCCGCCTGCGACATCGTTTCCGGTAGAGACAGAAGCAGCAGCTGGAGACGAGGAGGCCGGAGAGCAGCAGGAGGGTGGCCAGGGCCCAGGGAGGCACTGTGCAGGGCGGAGAGCAGGGTCACTGAGGCACTGCAGGTGGGCTGGCACATGTGGCCGGGATCTGTGCCGGGATCTGGAATCCTCACCTCCCTTCCCCTCAGGCAGTTTCCATCTGGTCTTAGTCCTGAGTTTGCCTTCCGACTTGGAAGCAACCTGACGTCCAAACCCGGGCTGACAACCACCAGATTGGCTCGCCTGTTAATCCCCATTTCCTATTTCTGCTCACTCCCTCTCCCTTGCCTCTGGCTCTTGCAATCCCCCCAGCCCAGGATCCCCCTCCTGGCCACACCCTTCAGTCCGGGCCCAGCCCATTCTCTCCAGATTTCAGTCCAGGATACTAAGACTCCGCATTCCAGCCTGATTTTCCAGCCCACCAGTCTCCCTTACATCTCCCTAATCCCGCCCTGGGCCCAGCCCCTACCCCACCTGGCTCACCTGGACCGTGGCTGAGGCGGCTGGAATCTGGAGGCGCATCGGATACTGGGGACTCTTGAGTTGGGGGCTCAGGGAACATGGCTCTGGGGTCCTACGGTCCTTCCTGCAGGGATACCCAAGTGCTCGCGCCCGCCCACTCCCACCGCAAGCATCCTCACAAGAAAAGACTACAACTCCCATGAGGATGCTGCTCAAGCCATCACCGCGCACTAGCTGGCCAACAGCCGCGAGCCATGCTGGGAATTGTAGTCCCAGCTCCTCGCAACAGGCGGGCGCGCCCTTTGTGGAGATTCCAGGATCTCGCTCCATCCACCCCCGCCCTCCTGGGCACCCCCGGTATTTCTCCGACTTCCTTCCTTGCTTCCCTCTCCCGCCCCCAGGCCCAGGGGCCTGGACTGCAAGTGGGCGAGGGCCAACAAGGGAACCTGCGTTGTCCAGGGCAACCGCCGGTAGGGGGTAGGGTGGAAGGAAGGCTGGTTGCCGGGCAACGCCCTGTTACCAGGACGACAGGGCTGGGCTGACGCACACTCCGGGGAGCCGGGTGGGGCAGGCTTGCTCCAGCCGGGTGGGTGGGTGCCTGGGACCCCGGGCCGGGCTCGAGGGGTCGGCCAGCAGAGGGAGGGGGGCTGTCTATGGTCGTCGCGCCTTTGCTTGGGGCTGGGGACGAGTGGGCTGCCCGCTGCTCGGCACCCCGCCGCGCCCATCGCGGCAGGTGGGACCCTCCTGCCTGGCCGGTCCTCATACCTGCTCTCCTGCACCCAAAATGTGCTCGCACACCCGACCCAGTCTGCCTGTCTTGGGTCCCAACGGGCCCGTCCTCACGGGCATCTCCACCCTCCTCCCTGCCTCTGAAACCCGGGCTCCCTGTTGGGTATCCGGTGCCCCCTACCCGCGCCTCCAGGAGGCAGAAACGAGGACGACGTTCGGGGAGGGGTCCCAGCAAGCTCCTACCTGCTCGGCGGCTGGATGGACCCTCTGGAGTCGCTGAGGCGCCGCCCCGCACCGAGCCCGCCCCCCACACGTGGGCGGTGGCGCTGTCCCGGGTGCAGATGGCGGGCCGGGGGTGCTGGGGTGCTGGGGGCCAAGCCGGGCGTGCGTGTGCGTGCGTGTGTGTGTGCGTGTGTGTTCGTGTGTAGGTGTGTGGTACGTACTAGCGCGCAGCCCAGGTGTGTTTGCATGTTTATTATGGCTGCCATGTGTATGCAGGTTTGTATGTGAGTTAGGCTTGCATGTCCGGGGACTGTCCTAGGAGCCTGGAGACCACCTGCTTCTGGGGCCACGTGCCCTCCACCCCTTCTCTCCTAATCCTTCCCTCCCCTGGCGTCTTCCTGGCGCCCACGGGTGTTTACCCTGAGCTATAAAAGTCTCTACCTTCTGGACAGACATGGAAACTGCACATGGTTCCCCCTACCTCTGCAGAACAGACACCCAGGACCCTCACAGCCCTGGGAACCCCTCTACACACACCCAGCACCCCACAGCCCTGGGGACCCTTGCAGAACAGACACCCAGGACCCTCACAGCCCTGGGGACCCCTCTACACACACCCAGCACCCCCACAGCCCTAGGGACCCCCCTACACACACACGGCACCCCCACAGCCCTAGGGACCCCCTACACACACACGGCACCCCCACAGCCCTGGGGACCCCCCTACACACACCCAGCATCCCCACAGCCCTGGGGACCCCTGCAGAACAGACACCCAGCACTCCCACAGCCCTGGGGACCCCTCTACACACACCCAGCACCCCCACAGCCCTGGGGACCCCCCTACACACACCCAGCACCCCACACCTGGGGCCTCCTGCAGCACACACACGGCACCCCCACAGCCCTGGGGACCCCTCTACACACACCCAGCATCCCCACAGCCCTGGGGACCCCTCTACACACACCCAGCACCCCCACAGCCCTAGGGACCCCCCTACACACACCCAGCACCCCCACAGCCCTGGGGACCCCTCTACACACACCCAGCACCCCACACCTGGGGCCTCCTGCAGCACACACACGGCACCCCCACAGCCCTGGGGACCCCCCTACACACACCCAGCACCCCCACAGCCCTGGGGACCCCCTACCCACCACCCAGCAACCCCACACCTGGGGCCCCTGCAGCACACACCAGCACCCCTCAGCCTGGGGGACCCCTACACACACCCAGCACCCCACACCTGGGGCCTCCTGCAGCACACACACGGCACCCCCACAGCCCTGTGTTCCTGGGATCTGAGACTCTGACATAGAGACTGGAGTATTGAGACACCTCAATAAGAGTTGCCCCTCACACCACCTGCGAGCCCTGGAGCTCACACGATGCCCAGGCCCAACTTCCTCTGTCAGCGTCTGGCGCCCAGAGCTCCACTCTACTGGGCAGACACCCTACCTGGGACATGGGTCTCAGACAGGGTGTCAGGAACTCACAGCCACCAGCTTTGCAGGGACAAGTTTAATAAGTTACAGGACAGAGGGAAAGACGCGAGGGAGTGCCCTTCAGCTCGGAGCACAGAAGCCAGTTTGGCTGAAGGGAAGTGGGGCAGGGTCCTGCCTGCCCTGGCTGCACTGGCGCCAGAATGTCCAGCCCTGCCTCCTTGGAATCTGGGTGCGAGGGGACCCTGCAGCGTGGGCTCCCAGCCCCGCCTCCCACAGGACCCCGAGTCTGAGACCTCCAGCTCAGCCTCCGCCTGATGTGGCCTAGGACTCCGCTTCCAGGGCCTGGAGGGCAGCCACGTTCTCGTAGATGTGGTCGACCTTGGGGTCATCTGCAGCCAGCTGCTGGGCCGGGGCTGACTGCTGGAGGAACCGCAGGATGCATTGGTGCAGAAAGACGTACTGGGCCTGCGCAGGGAGGCACACCTTGCAGCCACGCTGGCCTCCCCCAGCCCACCCACGCCCTTCCCCTGGGCACCCTGTCACCTCGGTCTGCACCATCAGCGGCCGGCTTTCTCTCATCTTCCTCACGAAGTTGAAGGGCCCTAAGACCCCTTCATATGCCAGCTGCCGGAGCAGGACATCCAGGGCAATGAGGGTGCCTGTGCGGCCCACGCCAGCGCTGGGTAAGGACAGGGGGGCTCAGACCACAGGACAGAGGGGTCTGGGGTCTCAGCTGATTGAAGAGAGCCGACTGGGGAGCACACAGGGACTGTGGTGTCATTAGGGGAGCCGGACTCCCCCACCCTTAGGAACCCCGTGGTACTGGGCAGGGTCCCGTCCACCTGGGACATAGCATGGCAGGGTAGCTTTAAAATCCACCAGGGATGCTGGGGGAGGGGGAAATGGAAGCCAGTCCACCTGCTGGCTAAAGACCTGCAGCCTTCGCCCCGGGTCTCCTGGGCTTGGATGTCACGCAGGGGATCCCTGGGACACCCCTTGTGGGAAGCAGCCCTGGGGACCAGCCACGGGCCTTCCAGGGGTGCTGAGAGCTGGTTCCAAGGCCGTCCTGGGAGCAGGCCCTGTCCTCAGGCCCTGTCCAGGGCTTTCAGCACCAGCACAGGGCGGCCCGGACCAGGAGGTGAAGCTTTCTGCTGTGGCTGCGCCCTTGCCCACGGCGATCCACCTGGCTCATTCTCTGCCTGTTCATCACCTGTCCTCCTCCTCCTCCTCCTCAGCTCTCAGACCCCATCAGACACCCTTCCGAGTCTCAAGGGCCGAGGTCCCGGGCCAGTCCTCACCTGCAGTGCACGATGGGCGGGCCTCCCTCTGCAGTCTGGTCCAACCACTGCCGGAGAATCTTCCAGAAGGCCAGCAAGGGGTCTGGGGAGTGGGGGACGCCGTGGTCCGGCCAGGCCAGGTAGTGGAATTGGCGTGTGGAGAGTGTTTTCTGCTCATCCAGCTGGAGGGAGGGGGGAGCTTAGGGGACGCGGGCAGCCCTAGCGGCAGGCCTGGTCAGGGTACCCAGCACGGCCATCTGGGAGATGCAAGGCTGGGGAACTCACGTGGAGGAGCTGCAGGTCTCGCACCGCCCAGTTCTCTGTCACCTCCTCGGCCACCAGCGTGACCCGCAGCTGCCCGTGGGTGCAGGGCTGAGCGTCCAGGGGCCAGTAGTGCTCACACTTGACCTGGGGAGGATGGGACTCTGTCTGGGAGGACGGTAGAGCCCTACCTCCCCATGGCCGGAGGGTCACATGTGGGCTGTCTCCTCCTCATAGACCAGTGGGGTCTGGAGGTGGGGCCTTCCAGAGGTGACCAATGACGCTGGCCTTAGGGGCTCTCTTAGAGCGACATGAACCCGGGACCCTCGCAGCAGATCTACCTCTGTCCTGCACTTGTGTCCCAGTCCGGAGCACACAGGCACAGCAACAAAACACAGAGTAAGACAGCACCCCCCCACACACAGACCAGTGCCCTGCCTTGGAAGAGGGTCCACAGCAAGACAGCCTGAGGGGCAGGGGACCAGGATCAGCACCAGGGGACCAGGGCCAGCACCAAGGGACTAGGGTCAGCATCAGGGGACGAGGGCCAGCGGCAGGGAACCAGGGTCAGCGCCAGGGGACCAGGGTCAGCACCAGCAGACCAGGGTCAGTGGCAGGGGACGAGGGTCAGCGGCAGGGGACGAGGGCCAGCGCCAGGGGACCAGGGTCAGCACCAGGGGATCAGGGTCAGTGCCAGGGGACCAGGGTCAGCGCCAGGGGACGAGGGCCAGCGGCAGGGGACCAGGGTCAGCACCAGGGGACCAGGGTCAGCACCAGGGGACCAGGGTCAGCAGCAGGGGACGAGGGCCAGCGCCAGGGGACCAGGGCCAGCGCCAGGGCTGACGGCTCCTCTTACCTGGCCAGACTCCACGCAGTTGGTGAGCATGACCAGAGTCTGGCTCTGCTGTTCCCACACCAGACGCCAGAAGTCGCCCACGGTGTGGGGCAGGGGGCCCTGGGCTGCAATGAACTCCTTGGGACCCCAGAGACCCTGGGGGAGGGAAGCAGGTGTGTCAGGACGGCGGAGAGTCATCCCAGGAGCCCTCTGGCCCTTTGTTACCAGGGGCTCCCCCACCCCCATCTTACAGGCAGGAAGCTGGCGTTGATGTAGTCAGAACCTGGTCCCCCGAGGAAGGGTTTCAGGGGCACCCGGGACGAGTCGTCTAGCAGAGTAGGTCAGGGGGACAGTGAGAGGCAGACCCAGGTGGGGTTGGGAGGAGGGGCCCAGGGCAGGTTTCGGACAGGATGGGGGGCCTGGGCAGGGGCAGGGTAGGATGGCCAGGGACCCAGGCAGGCCTGGGGAGCTGGGGCAGGATGGTGGGGGACTGCAGCGGGGCAGGTGACCAGGGAAGGGTGGGGTAGCTGGGTAGGATGGGGGGCTGCGGGAGGGTGGTGGGGGGCTAGGACAGGGCGTGGGGCCAACTTACAAGGCAGCACGTTCCTGTAGCGGTTCTTGGTGACGTTCTCGGGAGCGGTGGCCGCCAGCTGAGACAGGCCTTGGCCCTCCAGAGCCAGTTGCTGAGGGGAGGCAGGGGCTGCTGGCTCCACTTCCCCTCAAGGACGCCCAGTTCCCCCCCGCCCTTTCCCTGGGGCAGTTGGAGAGGACACCAGGCCAGGGGGCTGGGCCGAGTACCCCTCATGGTCAGTGCGAGCCGTCCAGGAGGCGGCCCTGGGCTCCCATGTGAGTGGGCAGGATGGGGCCCGCGTGCCTCACAGACCTGGTACTCCTCAGCGAAGCCATAGTTGCTGTCCTTCCCCTGCCGCCTGACGTGCTCAGGGAAGTCTTGGGCCGGGATGTCCCCTGGGAAGCTGGGGGTGGGAGACAATTTAACGTCCTCTGCTCTTGTTCTGTACCCAGCAAGCCTACTCCGGGGTGTAGGCCGGGACCCAGAGCAGAAAATGAAGCAAGGTCTCTGACACACGCCCACCTAGCGAGGTCACGGCGGGCAGGGCATGGTGGTCAGTGTTTGCTAAGACTGTTAGATATAGGTCCAAGTGATGCTGGTGGTGGCGTTCACCAAGCAACGTGTTAATGGGGCCTGGCACCGCGGCATAGCAAGTAAAGCTGAGCCTGCAGTGTCAGCATCCCATATGGGTGCTGGTTCAAGCCCCAGCTGTTCTACTTCCAATCCAGCTCCCTGCTAAAGGCCTGGCAAAAAGCAGCAGAGGATGGCTCAAGTCCTTGGTCCCCTACAACCCACGTGGGGGACCTGGAAGAAGCTCCCGGCTCCTGGCTGCAGTCTGGCTCAGCCCTGGCTATTGGACACAAGATCCTTCTGTCTCTCTCTGTAACGCTCTCAAACAGATCAGTCTTAAGAAGTGAAAGCAGAGTGTGGGTGTGTCGCGACGCCAGGTTGCACAGGGAAATGCAGCTTTTCCCACCAGGACCACCGTCGTCTGACCCCAGCCAGCACCACCTCCCTCACTTCTCCCCACTGGCCTGGAAACACGTGATTTAAATCAAAAATCCTGACGTTGTGTTGCTGCACCCTTCTCCCTCCTACGCTGCTGACCGCACTCAGGAATCCCCTCCTGTCACTCAGCCCCAAAACAGCTGCTTCACTTCACCCCCACGCCAGGGCCTCTCCGCTCTCCCCATCACCCCGAAGCCGACCACCGGCCACCAGGGACAGCACATCTGTCCCAGAGCCACAGAAGTGATTCAAAGCAGCCCAGGTGGCATCCTGTCCCCGACACACTGCGGTGGACGCTCTGGTTCCTAGTCCCTCAAGAGCCGTCCCTCTCCAGACGCATCCCCTGCAGCATGTCCTGTCATCTCCCCCGCAGCCTGCACACTGCGACACTGCACAAGGCCTGCGCCTAAGGCCTGGGGTCCTCCACCTGCTGCGGGTGGGGGACACGCCGGCCAGGACAGGCTGTGTGGCGGGTAAGCGCCTGGACACACTCCTCTTTCACTATTGCTTCTGCTCCACGCCTCGAGGGAACACTGCGTGGGCTCATCACATACCCTGGCTCCCAGCTGTCCTTCCTCCCTGGCATCGCCCCTGGGGGTGAAACAGGAGGAGGGAGGGTCTTCTTGGGCAAGGGACACATTTCTGCACTCTGCGTCCACCTGCCGGCTGCAGCCCCCGAGCTCACCCTTCAGCCTCTTGAGTACCCGACAGCACGGGGTGCTGTGTGGGCGGACTCGCTGACCACAGCCCTCCCCCGCAGTGCGAGACCCGCCAGCCGGTCCTGCCAGCACCCCACACCTTCGCTCACCTGAACGTCAGGTCCCTGGGTGCCGCCTTCTTCTGGCTCTCCTTCTTCTTTCTGGAACACAGGTGGGACATGCGGCTCAGCGGGCAGTGTCCACTCCCCATTCCCTGTGCCACTCTGCCCTCCAGGGTCCGCTTCGTGCCTTCTTACCTCTTTCTCAAGAAGAAAACCAGCAGGCCCACCAGGACGAGGAAGAGGAGGATGCCCACGATGGACCCAGCAATGACCCCTGAGGGAAGAGGCATGGGGAACTATTGGGCAACGTCCCCCATCGGTGTGCCCACCCAGCACAGTGACCAGAGAGCCAAGCCAGAGGAGAGGAAGACCGACCTTCCACCCCTCCTTCCCTGGGAGCCTGGTCCCTCAGGAGGTAAAAAGTGTGTGTCTCTCCCATTGGTTCCAGTAGAAAACAGGGCTGAAAACAGAACCACCAGCTGACTGGGGTGATGGACTGTGCCGGGCCCTGTACTTGCAACTACACACAAGAATCTGGTCCGGGATCACCTCGGACAGTTTCTTTGGGGATCTCCCCAGTCGAACTGCTGGACTCAGAACCCTAACCATGAAGAGAAGTGCAGGTTCCATGGTCTGCCATGGAGTACAAGTGTCAGAGCCGAGCTGCTCCTACCAGCAGAGCTGCTCCCACCAGCCGAGCTGCTCCCACCAGCAGAGCCAGTAACGTGGACAGGGAGAGGGTCTGGGGATGAAGCCCCCACAGCAGACCAATGATGGTAGAAGTCTCTACATTGCTCCTTCACCTCTCCTTATTTATTCTCCCCCCTCCACCCGTCCTAATTTAGCCAGGAAATTGGGCACAGATGAGTCCAGTTAGTCTCGGTGCTTTTCGCTACAAGCCCAGTTCCTGTTCCTGCCCAGTCCAAAGCGCCAATCAACTCCTTAGCCCACAGCACCAAGCCTCCTCAGAGGCTCGGATGGAGCAGTGGACAGCCCAGCCAGGTGCACATGGAGGACATGGCAGTCCTCAGAAACCTGCAGAGGACACCTGGCACCACAACAGAGGACAGAACAAATCAATCAACTACCCCAGCCATATGTTGGCAGTGAAAACTGGGCAAACGGAGACTCTAAGGTGGACTACGTCAATCAGTGGATTCTGCAGCGACTTCATCGTGCTTGGAATGGTGAGATTGGCAGCAATTCAGAACTGTTGAATTATCAAAACTGCTTGAGCAAGACCCTCGGAGCATGCCCCACATCAGGGACCTGGGGTGGGGGGTGGGGGGCAGGGAGGCTGGGTGGGACCTGGGGTGGGGGGCGGGGAGGCTGGGTGGGACCTGGGGTGGGGGGCGGGGAGGCTGGGTGGGGCTTCTCCTTTTATCTCTCCCTTTACCCCAGATACAGAAAAAAAAAATGTGGGAATAATAGTCTTACCCACTTTCCTGTAGCCCTTGACCCTTTGTGCCCTAATTAACTATGTAAAGATTGTCAAAAATAAAGAAAAAAAAGAACACGACAAAAGAGTGGGTGTCTCTTCTTTGGCTGACTGCTGATGCTCCTCTATGGGACAAAGACACCGTGGGACTGTCACAGGTGGAGGGTGCAGGCCAGGGGCGCTGCCCTGGACAGCCCCTCCCAACGCAAGGTGACTGCCCAAGATGTTGGCAGAACCTCTTCTCTGAAGGAGGCTGCCAGCCACCGGCATGAGTAGGGTTCTGAGCTGGACATGCCTTGTGGTTGAGGGAGCCACACCCCTGGGTACAGCCTGGCCAGTCCCAGCTCACCCCACTTTGGCCTCCAGCATCTGTCCAGGTTGCAGACCCCAGCTGCTAGAAGCTTTGACCCCTAGGTAGTGACTGATGGGCACAGGGGCCGGGGTGAGGGGAGCTGTCCGAGGCTCACACTCGAGACTTGCTCAGGTGCCCCACTCACACGGCAGAAATCTTGCTGTTACAGGCAAAATGAACGTGAGTCTCCTGGGTCGCTTCTGGAAAGGAGGTGACACCCACACAGACTGGATGCTGGTAGTGGCTGTCCCCACAACAGTCACAAGGGGGAGCCACCCCACCTGCCTCTTGCAGCTGAGAGGAAGAATCCTGCGAGGCCTGGCCCTACCGTCAGTGCCACAGGATAAAGTGCCACCTCACTCCATCCTGTGCATAAACCCTGCAAACATCACGGCCGCTTCCACTTTGGTGAAACGCCCGGAACAGGCCAGTGTCCAGAGACGGAAGGAGCCTCAGCGAAAGAGACAGAAACAGCCTCGCACACGGAGTGGCATCGGCAAACACCGAGCAGAGGACATCTCCCCAGCTCTGGGGCCCGCAGGGAGAGTCTCACCTCCGCTCTCGGTGTGGCAGGTCGTGGAGGCGGCCGAGGCGCTCAGCCCACGCCAGAGAGTAGTAACGGTGGCTTTGTAGGACCGAGCAGGCTGGAGCTCCCCCACAGTCCTGGGCTTGCTGCACGAAGCTTCTTCCTTGATTATGTTCCCGCCCACATGCACCTGGAATTTGTCGTAGCCCCCCTGGGGGCAGGACCAGTTCAGGACGACCGCGTAGCCCCCCGAGGTGCTGACGCAGGAGTCGATGACAACCGCGGCTGGCACTGGGGGCAGGGAACACAAACAATCAGTAAGAGGAGCCATCCAGGTGGCTTCCTGTCCAAGTGGATGTTCTTATCTCATTGCCTCTTCTCAGACACGATCCCCTCACACTCCCTGGACCTGTGTATTCAGGATCATGGCAGCTAATGATCTCATGGCCCCTTGGTCCACACACCGCCGACATCCCCACCGGTAAAGCAAGGCTGGGACATCTCACCAGTGGACGCTCGGAGGCTCTGTGCGGAACTGGTCACATTATTCATCTCCGCCCAGACGCTGAAGACGTACTCGGTGCCAGGCTCAAGGTCCGTCACGTTGTACCACGTGTCCAAGAGCCTGTCTGTCTGACTGGCTCCATCTGCCTGAGGGTCCTGCCTGCTCCGAGGTTGTTCCACGCGGATCCACTGCACACTGTACACATACCCTTCGGAGTGCGGGTCTGAGGGGGCCGTCCACCGCAGAGTGACTGAGCGGCTGGTCTGAGTCACGTTGTGCAGGCCCACGACTTCACTGGGGGCTGAAACGTGAAGATGCAACCCTAAGCAGCAGGGTCTACCTTCAAGACGCCTCCCGAACCAGCCTGTTTTCCTGCCAAAATGTCCCCGTCACTGACGACTCTATGGACTTAAGGTGAGCCCCAGAAGCGACCCTAGCACTTCAACACCTGGTGGGGGGCCGGAAGTTGCCAATTACTTTGTGTCCCCTGGCTTCACCCTTGCTACCTTTCTGTTACCCCTGAATGGGTCCAGGTTGCATGAACTACAACTCCCATGAGGATCTGAACTCTGCCACTGTGCAAGATAAACAGCAGGACCCCACAATCTGATGACGTGGAGTCCACCCCCCTCTCAGCCCACAACAGCTGACCTTGTCTAATTGCTTCATCAGTGGCCTTCCAGGGAAAGGGTCCTGTTGGGTCAGCCTGGTGGAGAGTGGATAAAGACTGGGAGCCTGACAACCAGGCTCTAAGAACATGAGCTGTGCAACTAACCCAGAACTTTACAAAATGTGATGGAGCTTAAAGTTTCACAGCCAGATACGGCCCGAGGCAGCCACACTTGACAAGCAAAGCCCAGAGATGTCCAGACCAGGGCACACGCATGGGGGCTGCAGGAAGGGCCGTGACGAGCACTCAGGGGCTCCTCCTTCAGGACCTCACAGCACAGGTGATGCCATGCACACTGGACGACACTATTGTGGGTCTAACACGATGTGGAGTCATGAACAGGATGACACACTTACACTCTGTGTGTGTGTGCTTATGCTGATGTGGCAGATAGAAAATTGAAATTCTCTTGTGTTGGGTACAAACCCGACCATGCTCTCTGCTGGCTCTCACCCGTCCCTCACTCAGAGCAGCGAGAACAGCCCGGGGCGGCCCTCACCTGTGGCGGCAGTGATGCTCTCCATGGGGCTGCTGAGTCCCTCCTTCTCCACCCACACGTGACACGTGTATGAGGTTCCCGCTGTGAGTCCATCCACAGTGGCACTGGTCACTGTCGTGTTCTGGGTCACATTTCTGCCATCACTGCCCATGCAGTGGATCTGGTAGGTGAGGTTCTCATTGTTGGGGTCCTTGGGCGCTTCAGGGGCCTCCCACGTCAGCATGATGGAGCTGTTGGTCTGAGCAACCACTGCCAGGTTTCTCACTGCATTGGGGGCTGCAAATCACAAGAGAATCAGAAGCAGCTGTAGCTCCTGGTCTTGAAGGGGCTGGTGTAGCTGCCTGACAGGTAAGGCCACCACCGCCTGTGGTGCTGGCATCCCACTGGGGCATTGGTTCCAGTCGCAGTTGCTCCAGTTCTGACCCAGCTCACTACTACTGGCCTTGGAAAGCAGCAAACATTGACACAAGTCCTTGGGTCCCTAAACCCAGGTGGGCAACCCAGAAGCTATGGCCGGGTCACATTTCTGCATCACTGCCCATGCAGTGGACCCGGTAGGTCCTTATCTTCACTTCTCAGCCATAGCCACTGAAGTCATTTGGGTAGTGAACCAGCAAATGTAAGCTTTCTCCCCCTATGTTTGTGAGTATCTAATCTGACTCTGTCATACAAATAATTAAATAAAATCTTTAAAAATGAAATGTGGCAGAGCATAGTAGCCTAGCAGCTAAAGTCCTTACCTTGCATGACCCGGTATCTCATATTGGCACTGGTTCAAATCCCACCAGCTACACTTCCCTTCCAGTTCCCTAATAGTAGTTGATAGGAAAGCAGTCAAGAGCAGCCCAAAGCTTGGGACCCTAACCCGCTTTGGAGACCTGGAGGAAGTTCCTGATTTCTGGCTTTGGATCAGCTCAGCTGTGGACTTTGAGCCATGTGGATCAAAGTAAACCAGTGGATCAAAGATTTCGCTCCCTATGGTTATGTGTTTTCTTGTTTCAGCTCTGCCTTACATATAAATATATGTGTTATAAGGTGAAGGAAGTCATCAGCGAGGGGTTCACAAGTCCCAGGTCCTGGTGACTGTGTGGTGCTCCTCGTGGCTGCACTGAACTGCGGAGTGAAAAACACACACAAGGGCTGGAGGAAGGGCTGTGACCAGCACTCAGGGGCTCCTCCTTCAGGACCTCACAGCATGGGTAATGCCATGCACACTGGACGACACTATTGTGGAGCCATGTCACAGGGAGATGCCCTTCCGCAGTGTGTGTGTGTGTGTGTGTGTGTGTGTGTGTGTGTGCGTGTGTGTGTATGCTGACGGGGCCAATGGAAAATTGAAATTCTCTGACGTTGTGCTCAGACCCAGCCATGCTCTCTGCTGGCTCTCACCCGTCCCTCACTCAGAGCAGCGAGAACAGCCCGGGGCGGCCCTCACCTGTGGCGGCAGTGATGCTCTCCATGGGGCTGCTGAGTCCCTCCTTCTCCACCCACACGTGACATGTGTATGAGGTTCCCGCTGTGAGTCCATCCACAGTGGCACTGGTCACTGTCGTGTTCTGGGTCACATTTCTGCCATCACTGCCCATGCAGTGGATCTGGTAGGTGAAGTTGTGGGTGTCGGGGTCCTCGGGGGCTTCGGGGTCCTCCCACGTCAGTGTGATGGAGCTGTTGGTCTGAGCAACCACTGCCAGGTTTCTCACTGCATTGGGGGCTGCAAATCACAAGAGAATCAGAAGCAGCTGTAGCTCCTGGTCTTGAAGGGGCTGGTGTAGCTGCCTGACAGGTAAGGCCACCACCGCCTGTGGTGCTGGCATCCCACTGGGGCATTGGTTCCAGTCCCAGTTGCTCCAGTTCTGACCTAGCTAACTGCTAACGCATCAGGACACGGTAGCAGATGGCTCATGTACTTAGTTCCTTGCACTCATGTGGCCGACCGGGAAGAAGTTCCTGGGTCCTGGCCCCTGGCTTCAGTGCAGTGAAGTCATTACATCCACTTGGAAAGTAATCCAGAAGATGAAGGTCTCTATCTTGTTCTGCCCCCTGTAACTCTGCCTTCTTGCGCTCAGCTGTGTCCTGACAGAGGAGTTCCCCAAGCTCCTCTATCATGCCATCTCCCAGATGCAGATCTCACACACACTGGCAGGTTCTTGGTCCAGTCTGACTTGGAAAACCTCCTGCCCAGAGGTACAGCAGCCTTGCCCATCTGCCTACACCCATGCCAGCTCTTACCATTGGGTGCTACAGCCCAGTGGCACCTGGCCCACCCCCAGACCCAGCTTTCACCAGACTCATAGGGTGTCAGGATCTAGCCCTGCCTGTTCTACACCCACTCTGGCTCTACAGAGCTATAATAGGGGGTCCTAGCACCTAGCCCAGGCTGGCACACCCCAGAACCAGTCCACAGCCATGCCGAGGGAAGCTTCAGTCATGTCTAGACATGGCTGATACTGGCTTTCATGCTCACCAGTGGGAACTGCAGCCCAGTCCGGCATCCCCTTAGCTCCCCAAGTGGGACACCGCTCAGTCACAGACTCTGCACAGATTTGGTGCAACTTCTAACCCAGCCTGGCACAAAAGCCCTTTCTTCGTCTTAGCCTTTGCCATCAGATGCTGCACTCTGACCTGGCCCAGCCTGCCAGTAGTCTCGACCCTCCCTGGTGGGTGCCATAGTCGAGCACTGCCCAGCCTGCCCCCATCCCTGCCTCTCATGCAAACCAGTATGTATGGTAGCCTAGCCTAGATCAGCATGGCCCACACCCAATCCTGCTATTCTGGTGATGCCAGTATGCTCTAGTTTGGCCTGACTCTGACTGGTCCATGCCTCCACAGCCAACCCACACACTGTGCCAACACGTGCAGCCTTGCCGAGCATGACCAACACTCAGCCCTGACTCATGTGCACACAGGCAGGGGCTACAGCCTACCAGTGCAGTGTCCTGACTTCCCCACAGGACCACCTCCTAGACCAGTTACCACACATGCCATCGGGTGTTAGGCCCTGACCCACATACGGCGACCCCCAGCCACAGCTTTTGTGTGTGCTGGAGCATTCTGTGGCACAGACTGGGTCAAGTCCAATCCTTGTGTGTGTTTATGGGTGCTGACCCGGGTGCATCACTTTCCATGTGGTCCCTGCTAAAGGCAGGAAGAGCAGTAAGGATGAGGCAAGTGCTAGAGCCTTGCACCCACATGGGAGACCAGGATGAAGATCCTGGCTGCCAGCTCTCGGCTTTGGGCCAGCCCAGCCATGGCTGATGCTGATATATGTGGAGTAAACCAGCAGGAGAAATCCTCTCTCTCTCTCTCTCCCCCTCTCTCTCTGTAAATATGCCTTGTAAAAAAATAAGCTAAAAAAGAATTGAAATTCTCTTCTGGGAGACCCAGAGTTAGCACCAAGATTCTGCCTACGGACTGGCTCAGCTCTGGCCTTGGCAGTCACTGGGGAGTGAAACACTGGCTGGGAGATCATTACCCTATGTTTGTCTGTTCACATCTCTGTGGATTTGCATTACATATAAATAAAATCCTAAACAGGCGAAGGGAGTCGTCCCTGGTGGGGCTACAAGTCCTGATACTGTCCAGTGCTCCTTTCCTGGCTGCACTGAACTGCGGAGTGAAAAACACACACAAGGGCTGGAGGAAGGGCTGTGACGAGCACTCAGGGGCTCCTCCTTCAGGACCTCACAGCACAGGTGATGCCATGCACACTGGACGACACTATTGTGGGTCTAACACGATGTGGAGCCATGAACAGGATGATGCAGCTTCATGTGTGTGTGTGTGTGAGTGTGTGTGTGTGTGTGTATGCTGATGGGGCCAATGGAAATTGAAATTCTCTGACGTTGTGCTCAGACCCAGCCATGCTCTCTGCTGGCTCTCACCCGTCCCTCACTCAGAGCAGCGAGAACAGCCCGGGGCGGCCCTCACCTGTGGCGGCAGTGATGCTCTCCATGGGGCTGCTGAGTCCCTCCTTCTCCACCCACACGTGACACGTGTATGAGGTTCCCGCTGTGAGTCCATCCACAGTGGCACTGGTCACTGTCGTGTTCTGGGTCACATTTCTGCCATCACTGCCCATGCAGTGGATCTGGTAGGTGAAGTTGTGGGTGTCGGGGTCCTCGGGGGCTTCGGGGTCCTCCCACGTCAGCGTGATGGAGCTGTTGGTCTGAGCAACCACTGCCAGGTTTCTCACTGCATTGGGGGCTGCAAATCACAAGAGAATCAGAAGCAGCTGTAGCTCCTGGTCTTGAAGGGGCTGGTGTAGCTGCCTGACAGGTAAGGCCACCACCGCCTGTGGTGCTGGCATCCCACTGGGGCATTGGTTCCAGTCCCAGTTGCTCCAGTTCTGACCTAGCTAACTGCTAACGCATCAGGACACGGCTGGAATGGGGGCTGTGTTCTGATCTGGGAACGGTTGTGGTCTCCCTTGGCACAAGTGACGACTGGGAATGGATGCACCGAGCCAGGCCAGACTCCAGCACCCTCTGGTGTCCTGGAGGACCAGGATAGATGTAGGATGGACTAGGCAAGGTCTCAACCCCTACTGGACCATGTGTGAGCCGTAGGTGGGTATGGACAAGCCATGGCTGGGCTGAAACATCCAACAGCAAGGACCAGTTTGGGTTGAAGGCCAGTCAGGAAAAGCCACTGTTGCTTCTAGGGCAGGAGGTGAATTGAGTAGGGCTGGCTCATGGACCCACCGGTATGCACAAAACCTGGCACTGAGAGAGGTTCTGATGGAGGAGCCTGGGCAACTCCTCTGGCAGGACACAGACCCGGCAGGTAAGCACAGGAAACATGGTAGGAAACAGCCCAGAACAGGCCATGGAAAGTTACCCACTGGCATACAATTGGCCTGGGTCGGGGGAAGACCAGGCTGAATCAGTCTATGTCATCCACTGGCAAATCCAAGCACCAGAACAGTGTCAGTCGAGCCGGGTTCGGTCGCAACAAAAAGTAGTGCACGATACGGAATGCCAAGGTGAGGTTGCCTGTACCAGAAGTGACCCCAGCGCCCAACCAGCAAGCTTGAGAACAAGGAAGGGAGGGGTCAGAGCCGGCAGGGGAATAATGGGTGGTTCCTTTGCTGGACAGCTACTCCTGCTAGAGAGCATGGGCTGGGATGGGGGCAGACCAGACTGGACTACCGCTACACATACTGGCAAACCAGGGTAGGGGCAGGCCTGGTGAGGGTTAGTGTGGGTCGTGCCAACTAGGCTGCAGCTCCCACTTGTTTATGCGAGAGCCGAGTATGTACTGGGCAGAACCAAGCTGGACTGCAACACCCATTGGTTCCAGTACAAGTCGGGAGTGAAAACAGAACCAACCCAGCAACTGCAACCACCAGCTGATCGGGGTGACGGACTGTGCCGGGCCCTGTACTTGCTAGCACATACAAGAATCTGGTTTGAGAACACCTCAGACAAAGTTTCTTTGGAGATCTCCCCAATCAAAATGTTGGACTCAGAACCCTAACCAAGACAGAGAGAAGACAGAACAGGTCAACCAACCATCTCAGCTATATGTTGGCAGTGAAATACGGGGCAAACAGAGACTCTGTGATGGACTATGTCAATCAGTGGATTCTTCAAAGACCTCATAGTGCTTGGAGTGGCAAGACTGGCAGTGATTCATAATTTTTTGAAATATTAAAACCACTGGAGCAAGAACCTTGGAGCATACCGTACATCCGGGACCTGGGGAGGGTGGGAAATTGGGTGGACCTTCACCCTTAATACCCTGCGTGAAACATGAAGGAAATAATATGGAAATAATAATCTTACCTGCTTTCCTATAGTCCTTGAAGCTTTTAACCCTAATTAACTATGTAAAGATTGTCAACATATAATAATAATAATAAAAAGAAATTCTCTGACGTTGTGCTCAGACCCAGCCATGCTCTCTGCTGGCTCTCACCCGTCCCTCACTCAGAGCAGCGAGAACAGCCCGGGGCGGCCCTCACCTGTGGCGGCAGTGATGCTCTCCATGGGGCTGCTGAGTCCCTCCTTCTCCACCCACACGTGACACGTGTATGAGGTTCCCGCTGTGAGTCCATCCACAGTGGCACTGGTCACTGTCGTGTTCTGGGTCACATTTCTGCCATCACTGCCCATGCAGTGGATCTGGTAGGTGAAGTTGTGGGTGTCGGGGTCCTCGGGGGCTTCGGGGTCCTCCCACGTCAGCGTGATGGAGCTGTTGGTCTGAGCAACCACTGCCAGGTTTCTCACTGCATTGGGGGCTGCAAATCACAAGAGAATCAGAAGCAGCTGTAGCTCCTGGTCTTGAAGGGGCTGGTGTAGCTGCCTGACAGGTAAGGCCACCACCGCCTGTGGTGCTGGCATCCCACTGGGGCATTGGTTCCAGTCCCAGTTGCTCCAGTTCTGACCTAGCTAACTGCTAACGCATCAGGACACGGCTGGAATGGGGGCTGTGTTCTGATCTGGGAACGGTTGTGGTCTCCCTTGGCACAAGTGACGACTGGGAATGGATGCACCGAGCCAGGCCAGACTCCAGCACCCTCTGGTGTCCTGGAGGACCAGGATAGATGTAGGATGGACTAGGCAAGGTCTCAACCCCTACTGGACCATGTGTGAGCCGTAGGTGGGTATGGACAAGCCATGGCTGGGCTGAAACATCCAACAGCAAGGAACAGTTTGGGTTGAAGGCCAGTCAGGAAAAGCCACTGTTGCTTCTAGGACAGGAGGTGAATTGAGTAGGGCTGGCTCATGGACCCACCGGTATGCGCGAAACCTGGCACTGAGAGAGGTTCTGATGGAGGAGCCTGGGCAACTCCTCTGGCAGGACACAGACCCGGCAGGTAAGCACAGGAAACATGGTAGGAAACAGCCCAGAACAGGCCATGGAAAGTTACCCACTGGCATACAATTGGCCTGGGTCAGGGGAAGACCAGGCTGAATCAGTCTGTGTCATCAGCTGGCAAATCCAAGCACCAGAATAGTGTCAGTCGAGCCGGGTTCGGTCGCAACAAAAAGTAGTGCACGATACGGAATGCCAAGGTGAGGTTGCCTGTGCCAGCAGTGACCCCAGCGCCCAACCAGCAAGCTTAAGAACAAGGAATGGAGGGGGCAGAGTTGGCAGGAGAATAATGGGTGGTTCCTTTGCTGGACAGCTACTCCTGCTGGAGAGCATGAGCTGGGATGGGGGCAGACCAGACTAGGCAGGGCTATAATACCTGTACGCCTCATGTGGACTAGATCAGGGAAAAGCCAGGCTGGGCTGATTATTCCTACTGGTGCAAACAAAATTAGAGTGGGTGAGAGTTGTTTGGGCTTAGCCATAGCATCAGCTGGCAGAAGCTGGCACTGGGGGCTAGTTCTGTCAAGTCAAACCACAGCACTACCTGGAGAGTGCCTAATCTGGGAGTGGGAGAGGCCTGGGGGGGAAATAGTGGGCTCCTTCCTCTTGGGTTACCACTCCCATGGGAGGGCACGAAAACTAGGACAGAGGCTGGGGTGGAATGGGGTGTAGGACAGACTGGACTACCGCTACACATACTGGCAAACCAGGGTAGGGGCAGGCCTGGTGAGGGTTAGTGTGGGTCGTGCCAACTAGGCTGCAGCTCCCACTTGTTTATGCGAGAGCCGAGTATGTACTGGGCAGAACCAAGCTGGACTGCAACACCCATTGGTTCCAGTGCAAGTCGGGAGTGAAAACAGAACCAACCCAGCAACTGCAACCACCAGCTGATCGGGGTGACGGACTGTGCCGGGCCCTGTACTTGCTAGCACATACAAGAATCTGGTTTGAGAACACCTCAGACAAAGTTTCTTTGGAGATCTCCCCAATCAAAATGTTGGACTCAGAACCCTAACCAAGACAGAGAGAAGACAGAACAGGTCAACCAACCATCTCAGCTATATGTTGGCAGTGAAATACGGGGCAAACAGAGACTCTGTGATGGACTATGTCAATCAGTGGATTCTTCAAAGACCTCATAGTGCTTGGAGTGGCAAGACTGGCAGTGATTCATAATTTTTTGAAATATTAAAACCACTGGAGCAAGAACCTTGGAGCATACCGTACATCCGGGACCTGGGGAGGGTGGGAAATTGGGTGGACCTTCACCCTTAATACCCTGCGTGAAACATGAAGGAAATAATATGGAAATAATAATCTTACCTGCTTTCCTATAGTCCTTGAAGCTTTTAACCCTAATTAACTATGTAAAGATTGTCAACATATAATAATAATAATAAAAAGAAATTCTCTGACGTTGTGCTCAGACCCAGCCATGCTCTCTGCTGGCTCTCACCCGTCCCTCACTCAGAGCAGCGAGAACAGCCCGGGGCGGCCCTCACCTGTGGCGGCAGTGATGCTCTCCATGGGGCTGCTGAGTCCCTCCTTCTCCACCCACACGTGACACGTGTATGAGGTTCCCGCTGTGAGTCCATCCACAGTGGCACTGGTCACTGTCGTGTTCTGGGTCACATTTCTGCCATCACTGCCCATGCAGTGGATCTGGTAGGTGAAGTTGTGGGTGTCGGGGTCCTCGGGGGCTTCGGGGTCCTCCCACGTCAGCGTGATGGAGCTGTTGGTCTGAGCAACCACTGCCAGGTTTCTCACTGCATTGGGGGCTGCAAATCACAAGAGAATCAGAAGCAGCTGTAGCTCCTGGTCTTGAAGGGGCTGGTGTAGCTGCCTGACAGGTAAGGCCACCACCGCCTGTGGTGCTGGCATCCCACTGGGGCATTGGTTCCAGTCCCAGTTGTCCAGTTTTGATTCAGCTCACTACTACTGGCCTTGGAAAGCAGCAAATGGTGGGCCAAGTCCTGGGGTTGCTAAACCTATGTGGGTGACCCAGAATTCCTTATGCTTAAAGCCCTGCGGTGGCTGTTACAGCCAAGTGAAGCAAAATTGGAAACTTTCTGTCTGTCTTCTCTGCCTCCCTCACTCTCTACCTCCTCTATTCCCCTCTCTCCATATAACTCCATTTTGGAATTAAATTTTAAAAATCCTTAATAATATTTCTTAATATTCCAGTAGCACTGGAAAGGACACTGCATTGTACAACACATCCATATAGCAGCTGGTCCAGGTCCTGCTTACTCCACTTTCCATGCAGCTCCCTACCTGTGACTCGGGAAGGCAGTGGAGGATGGCCAAGCGCCTGGGCCCTGCACCCATAAGGGAGACCCAGATGAAGCTACTGGCTTTGGAGCAGGCCAACTTCACTCTGGGCATCTCTGCAGTGAGCTGGGGGATCAAAGATCCCTCTCCCTCTGTAAGGTTCTGTTTCTGTAACTCTGCCTTACAAATAAATAAAATCTTAAGATAGGAAGTGATTTGTCCTTGTTGGGGTCCACAAGTAGGTCCTTGTAGGGTGCTCCTTTCGTGGCTGCCTTGTACTGGGGTGTGAAACACATGAGGGCAGCAGGAAGGGCTGTGACGAGCACTCAGGGGCTCCTCCTTCAGGCCCTCACAGCACAGGTGATGCCACGCACACTGGACGACACTATTGTGGGTCTAACACGATGTGGAGCCATGAACAGGATGATGCAGCTTCATGTGTGTGTGTGTGTGTGTGTGTGTGTGTGTGTGTATGCTGACGGGGCCAATGGAAAATTGAAATTCTCTGACGTTGTGCTCAGACCCAGCCATGCTCTCTGCTGGCTCTCACCCGTCCCTCACTCAGAGCAGCGAGAACAGCCCGGGGCGGCCCTCACCTGTGGCGGCAGTGATGCTCTCCATGGGGCTGCTGAGTCCCTCCTTCTCCACCCACACGTGACACGTGTATGAGGTTCCCGCTGTGAGTCCATCCACAGTGGCACTGGTCACTGTCGTGTTCTGGGTCTCATTTCTGCCATCACTGCCCATGCAGTGGACCCAGTAGGTGAGGTTCTCATTGTCGGAGTCCTCAGCCACTTCAGGGGCCTCCCACGTCAGCGTGATGGAGCTGTTGGTCTGAGCAACCACTGCCAGGTTTCTCACTGCATTGGGGGCTAAGCAGTTCACACGGAACAGAAGGTAGAAAATGGTTATTATCCCTCAGTCAAACCCACGAATCGTCGCTTCCTCCGTACCTGCCAGAGCCCTTCCAAGCTTTCAAGGAGAACCACCCTCCAGCAGAAACTCATGGGCAGTGGGACAGATGTCACTCACCGTCAGTTCCAGTGCACGTCCAGCTACACAGGCCCTAGACAGAACCCGGAGAAGAACGAATCACCTGTGGAGTCCAGGAGCTAGGTGAATGGGCATCTGGACAGGGTGCTCTCCTTCTGCACGGCCTCTGCCTCTGCCCCCTAAGTCACCCCGACCTGAAGCCACGAGGGGCCATGCGAGGCTCGGCCAGGATAAAGGTCACCGCAGTGTATGGTTGCTCGAAGGAGGAGGTGTGGTGTGCTATGGGCCGCCTACCAAGGACAGACCAGCTGGGATTGGCTCCACCCGATAAGACTCAGAGATAAACCTAAAGGTCCCACTGAAAAATATGCCCTTGGTGTGCCGGACCCTGTACTGGAAAGCACACACAAGAATCCAGTCTGGGATCATATCAGACAAAGTGTCTTTGGGGATCCCTTCAACTGAACTGCTACTCTCAGAACCCCAACCATGAACAGACTATGTCAGCCAGTGATTCTGAAGAGAGTTCATCATGCTTGGAATGGCGAGATTAGCAGCAATTCAGCACTGTTGAACTATCAAAAATGCTTGAGCAGTGCCCTCAGAGCATGCCCCACATCGTGGGCCTAGGATGGGTGAAAGGCTGGGTGGGGCTTCTCCCTTTATCTCTCCTATTACCCCAGATACAGAAAGTAATAAAAAAATAATATGAATGTGGAAACAATGATCTTACCTACTTTCCTGTAGCCCTTGACCCTTTGTGCCCTAATCAACTTTGTAAAGATTATCAAAATTAAAAAAATATATATATGCACATGCCCTTGGAAGACAGGGTGCAGGGAAGCAAACAATCCAGTGGGGAGAGGGTCTGAGGGATGAGGGGCAGAGAACAGAAGGTCTGAAGAAGCAGGGGAAAAGAGCAGATGGTCTGAGGGTGACGGGGTTTAAATCCCTGGATGTGAGGGAGCAGGAGCTGGAACGGGTGTGAAGGAATAGGGGCTGAGGGCCTGGACCCCTGGGTGTGAGGGAGGAGGGGCTGGGCTGGACCCCTGGGTGTGAGGGAGGAGGGGCTGGGCTGGACCCCTGGGTGTGAGGGAGGAGGGGCTGGACCCCTGGGTGTGAGGGAGGAGGGTCTGGGCTGGACCCCTGGGTGTGAGGGAGGATGGATTGGGCCTGATCATGGTCTTTGTGGGCACTGCAGTTTGCCAGGTTTGCGTTCACAGCAGCCAGCAGCCCGCAGCCGTTGATGGCGTTCCTTCTCGGTATCCAGCTCCTGGTTTCCCAGGCCCAGCACTCGGAGCTCCCAGTAAAAGCTTCCTTTTACCCAGAAGTTGCAGCCCTGGCCAGCTCCTCCCCAGGGACACCTCCTCTGTAGCCTCCCGTGGTAGGGGACACTCACCAACAGCACCAGGCTCCCCCAGGCACTGAGGCCACCACCAGACCCGGCCATATCTCCCGACTCCGCGGAGGGACCCAGGAGCCCCAGACTGGGCCTCTCACCTGCTGGACTTTGGACAGCACAGTTTCCTCCCTGTGGGCCTACTGCTGAGTCTGGAGGCCAGTACGGGAAGGGGAGGAGGAGGAAGTGGTAGCGGCCGGCTTGAGAGACCAGTCCTACCCTGCCCGTCTCACCTCCTGCCTCGCCTTGACCTCTGGCCCATCCAGGACTCCTTAGCCCACCACGCTGCTTCCCACCAAATGTCCCTGCCCATGTGGGTGAAGGCGGGACCTGGGCACAGGTGCTGTCCATCCTGCTGTGAGGCTGCTTGCTGTCGGCCCCTTGTGTCCCACAGGTCTGCCTCAGGCTCTGGCCCCGCTCCCCTGTCCCTGCCTCCCATGAGCCCTTGCAGCCCTCCCAATCGCAACCCTCTAGTATGTCCATGGCCTTTGTATGAACTGCAATAAATTACTTTTTTTTTTTTTATGTTTACTTATTTGAAAGGCAGAGTTAGAGAGATCTTCCAACTGCTGGTTCACTCCCCAAACAATGACAATCAGCAGGGCTGGGTCTGGAGGAACCCAGCTTCATCTGAGTGGCCCATGCAGATGCAAGGTTCCAAGCACTCGGACCATCTTCCACTGCTTTCTCAGGCACATTAACAGGGAGCTGGACTAGAAATGGAGCAGCCGGGATTCACATTGGTTCTCATGTGCTAAGCTGGCATCACAGGTGCCGGTTTAAGCTATTGTAGCACAATGCCAGGAATGTAGGATGGTGGCCCTGTTTGGCTGCACTTCAGCAGGTCCTGTTCATTTACCACCACCTGTCTAGCCGTCTTGTCCACTGTTCTCAGTTTCTCTCCCAATCCAGCGCCATATTAAAGCCCCTGGGAAAGCAGTGGGACATGTTCCATGTGCCTGGGCCTCTGCGTCCCAGTGGGAGACCCAGATGGAGATCCTGAATCCCAAGTTTGCCCTGGCTCAGCCTTGCTGTTCAGCCGCCTGGGGATGGACGATGCCTCTCCTCTCGCTCTGTAATTCTGCCTTTCACATAAATAAAATATGTTACAAAAAAAGAAAAATAAACAAAACACCATAGATCCTGCCATGAACCTGGTGACCCGCCCAAAGCAATTTAAATTCCAGGTAGCAGTGACAATCACACCCCAACCTTTGAACCCTGGCAGCCCGACAGCTCACTCCTCACTCATCCATCTGTCGGTGCTCTTGTGTTTGTGCTTCTGGATTCTCTCAATCCAGTCCCCTAACACAAAGTCTGTGCCTCAACTCTTCCTCCTTCCAGGGGTCACTTCCAGGGGCCTATGGGGTTCAGGGCCGGGGCAGTAGCTTTGCTGGTCTTTGAGTCCCTGTCAAGTGGGGTCCGAATGGGGGTCCCGGGAGGAGGACCGAGCAGGCTCTGGAACGCCCAGTGTTGGTCATCCCCTGGCTCCTCTGGGTGTGGCTGGGGCAGACCCTCAGACGGGCATGCAGGTGCAGGCTGGGGTCCCTTGTTCGTTGGGTCGGAGATGGATAGCAGGAAAGAGGAACAGAAGCCCCCAGGGTTTGCCCGGCCCTCAGGCAGCCCAGAGAGGGGAGCAGGGTTTGCCCGGCCCTCAGGCAGCCCAGAGAGGGGAGCAGAGTTTGCCTGGCCCTCAGGCAGCCCAGAGGGGCGGGGCACAGGTGACTCCTGCTTTCTCCTTCCAGCTGCGTTCCTAGCTGACGGGCCCTAGAGTGCAGGGGTAGACACTGTGGAACTGGGCTCAACACATTAACCCACCCCAGCCTTCCGTGCTCGCGTCACAGCCCGGGAGAGGCCTTCCCTGCTGTCCTGGCAATCCAGAAAGGACATGGGGCACTCTCCTGGCCCACAGGGACAGACATCCTCTCCAGTGTCTGAGACCCTCTCACAAGCAGAGATGCTCCCGGGAGCCTCCTGCGGTCTCAAGGGGCAGCTGCCCAGTGGTCTTCACTGCAATGGTGATGCCTGGGTGCTCCTGCCCAGTGGGCCAGGCCCACCTCCCCTGGCAGGCCTCTAGCTGCTGGGACTCCTGTTGGCCCCCCATGGCTCCTTGCCCCAGGGGTCCTTGCATGCACTGGAAAGTTCTTTCCCTGACTCGCCGACTGTACCAAGGCCCTCCAGCAAACACACATGTGGATGTCTTAGTGGTAGTGCTGGTGCTGCTGCTCCAGTGAGAACTCCTCACTCTGGGGACGTGGGACGGGGCCACACCTGGCACTGAGGAAGTCTCGAGTCTGAGTCGGACTGTGGCGTCATCCACGCATGCCCCTCCCACATCCTCAGGTTCCACCTGGCACAGGGGAACCGGTCCACAGAACTTGTACTCTAAGGACCCAGGTTCTCCCAGCTCCCTTTTCTCACTCACCAAGCTGGGAGCAAGAGCTCTGGGGAGCACAGGGGAGTTAGCTCCCCTGGTGGCCACAAGAGGTATGCTGGGAGTGCAGGACGGTATGGACACAAAGAATGTGGGCCCTGTCCTGAGGTCAGAGACCCAATCCTCCGTGTGTGGAATGCTCAGGACATGTCCCCAGGCTCCTGCTCAGTGCAGCACCAGCACAACAGGTGGCTTTGGACACCTGCCTCACCCCATCCACCACACCACGCTACCCGTTTCCCAGCCTCCCAGAAGGGACATGGGGCAGTCTCCCAGCCTACAGAGAGTGCCCCACTGCTCACTGGGGGGTCGGAAGATCACACTTACTCGAAGGACAAAGACATGGCCATCCCAAGTCAAAAGCAACAAGCACGTGACAGCCCTATTTCTCCAGCCCTCTGTGAGACACCAGGTTGGCCATCCAGGGTCTTGCAGGGTTGCCCTGAGTCACATTCCCAAAAGGGCACTGGCAGGGGGAGTGGCTCCCACCCCGGCCAGGATCCCGGTCAGTGGCCAAGGGGCATCCATTGCCCCCTTCATGACCACCTATTGCTGAACCTCTGGGTCCTGGCTGCCCTCAGTAGCGCTGGCCGTGGTGCTGAGCGGGAGTTGGTGGGGATACAGACTGGCTAGGAAAATCCCGCGGGGAGCCGGGGCTCAGAGAATCCGCTCGGCTCTTCTCATGCCCCTCAGTCGTGGGGACCCCTACAAAGGGATCCTGATGCCAGGGAGAGAACAGGGACTCCACTCCCTCTCAAATTTCATGAGAGGGAACAAGGTGGGTCCCAGAAAGTAGAACCTGTGCCCAGTCCCCTCAAAGTGAACTTGCTGGGGCCAGTGTGGTGGCTGCCTGCAACACCCATATGAACACCAGTGCAAGTCTCAGCTGCTCCACTTCCCATCCAGCCCCCTGCCTGTGGCCTGGGAAAACAGCTGAGGACGGCCCAAAGCCTTGGGACCCTGTACCCACATGGGAGACCCAGCAGAGGCTCCTGGCTCCTGGCTTAGGCTCGGTGCAGCACCGACCGTTGTGGCCACTTGGGGAGTAAATCAACGTATAGAAGATCTTCCTCTCTGTCTCTCCTCCTCTCTATATATCTGACTTCCATCATGGTCAGCATGGTGTGTGTGCGCGTGCGCACTGTCCAGCTGGTCCTGGCACAGCCAGCCCTGGTCCAGTACAGCCCGGCCTTCCTTTCCTCCCTCTTCACAAAAGCGGTTTCTTCCTGGGCCTGTGGCATTCACACGCAGGGGTCAAGAGGCTCTGACACGGAGGACGCCTACTGGCCCGTAAGAACAGGGGAGAAGATTCCAGCCGGAGCACGGACTCCACGAGCTTCACAGCTGGAGTCTGCCTAGATCCTCGGCCCCATTGTAAGCATGGAGCAGGAGGCCTGGCGTGACAGCTCAGCGGCTAAGTCCTCACCCCACAAGCACTGGGATGCCACACGGGCACCGGTTGGTGTTCTGGCTGCTCCACTGCCCTTCCAGGAAGGAGCCTCCGGGGCACTGAGGGAGGAAGGCACAAGATAATTCTTCAGGGACTGCATGCTTGTGCGTGGGCAGAGATGAAGCTGCCTGGTGTAGACTCATATCCCCTCCCCGTGGAAATGCAGGAAACGGTGCTGAGATCATAGGATATTTCAGGAGTTTGGGGTCAGGAGGCACCCACTGACCCCAACAGCCTCCCTCTCTGCTTCTCATAGGAATGGGGGTTACCTACGGCGGGAAGCTAGGCCCCTCTTGTTCTTCTCCACATGTTCACTTCCTCTTCTGCTTCCTGTCTGCCCCCGTACCCGAGGTGCACCAGCATGGCCGTGACCAGGGGTTGGATGTCCAGGACCACGATCCAGAATCATCTGATGGACAGGACACGTCCTGGGCACAGGATGCTGGCCCTGCCTGCAGGACACTAGGACAAAGCTCAGTGACACAAAATGCTAACCTCAGCTACGTCACTGAGCCCTGCTCCAACCCCGGAGCCGCCTGGGTGTGTCACGACCCTGATGTGTGTGTGGGATGGCTGGAAGCTCCAGTTTGGGTCTCCCCAGGCACCCCCTCCTCCTCACTGTCCCCGTTGGTGCACGGCTGCCCTCGGCTGGGGCTCTGTTTCTGTTCTGAACTGTGGGGGCAGCCTGACGCCAAACCCCTCATATATCCTGAGCTGGCATCCAGAAAGATGGTGGGGACATTTTGCTTTATAACTGGCGTCAGAAATGGGGGGTCGTGTGGGTCACCCCTGACACTGCAACCTTCAGAAGAGTGGCACAAAGAGGAAAGTTCCTGGAAAAGGGCTGAAAGGCCAGGTGCAGAGGCGGACCTCTGGCACAGTGGATGACACCAGCTGGCATGGCCATGGCCGGAGGGCCCGGGAAGCAGCCAGCAAGGGCCCAAGCTGGCCTGCAAGGCCTGGGAAGCCGTCAGTGTTGGCCTCTCTGGCCGTGTTCCTGCTATCCTAGGCAAGGCCTGCACTGAGTTCATGGCCACTGGTGGTGTTGTCAGCTCAGTTAGCCCCAGCTGTTGTGCAAGCATTTGGGGAGGCAACCAGAGAATGGGAGATCTCTCTCATAAACAAATATTTTTAAAGAGATGTTTATTTCAGTGAAAAAAAAAAAAGGCGTGAAAGTCATGCATATAATGAATCCTCAAAAAGCGTGTGAAAGGACCCAGCACAAGAGCCTTAGTGGCTAACTCTCCAGCTTGCACACCCAGGATCCCACATGGGTGCCAGTTTGTGTCCCATGCACTCCCTGCTTGCGGCCTGGGAAAGCAGTCGAGGACGGCCCAAAGCCTTGGGACCTGCACCCGCGTGGGAGACCCGGAAGAGCTCCTGGCTCTTGGCTTTGGCTCGGCGAAGCTCCGGCTGTTGCATCCACTTGGGGAGTGAACCAGCAGATGGAAGTTCTTTCTGTATCTCCTTCTTTCTGTAAGTCTGCCTTTCCAATAAAAATTAACAATTTTTTTTAAAAAAATTGTCTTTAAAAGTTTGTGAAATGTTTTTCAAATTTTTGCCGCCAAATAAAATGTTTTTTAAAAACTTGTTATTTTAAAGATTTATTTTGATTAGAAAGCCAGATATACAAAGAGGAGAGACACAGAAGATCTTCCGTCCGATGAGTCACTCCCTAACTGACTGCAATGACCAGCTCTGTGCTGATCCGAAGCCAGGAGCCAGGAGCTCTTCCAGGTCTCCCACGTGGGTGCAGGGTCTCAAGGCTTTGGGCTGTCCTCGACTGCTTTCCCAGGCCACAGGCAGGGAGCTGGATGGGATGTGGCACCAAGATCCCAGTACAGGCAAGATGAGGACTTTAGCCAGGCCCAAAATTAGGTTTTCCTGAAGGACTTTCACCAGAAAGACAAAGAAAGTGAACGAGAGGGGAAGGAGAAAGAAGCCTTCTACCTGCTGTTTCACTTTGTTTTTTTAAAGATTTATTTTATTTTTACTGCTAAGTCAGATATATATATAGAGAGAAAGAGCGGCAGAGAGAAAGATCTGTGCACTCATTCACTCCCCAAGTGAGTACAACAGCCAGAGCTGAGCTGATCTGAGCCTGGAGCCAGGAGCCTCTTCCGGGTCTCCCACACATGAGCAGGGTCCCAAGGCTTTGGGCCGACCTCGACCGCTTTCCCAAGCTATAAGCTGGGAGCTGGATGGGAAGTGGAGCAGCCAGGATTAGAACCAGTGCTGGTATGGAATCCCGGCGCATGCAAGGCGGGGACTTCAGCCACTGGGCTACTGCACCGGGCCCAGCTGTTTCACTTTCAAATGCCGCGCTGGTTGCCAGGGCTGGGCCAGGCTGAAGAAGCAGTGCTTGGATCTCCTTGGCATCTCCAGCCTGCAGCATGGCCGCCCTGAACTGCCTGACCTTGTCACTCTGGGACTCGCTGGTGGACAGCGGGGTCCAAGCCCTCGAATCACTCCCTGCGGCCTTTCGGAATGCTCCTCAGCAGGAAGCCAGGACCCCAAGCACGGTAAGGGGTGCTGCCGTCCAGACTGGTGTCCGACCCGCTGTGCCACCCCTGAACTTACCTCTTGATTCACTTTCCCACCAACTGGGACAGACACACAGTCGACCTTCCTGGTCTGTGGCTTCCACAGCCAGACCCTACCACCCGCTGACCCAGAACATCCAGGAACACCTGTGTGTGGAAGAAGCGGTCTACGGTTCATCAGCCGTCTGCAGACACCATGCCGCCTCCCGAGGAGACCTGGGCCGAGCACAGTGCTACCTCAGGGGGTTCAGCACCTCGAAGGGACAGGCAGCTCAACAGATATCCCGATGGATGTATGCGTGTGTCCAACTGGAGACCGATCCACTCCCCCTGTGCCTTGGCCAGGGACCGTGTTGTCCCATTTCTTCTGTTCTTGTGAGCCCCAGGATGCAGAACTCCCCAAAGTGTCATCTGGTCATCTGGTGACAGAGCCTTGGGTCTAATTACATGCACCCCAAGTTGGAATTCCATCCCCGCCACTTCTGACATGTCTGCCTAGAACTCCAGTGCTCCCAGGCCAAGCTGCCCACTGCACGCCTGGCCTGTCACTTGGCCTGCGCCATCCTGAGGCCTGCCTGGATGTTCACAGGAAGCCACTCCCAACAACAGGGACACCTCTGGGCACCCACAGGTCTGTGGCTCCTCAGCCCCACAGGGTAACTGTGGAGGCCCCCTACAGCCCACCCACTGCCCCAGCCCAAGGTGTGCCCATCTCTCACTGTAGCCTGAGCCACATGGTACAGACCAACGGACAGGCCAGGAACTGGGAACGAAAACAGGCATGCTGAGGTCTCCCAGGGCCCTGATCATGAAGGGGCAGGCACATCTCAGCCAGCTGCTGGCTTCCCCAGAGGCAGCATGAGTCTCCCCATGTCCTGTTATCTGCTCTTCACACGAGCCCTGGGCAGTGTGGGAACTACTGCAATGTCCACTTTGGACCTGGAAATGGAGGGCCTATCAACCAGGTAGTGGCAGAGGTGGGGTGGGAGCCAGGAGGGCTGGGTCCTGGGGGCCTTCTCTCAGCTTCTCTGCAAGTACAGGAACATGTGCTCTAACCTTTCTGAGGAGCAGATACTGGGTGTCCCAGTTCAGACCGGCACGGGGAGGCCAGAGGCAGCTCCCCTGGAGTGACAGCCTAGGTGAGGACCGGGCTGGTCCCTCCTGGGGTCTCAGGTGGACATGAGAAGCCATGTCCCTGTCTTCTAAGCTTTGAAGCCCCTGCTGCTGTCATCTCTCCATTATCTTTGCTGCCTCCGGAAGGATGGTGGGCCTACCCCAACATACTCACACCATCCTGTCTGCTGGTTGGCAGAAATTGTGTTCCGAGCTGGCCTTGCTGTGTAATGCCCAGACTATGGACAGCTTTGAGGGTTGTTCTTCCACTGGCTACAGATGTTGTAGCTGGAGGCAGCCCAGGGAAAGTTTCTCAGCCAAGGTCCAAGGGCACCACCCACACGTACTCACGCAGCAGGGAAGGGACAGCCAGCCTGTCTCATACCTGTGGACACACTGAGGAAGTCCCTGGAGCATACCAACCCTCACAGCCCCAGGCAGGGGCAGAGGTCACAGCCCCACAGAGAGGGTAAAGCATACCAATCTTCACAGTCCCACGGAGGGGGAGGAGACCCCAGGTGACAGCCCCACGGAGGGGCGGAGGCTCCAGGTGACAGCCCCACACAGAGGGCGGAGGCTCCAGGTGACAGCCCCACACAGAGGGCGGAGGCTCCAGGTGACAGCCCCACACAGAGGGCGGAGGCTCCAGGTGACAGCCCCACGGAGGGGCGGAGGCTCCAGGTGACAGCCCCACACAGAGGGTGGAGGCTCCAGGTGACAGCCCCAGAGGGCGGAGGCTCCAGGTGACAGCCCCACGGAGGGCTGGAGACCCCAGGTGACAGCCCCACGGAGGGGTGGAGGCCCCAGGTGACAGCCCCACGGAGGGGTGGAGGCTCCAGGTGACAGCCCCACGGAGGGGTGGAGGCTCCAGGTGACAGCCCCACGGAGGGGGCGGAGGCTCCAGGTGACAGTCCCACAGAGGGGGCAGAGGCTCCAGGTGACAGCCTAGAGGGTAGTGGATGAGAGAAGGTGCCTCTGCTGGCCAGGCCTGTCCTGGAGCATGCCCATGGGGTCACTCAGTTCAGGGCACATCACAGCAGTGCTGGTGTTTCTGAATCCAAGTGGACCAGGCCTGAGACTGCCTCATCCCAGCCAGCTGCCCTGTCTGGCACAGGAGCCAGGTGTCTCACTCCTTCCCCAGTCTGGAAGGAGGGACATGCCTCCCGACCCTGTATCCAGGGGAGGGGGGGGACTCTTTTTTAAGAGGTGGGATTATGGGAAGACTCACCAGAGGTCACAGGGATGCTGAGAGCTCCTGGGCACTGGCAGCAATACCATGAATGTCCAGCTCTCAGGAAACCTCCTGTCTCCCTAGAACCACCAGGCTGGACAGCAGGCTGGCAGCGCCTTCCTTTCTTCCTTCTCTCGTTCCCCAAACCCAAGGACTTCAGTCCCCAGGCCTCCTCCGGTCCCGAGCCTGCTCAGTGGTCCCAGTGAGGAGAACATGCCCACGTCGCCAGGACCTCCAGCCCTTCACATCACAAGCCACCCCAACATGCACTTCACCCCCCTGTCTGCTCCCTCCTGGCCTTGAGTCTGGGGCAGGGAGTGAAGGAGAGGGCGGAGGACTTCAGGGCTGGGTGTGCAGCCTTCAGGCCTGGGAGTCCGACCCTCGAGAGCTTGCTCAGCTGCCCCATCTGGTGGCCCCTCAGCCTCCTCACCCACACAGTGCCAGTCCCCCAGGGGCAGGACTCGGGGCCTGTCTCGGCCTGCCCTCTCTTGTCCCTCCCTTCACAGCAACAAGTCAGCTGCACTGCTCATGAAGGATGCTGTAACATGCTATACCTGCGTGGACATCGGGGTATGTCTATGTGGATAAGGATCTTACATGTTCTTCCTGGGTTTCAGACAGGGTCCCGAAGAGCCAGGCAGTGGCCACACGATGACCGAGGGTCACTGGGAGCCTCTGCAGAAAGCAGACACTGCCCAGAGCTTCGTGCTGAGCTTGTGGCCTCCTGGAGCCCGGGCCAGGCAGGGAGCATCTGTGTCATTCCAAGGCACCTGGCGTCTGGCCATTTGTGACCACTGCCAACCATGACGCAGTGACACTCGGTCTGGGTCCTGGTCCCCTCTGTCCCAGGGGCCCCCAGGAGGACTCGCTGGGCCTTCTGTGGATGTCCACTCTGGATCATGGCCCTCCCGCCTCCCCTGGCATTCCTCCTGGAAAAACAGACGCAACAGTTCAACACCCACTTTACTTAGAGCACTGGAAAAAATAGGTTTAGGGTGGTGGGGATGGAGGCTAGCAGATGGGGGCGGGGAGTCTGCTGGGAACGCATGAACAGCCAGGCAGCCACGGAGGTTGAATGCAAGCCCAGTGAACAGCCTGGATTCCTGTATTAGATCTGAGGGACAGGAGCTGGATGCCCAGTACCCTGTGCCAGCCTGAGATATCCTGCTAAGCTTAGCTGCAGGGGGCATTCCGTAGGCAGGGCTAACCTAGGATGGGGCAGGGGCAGTGGACGCTGGCCTGGCCTGCCTGGCATGCGCTCCCTTAGTTGGTCTTGAGCCCTGGGTTCTTGAGGGCTGACAGGGCGATGAGGGTCTGGGCTGCGTAGTAGGTGGCCATGGTCAGCAGACGGGCGTTAGACAAAGGCTGGACAAAGTTGTCCCAGGCCAGCACACCATCTGAGAGCGCAAAGAGCACTGCCCCCCAGCCAGCGCTGCCACCCCGCGCCAGGCCACGCCACACCATGGCGCTCAGGATGAGCCCGTAGGCCACCACGGGCAGGACCATGTCCTCCTCCAGGTGCAGCAGCAGGACGCCGCTGAACACGACAAAGACGGGCACCACAGCCAGAAGCAGGCCTGGCCGCAGTGGGGACACGCCGAAGGCCGCCAAGTAGAACAGGTGGGCCACTGCGAAGGCGGCCATGCCTAGTGAGAGAGTGTGCGGGTCGCGGGGGCAGGGATGGGAGGATGGTCCTCTACTGGGCCCCGTCACCCATCCCAACACCAGCTCCCACCCTGACCACACCCAGCTGCAACTAGGCTAGCCGCCTCCCCAGCAGCCTCCTGGTCGGTCCTCTCCCTGCCCATGCCTGTCCAGCAAGCCTTAGCACTCTTGAGGAGGGCCCCCACCTGTCCTCAGCCCAGGGCATTCCCACAGCCTCTGCTGAACCCCTCGCCCCTAGCATGCGCACATGCGCACGCACACACACAGCATTTTCTTCAAGGCGCAAGACCTTCCTTGAACAGTCCCCTACCCTGGTCTGCCTCCACGTCAATGCCTGGCCCCTCCTCACCCCCTCCCTAGGGACACCATAGCCTCCCCCCAGGTTTGTGTTTAACACCAACCCAACCCCATGTGGGCACCCCAAGGTCCCCACTCACCATAGAGGAAGGTCTCATGCCAAATGAGGAAAGTGTCCCCCAGGGCTGAGCACAGGAGGGCTACCTGGAGGAGGTGTGCATAGCTCCCCACTGGGGACACGGCCCACAGGAACACCGCCAGGCACAGCACGGGCAGGCACTTGATCAGGGCGCCGAGCCAGGACGGCTGGTCCTCAGGAATCCATAGCAGGAAGTAGATGGAGCAAGTAAGGAGGAAGGGGCTTAGCCACCGACGGACCTGTAGGTGTTCAGGGGGACAGGGAGGGAGCCCTGAGCCACCAGCGCTCAGCTGGGTCCCCCAGCCCTAGAGATCAGGATGGCCCACTCTGTGAGGACCAAGGTCCCCTGACTCTTAGGACCCCCTTGGGGCACAGCCCAACCCCACCGCACTCCTGCACAGGTCCTCACCTGCATGGAGAAGAGCGGCCCTGGGAGCCCATCTTTGTCAGTGTCCATGCTGGCCTGTGATGCCCCCAGGAGCAGGCAGCTCCCGAGGGTGTCAGGGGAGAGCCTGTGGTTACACGTTAACCAGAGGAGCGTCCTGTGGACTCTGGGCCTGATAACAGGGCCCAGGGAGATGGCCCCCTTGGCGGGGGGATGGATTTGCCTGCCACCTGCTGATAAGATACCCACAAGGACCCGGAGTCCCTCCACCCCACTGCCTCTGGACACAGCAGTGCCTCTCCCATTGTCTATGTGCAGCCAATCAGCAGAGAGCAACGGCAGGATTCCAAGGAGTCGGCAACAGTGGGCACCCAGGAACTGCCACTGCTCAGGCCAGCCCGGCAGGGCCAGGGTGGGCAGCTCCCTCTCGCACCTACTGCCTAAGGGGCCTCCCCCTCTGCCTCTGCATTCTCTACCAGCAGCGGTACAGGGTGGGCCACAGGGAAGAGTGGGAACTCCTGGCCACTCCTATCAGCGGGCTGGCGGGGACACGGCAGGGGTTTGCAGTGAGTGACGCCAGCGCCCAGGAGCTGAGGTAGCTAAAACCAGTTTCCCAGAGCAACGCAAGAGCAGGCGTCGCATCCACCGTCCAGACTCCCGTCTGCGAGGTCCTGGACACCCTGTTGGCCTTGGTCATGCAGGCGCCCTGTTGCACGGCCACCCCCCACTACCCCAGCCCCTCCACTGTTAGCCATCCTCTCCCACTCCTCCCACTCCCTACTTATTCCCAACCAAGGCTGCTTCCCCTTCCCCAGGCTCCTTCCCCTGCTCAGCCCCTACAGGCTCAGTACCTCAGCCAGGCCATTTGTGGAGGACAGTGTGGTAACGTGGCACACGTGGATCAGGCATGGATGGGATGGAGGTGGGGATGTGAAAGGGGCCCGTGGGTGGCATCCAGGCCCAGGTGCACACGGCAGTGAACCTCCCTGGAGGCACAGGCCCTCCCCACCACACACCCCAGAAGGCAAGGTCTGACCAGCAGAGTCGTAAACTGTCTTCCTTTATTTGTATTTGCAATATGAAATAGAAGCTCAGCACAGACACACACACACTCGCGCCAGCCTAGGGGAGGGAGTGGGACAAGGCCACTTGGCAGCGGGGCTGCAGACCCCCTTTGGGTGCAGGGTGGCCCAGCCAACAGATTCAGAACCTCTGGGGATGCTGCTGGGGAGGCCCCTGCTCCCCAAGCCCAGGTCCCTGGGTGAAGGCACTGCCCCCGCCTCGGGCCCCAATGCCCCACCCTCACCAGCTGCCCCCAAGGTGACCTGAGCTCAAAGGCCGGGTGTGGGTGTGGGCATCTGCACCAGAGCGTGGGACGGACCCCCAGTGCCAACCCCCACCAGGCTGGCCGGGGGTGGAGGTTGTGCTTGGGGCTGCTGGCCTGGCGGCATCCTGCCTCCTCTTGCCCTCCTCCCTCAATACATATATATAATATATAATAGACGTCTCTCTCTCCTTTCTCTCTATGTGACTCTCTATATCTTTATTCCAGGAGGCAAAGCTCTGTAATTTCTCTCTCAGTGCAAATGGGGGTGGGTAAGTGGGGGTCCATCTCCCTGGCACCAGCCTCCCGGGAGACCAGAGAGAACGTGGGGCGGGGGGATGGAGGCAGGTGGCCAATCCTGAGACCTGGCCTGCCCCACCCAGGAATCCATGTGGAGGACGGAGGATTTGGCCACCAAGAAGACCAGGCAGCTACCTGGGGACAGAGAAGGTCGTGTGAGAGTCAGCAGGCCACCCAGCCCCTGCCCGGCCCCGGCTGTGGTTGCTGTCACACTCACGGGTATCCCAGGGATGTGGGCCCTGTTGTGGCAGAGCCGTTGGGCATCTGAGGCTCGAGGGGCTGGGCACTGTCAGAAGAGAAGGTTTGCAGGTCACTTGCTGCCTCCCCTTACCGCAGCCCCAGCAGGAGGCCTCAGATCTCACCTCTGGCTTTGGGGAGGCCCCACAGGCTCTGGGCTCTTCTCCCCGTCTGTGGTCTGGGAGGGCTGGCTGGCCCCGGAGGCTGGGACAGAGGTAGAGGGGTCTCTGGTTGCACTGTGGGGGACAGGCCACTGTTAGCACCACCTTACTCCTCACCAACCCACCTCAGAACCTCTTGTGAGACCTGTGAGTGGCAGGCGGCTGCTCTGTGTGCCCAGAGACCCCGGGGATGCAGGCAGCACAACAGGAGAACCTCACAGCCCTGGGGCAACATGGGCAACTCCCATTCCTGCCCAGCCTCTGCTGCCCAGACATGTCTAGAGAGTGGCCCAAGGCTGGGTGACATGGAGCCACACTGGGACAGATGACAGTGAATGGGCACTGGGTTCTCCCAGGTCCATCACTCCCTACACCACCCCACACCCACACTGGTCACCTGTCCAAGGAGCTAGGAGCGGAGCACGTTTTGTGGAGGGCATCCTGGAGGTCCCCAACACTGACCAAGGCCTGGCAGGGGGCTGGAGGGGGGAGAGAGGCTGTCAGCTGGAACCTGGAAGGCTGTGCTGCCCCCTGAAGCCTGCCCATGGGGGCAGAGAGGCTCTCACCTGAGGGCTCCACAACTTGGCTGCCATCTGCGGCTTCCTGAGGTGCTGAGGGGGTCATGAGGGCCTGAGACCTGAGGCAGAGAGAACCCAAGGGTATACTGGGGTCAGTGCACAAGCCTGAGGGGACCCTGCACCCACCTTTCACCGGCTGCACGGTGCCCACCTGAGCTGCAGGGCATTGCAGGCAGGAGGGATGGCCAGGCTCTGAACAGGGAGGCCCTGGGGTGCATCAAGGGACCCCTGTGGCGTTGGGGACCCAGAACACGGCTCCTCCCCCCCGGACACTCGGGGACAGGCTGGGGCATCCGTAGGCACTGGCTCGAAGGTGGCCGTCCAGCTGGGGCCTGATAGTGGGAGAGACAGAAGGTAAGCTCAGCAGCAGGCAGACGTCCCCACACGCGTCTGCCCACAGGCTACCCAAATTCACCAGGAGGTGGAGAGTCAGGGCTGGGGTGGGAGGGGGGTCCAGCCCCTCCTCTGGCAGCCTGGCTGTCATTCTCTTCTTCCTCCTCCTCTTCCTCCTCCTCCTCGCTGTCTGTGCTGCCTCCACTCCTGTCCAAGAAACATCTGGTTAGCCAGCGGTGCGACTGCTGGACCCCTCCTTCTTGGCAGCCCTGGAGCACCAGGGCAGCCCCCGCTGGAGGAGCAAGAGGACAAAGGGACAGGGAGGGGGGCAGGGAGTGCTGCTAGATGCCCAAGAGGGAGGTGACAGCAGCGCTGTGGCAGCCCCCTGGCATCTTCCACAAGGCAGGCAATGAGCACGGCCGGGCATCGGCTCCCCAGCCTCCCTGACCACCAACTGCACAGAAGCTTTAAGCCAGCCTCCTCCGCCAGCTACAGCTCCAGAAGGGCACAGCCCGAGTTCTGAAGAACAGCGCCTGGCACACACAGCTGGCCCCAAATACTAGCTGAGTGCTGACCACACACAATTCAGGACTGTCAGGAAGGCCCAAGTGTAGGGAAGTCCAGCCAGCCACTTGGTGAAACTGTAGCAAGGTGGCTGCCAGCTGGACTCTAACGCACGTGTAAAGCCCGAGAACCCTCTGACCACCCAGGGACGCCAAATGCCTCAGGCCGCCCCGTGCCTAGCAGGACGAGACACTGTACTCCTGACACCGCACGGCCAGGGCTGTGGAGTACTGAGCTAAGCCACCAGTTCAAGTCCTAGCGGCTCCACTTCCATCCAGCTCCTTGCTAACACACCTGACAAAGTAACGGCAGACGGCCCAAGTGCCTAGGCCCTGCACCCAGGTGGGAATGTGGCAGACGGCCCAGGATCCTGACTTCAGTCTGGCCCGGCCCCAGCCAATATGGCCATCTGGGGAGTGGACCAGCTGAGGGAAGACCTCTCCCTCTATGTGACTCCGCCTTTCAAATAAATAAATAAATCCTTTTAAAAAAAAAGAGGAGACTGTATGTTCCTGTCATTCTGACCCAACACTGCCCTGGAGGTCCTAAGCAAAACATCCAGATAAGAAAGGAATCATCCTGAGCCCAGCTCGGTAGCCATACAGGCACCAGTTCTAATCCCGGCTGCCCCGCTTCCCACCAGCTCCCTGCCTGTGGCCTGGGAGAGCAGTCAAGGACGGCCCAAAGCCTTGGGACCCTGCACCTGTGTGGGAGACCTGGAGGAAGCTCCTGGCTCCTGGTTCCTGACTTCAGATAAGCTCAGCTCTGGCTGTTGCGCTCACTTGGAGAGTGAATCATCGGACGGAAGATCTTCCTCTCTGTCTCTCCTCCTCTCTATATATCTAACTTTCCAATAAAAATAAATCTTTAAAATAAATAACAATAAAAAAGAACAGTCTTGCCTGTCACAGGCGACCCCCGTTCAGCCCTCAGACACAGGTGCAGCCAGCTGGGGCAGGAGGCCGCTGCACAAACCTGCGTCCCCGCACACCCACAGCTGCTCCAAGTCCGAGGGACGAACTGCGGAGAGCGCACACAGCATGCCTGGGCTTCTATCAGTGGAGGCAGGAGAGGTGGGAGCGAGGGGAGGTGTCCACTGCTGAGGCTGAGTGACAAGACCCAGTGCTTTCCCGGGGCTTCAACAGAGAGAGCCTTTAAGTGGCAGCTTAACACACTGTATCACGATGCCAACCCCACAAAGAAGCATATTCGGAAATAAATTATCAAAAAAACCTGCAAACTTTTTATGTACTCTATAAACAAAAGAATACTGAAAGAAGTTACAGAAAGGCAGACACCTTACTGTCAACACACCACTGAGCATCTATCATGTCAGAGTGCTTCCTGCAAAGGCACACCTGGCAAGCAACACGTGACGGCCCAAGTGGCAGCCACAACGAGCTCAAGTCCTGGCATGAGCCTGGCAGCACTGGCTGTCACGGGCATCTGCAGAGCAGACCAACGAACAGGAAATCTGTTGGCCTCTCAAACACATTAACAGTCATTTTTTTTTTTTCAAAACAGTACAGAATAACTAAAATAGAAACATATTCCACATTCATGAGCTGCAAAATGTTATTTTTTAAAAAACTCTCAGAGGGCCTGGCATGGTCGCCTAGTGGGCGAAGTCCCTGCCTTGCACATGCCAGGATCCCATATGGGCACCAGTTCAGTCCCAGCTGCTGCAATTCCCATCCAGCTCCCTGCCTGTGGCCTGGGAAAGCAGCAGAGGACGCTCGGTGCTTGGCAACCTGCACCACTGGGAGACCTGGACAGAGCTCCAGGCTCCTGGTACTGGCCAATGCAGCTAGAGAAGAAGTGAACCACTGGATGGAAGATTTCTGTCTCTCCTTTCAAAATAAATCTTAAACCAAACAGTATAAAGAGAAACAAGGTGGAAGACTCACATTTTCCCGTTCTAATCATCCCCAGTGTGAAATGGAGACACAGACCGTGGCTGGGCAGGGACAAGCCCTCACCCATCTGCCAAAGGACGCTGCCCAGGGCACCATGCAGTCAGGACAGCCTGTTCACATGGCCACCTCACGTCACACAGGACATGACACTCGAAGTGCCAACAGCACACAGCTCTGGGGTAAAGCAGGCTGTTGGACCTGGCTGCGACCCCACATGTGCACCAACACGTGGGCAGATGTTCACAACCTGAACTTGCCCCAAGGGCCAGCAAGTCGACCAAGGCAAGGTTCATGGTGGCACGCCCAGCTCTGGCAGCCAGAATGAGCAAGACCCAAACATGCCAGTCAGAGGGAGGGTCTTCCTGAAGACAGTGCTGAGAACAAATGATCAGTGCTGAGGGTGGAGGTGGCTGCTGGCCCGGGAGTGGCCGGTTCCAGCGCATGGTGGGTTCTGACACACTGGTCTGCACAGGTTACACACCAGTGAGAAGGCTGAAACACCCTAATCTCCTCTCCAGGAGTCCTGGGGGGCAGGCCGTGAGCCGGTGCAGATGGCAGCAAGCAGTACGACGCGAGTCCCCTTTCTCCACCATGACTCCAGGCCCAACCAGTGCACACTGCAGAGGTGAGTTCTACTGGAATTTCGGGAGAGAGGTGCGCTCCTCCAAGGGGCCCAGAGCCAAGGGACAGAGGGGGGTTCTGAATGCACTTGCTCCAGGCAACAGCTCAGAACACCTAGCTCTCGAGGCACACAGAAGCCACAAGCAGCTCCTCTGCTACTTCCCAGCAGGTGCACACACACACCTGCATCAGGCCACACCTGACTGGGGACTTGCATGGCTGCAGCGGTACTCACCGAACACCAGGGGGCTGGCCCAGGCGGGGCCCCCGTGCCACATGGCTACCCTGCCAGGCCCCGTACTCTCCATCGGACTCCCCTGCGCCCTGGCCCTCTTCCTCCTCCTCCTCTTCCTCATCATCAAACTGCTGGATGCGGTCCTTGTAGCAAATCTCCAGCAGGTTGGTGTTGGGCTGTGGAGACGGGGGCAGATGCTGGGCACACTGCTTTCAGCTCCCCCACGCCCTGCCCGCCCACAGCCAGGGCCACGTGGCACTCACGTTCTCATCGTCAGCATTGAGGGAGAAGGTGATGTTGGCAGTCTTGTCGAAAGGTGCACTAGGGGACAGCAGAGGGTCAGTGCGGTAAGCGAGCAGCCAGGCGAGGCCTGCCGCACTCAGCACACAGCTCACCCCGCTCTACCTGGGATGCCCCCAGTTACTGAAATGCATGTGTAACCCAAAATCAACGCCCACAGCGCCGGACACATGAGGAGCTGCCCGACACACACTGGGAGCAGAGCCTGCCCTCTGGGCTTGGCTGCCCACAGCCCAGGGGCGGGGACAATAATGGCCAGCCACTTGAGAAGCCCCAGCTCTGGGCCTGCCCAGCTGAGCCTGGGTCCCACACGGGGACCAGACTGTGGCTTCCTTCAGCGTGTCACTAACTTCAGATCTCATTTCACCATATGCAGAACGAAGAACTGTTTGCAGGATTTTTCATCACAGCCTGTGAGACACGCCATGGGGCTGCAGGCCGTGCCAGGTCAGTGCCCTTGAGCCTTCACACAGTCAGACACGTATCCGTCCCACTGCACAGATGTGTCCGTCCATCCAAGGACAACTCAAGTAGAAGTCAAAGCAGGCTACATTGTAGATCCCTCACACTTGCCACCAGCAGAACACGGGAAGGCAGCGAGGGTGGCTGGACAGCACTGACACTCAACACCCTGCCCACGTCTGTAAGATGGGAGCTGACCTAGCTGACCCCAGAGCCCACCTGGCCACTGCCACTGCTCTGCCCAACCTCCCCAGATTCCAATGGTCACTCCGCATCAGCTTATGCAATTAGGTCACAAACGTTCATGGATTCATGCTTTTCTTTCACATTGTTTGTGGCAGGAAACTTGACAACTAAGAAGAAATTCCCTCCCCCAACACTGACAGAGAGATATTCAACCTTAAAAAGTCACTGCCCAACAAACGCAAAGCAGAATCAGGCCTGGGGACTGCTGCAGAAGCCAGGCCATGCACACCAGGCCTTGACCCCACGGCTGAACTGCAGGTGGACAGCAGGTGGACAGCTGCACACAGGGTGCAGGTGGACAGCAGGTGGACCGCTGTGGGCCTCCCTCTCCAGAAAGAAGGGGACAACAGTGGCAGATTTCCACCAGGAGGCGAACACTAAGGTCCCAGCCAGGGCAACCCATATGTAGGCTGGGCAAGGAAGGAGGGACAGATGTCTGTACACACGCACGCGCGCACACACACACACACACACACACACACACACACACACACACACACGGTGTGGCTGCAGGCTGGGCAGGACACCTACTTTACACTCTCTTCTTGCTCCCCAAACTCCTCGTCATTGAAGCCAAAGTGATCAATGAAGGCTGAGGTCATACGCTGCATCTGGAAGTCCATGAAGGCCTGCAGGGGATGGAGGGGATGCTGGGCAGCAGGTCAGGGCACCCCCAGGCCCTGCAGGGGATGGAGGGGATGCTGGGCAGGTCAGGGCACCCCCACACCCTGTGGGGGACGGAGGGGGTGCTGGAGGGGAGCTGGGCAGGCCAAGGCCCACCCCCAGACCCACCTGCTGCAGCACAGCCTCCTCGGGGAAGTTGAACTCCTTGAGCCGGTCATCCTCGTCATCACTAGAGGAGTGCAGGTGGTGGGTGTTCACCTGGGGAGGGGCACAAGGCGCTCAGGGCCTGCCAGGGCCTGCCAGGGCCTGCCAGGGCCCAGCCCAAGGCAGTGAGGCAATCAGGCCACTGGCTCACCAGATCCACGGTGTTCCTCTTGTTGGTCTCTGCCAGGGGTCCTGACACAAAAGTCTCCCACCGCTCCTGCTGCTCAGCTGGCAGCTCTGCACACAGGGAGGTGCTAAGAACAAGGCACTTCTCCAGCCCCCAACCCCAGCAGACCCCAGGCAGGACCCCTCACCTTTCAGGAGCTGCCCCAGCTGCTCGGCGTTGGGCCCCTTCTCCGTGTTCTGAACCAGGGCATTGGCCACTCGCGTCAGGTGGCCCATGTAGCCTTTCCGAGGGCCGCCTCCAGACCTGGGCAGAGAGGCCACGCTGGACACCAGAGCCTGGACCCACTACCATTCACTACTCCCCTTTACCCACTCCTTCAACCCCAGACGGGCCCTCAGACACGTACTGCACACGGTCATTCTCCTCCCAGGAGGTCAGGATCCGCTCTGTCAAGCGGCAGCGTTGCAGCAGCTGTGGGGGGGTGGAGGGAAAAAGGTGGGTCAGTGGGGCAGTGGGGATGAGAAGCTGGGCTGCACCCCTCCACCTGCCACCACAGCTGGGTTTTCTACAAGGAGCCCTCAGTCCCTGCTGTCTCCAGTGTGTGAGGCCAGGGCACTTTCTGCCTGCCTGCACTCATGCTGCCAGCAGCTGATGTCACCCAAGAAGCACCAGCGAAAGGGGTAGGGTGGCCTCTGGGGGGCAGGGCCCTGGCTCACATGCGTCACGACGGGGTTTGAGGGGGGCGTCTCGGGGCTGCTTTCGGCAGGGGGCCCTGAGCTCAGCATGGCGCTCACACACATCTCCACTTGAGTGTGCAGGAAGTTGTTGAAGACATAGTGGAAGAAGAGGTCCTGGGGAGGACAGGCCAGCATCAGAAAGGCCCCCGCCCCGAGCCCGTCCTCCCGCCCAGCCCAGCCCTTGTCACACACCAGCAAAGTGCTGGGTACGTCCAGTGCCAGGAGCTCCTGCGTTAGCGCCATGTCATTGGCACTCAGGGCACTGGCCAGCAGCTTGACCACATGCAGCCGTGTGTTGCCCAGCGGGGGTGCCAGGCTGCCCCATGTCATCCTCAGAGGCTCCAGCTGTAGGTGGAGACAAGGCAGGCTCAGTTCCCTAGGAGCCGCACCCAGCCCCTCACACCTCCCCTGGGACCCTAATTCGCTTCGCACTGACCTTGGGTGGCTCCAGAAGGATCTGGTGGAAGTGGCCAAGCCGTGGACGCAGGGCGTGCAGGACACCCATGCTGGACATGACACTCTCTAGGGCCCCCTGGGCCAGGAGCTCCAGCTGCCCATCCACACTGCTGAAGAAGTTGTTCATGGTCACCGACTCAGGCCTGCAGCAGGACAGGGCGGAGGGAAGTGCACACCCTGCAGGGCTGAGCGCCCGTGTGTGTGCACAAGAATACTCCGGAAGGGTGCAAGGACTTGTGGCGTCATCGTTGGCAGGAATATTACAGGGAAGAGCCAGCAAGCTCCTCAGGAACAGGGGGAGTGGGTGAGTAAGCGGGTGGGCTTGACCTCAATGTCCACGTGTGTGCCTATCCTGCCCACCACGAAAGGGACCACAATCTCGCCACGTGAGGCGGCGTGTGGTAGGGCTCTGCACAGTGGACACGGCAGCCTCCCTCCCGGGCCCTCACCTTGGCCTGCGGGGCTCCAGCAGGGTCAGCAGCACCTGGATCCCGCTGACGATGACGGATGGGTTCTGCTCACCCTCTAGCATGTTACTCAGCAGCTGCTCCATCGTCTCCTGCCTAGGCCCAGGCAGGGTGGGGTCAGGACAGGAGGTTGGACCCAGCGCTCCCCCTCCCAGGCTGGGCGTCTTCTTGTAAACCTACTTCTCCAGGGTGGCCAGCAGTGGGTCTGGCTCGGGCCCATCCTGGCCTTGGATCATCTGCTCCCGGCTCAGGCGGATGATGTCGCATAAGGACTGGGACGCGTTGGAATGTTGCTGGACAGGGTGAGACACCGAGGGTCCCGGTGAGCTGTTGGCCCTACACAGACTGGTGCGGGGAGTCCCCTCAGGAGCCCTTGGGCGTTGTGAACAATTTAAGGGTGCTCAGGCTTCCCAGCAGGCACTGGGGTATACACAAGCCAGACAGGTCTCCTTGTGCAGCCAGAGAGCACAGAAACCCCTTGGTAGGGCAGGTCCAGGGCAGGTGAGGCCCACAGAAATACAGGGGCCTGGGGCTGCAGGGAGACGAGGGGGGAACTCGGGGACTGCGAGCAGCGATTCTCCCTGGAGTGACAGCAGCATCCAGTACTGTATGTGCACTGTAAGGCAGAGTCCTCCGCTAGCTCCTTCCATCTCAGTTGTTCCAGAACAGAAGGAAAGAGGCAAGACAAGCAGAGTCCAGAATCTTGCCCGGCAGGCAGTCAGAGTCCAGTCCGTGGCTCACAGCCCTGCAGCTCAGCCACTAAGACGTCCTGGGGACAGGCCAGCCTAGGGGAGCCTGCAAGCCAGAGGGTCTCCCAAATTGCAGCCAGCTCAAGCACACACCACTTGCAGCGACTTCGGGGGGCTGAAGCCCTGACAGGCACTGGGGTTGAGGGAGGCAAGACCCAAGGCTGGGGGAACATGAGCTTTGGGTAGGATGTCGGGACTGCTGGGTGGAAGCTCAAGGAGAGCAGAGAGACCAAGGATGAGAATGTGGTGGGCACCTGGAGGGCCTGCTAGATCCTCAATAGACCCATTCCTCAGAGAAGACACACCATGCTCCCAGCTCAGGAAAGAACACTTCTATGTGGTCGACCCTTGTCTTGAAAGCCTTGAGAGCCCTGGTTCTCCCTGCTCCCTCTCACTAATTCACCTCCTAGAAGGGCAGAGCTGGGGGCTGGCAGTGTGGGTAAAGCGGCCGTCTACGGTGTCAGCATCCCACATGGGCGCTGGTTCATGTCCTGGCAGCTCCACTTCCCATCCAGCTCCCTGCCTGTGGCCTGGGAGAGCAGTCGAGGATGGCCCAAAGCCTTGGGACCCTGTACCTGCATGGGAGACCCAGAAGGGACTCCTGGCTTCGGACTGGCTCAGCTCCAGCTGCTATGGCCGCTTGGGGAGTGATCCAGTGCAAGGAAGACCTCTATCTATCTATCTTGTAGCTAATCTTTTTAAAGATGACTTGTGCATGTAGAAAAACACTTTGAAAGTCTCAGCAAGAGTTAAATCACAAACATGAGGAGTTACTGTCTTTCAGAACACAGACTATGTGTTGCTAAAATAATTCAGATGTGATTTGTTCATGATCTTTTGTTGTGAGGGGAAAATTGTGAAAGTTCTGCTCCCAGATTTTAAGGTTAATAATAAATATTCAATGCATAACAACAACAAAAGATGACTTGACTTTACTTGCAGGCAGAGGTGAGGTATGGACAGCCGACCTGACAGGGAGAGGACAGAGGGCCCACACTCACATTGTCATCCTTCGATGGGTGGATCTGCTCGATCAGCCGCTGGACAATCTTCTCCTCATTGAGCCACTGAGGGCGAGAGGGCACTGGCTCAGCCCGGCTCCTCCCGCTCCTCACCCCTGCCCCGCCCACGGCGCCAGCCCCTCACATTGACAACGTCCTGCCGCAGCTGGGGTCGCTCCACGCAGGTGAGCAGGCGCAGCAGCAGGTCCATGATGGCCGAGGTGCCAATGTGCTGCAGCAGCAGGTCCACAAAGTCATCCTTCTTGCGCAGGAAAGACACGAGCTGGGGACACAGGTGCCACGTCAGCACACGGGGTCCGACTGACAGCGCCCACCCGGGTAGGGGGAGGGCAGCACCTGGTCAGTCTTGCGGTTTATGAGGATGCCCATGACCTTGCTGAAGAAGCTGGCCAGCAGCGGGTTGAGACTGCTGCCACTCTGCAGGAAGCCGTAGAGCCGGTTCAGCAGGGACTCGTCAGCGCCCAGAGCATCATTGATCTGGGGCACATCTGAGGTCAGGATCTCACAGGCCACACTGGGGTACCTGCAGGGGGGCACCACACGACACAGGCTCAGAGATGTGGCACAGGTGCCACCCTCACCCCTGCACGAAACCACGTCCAGCGGTAGCCTGTCCTGGTGGTCTTAATCCCTAGTCCCCACCCCTCTGCCCCTGACAGCTTCACGCCCAGGCCCCATCCTGGTCGCCATCCAAGCCTCTCCAAGCCCTGGTGACGCTCCTATCCCCTTCTCCCCCTCATGAGGCGCCCGATCACACCTGGCTACCCAAAGCCCACGGGACCACAGTCTGCTCCAGGTGAGACCACAGCACCAGGACACTCTACAGACATCTCCTCCCCTGGAATACTGGGTCCCTGGTGCTGCTACAGGTCAGCAGCTAAGAAAACTGTCCCTGCTACGCTGAGTAGCAGCCCAGTCCTGGATGGACAGAGGCCCTGGATCCGCAGGCAGGAGACCCTGGGTGCTGCAGCTCACTCTGGCCCACAGGGTTTCCATGACTCAGGAGCAACTGACAGACAGTCCCTGTTCAGTCCACTTGGAGGACAGAAGATGCAGGGCACACAGGAGCAGCACAGACACTGCACAGTGCAGGCAACAGGAACGCAGCAGAGATGGGCAGAGTCCCAACACCACGACAAGGCCCTGCCTGCCTAGGCCTGCCTTCTCCATGGCTAGCTCCTGGGGCACAACTTCCGCCCCACCAAGCGGCAGCAGGCAGGAGGCACGCATTAGGCCAGGCACCACGGACACGGAAGGGGGCAGGCACAGCCACTGCCCTTGGGTGGCTCACAGTTCAGAGTGTCAAGTGACACAGACACCCTGTGGGCTGTCCCACAGCCAGCACTCAAGGCTCAGACACAGAGCTGGGTCAGTTCTGATGGGACCCTGAGGTTTACTCTGTGCCGAGAAGCAACAGTGCTCTACTCCCACGAACGGGCTAACTCCCCAGAGAATTCTGCTGACAAAAAGGGTGGCTGGGAGCTGGCACTGCGACACGGAGGGTGAAGGCACTGCACGTGACACTGGCCCTGACTCCAGCTATTCTACTCCCAACCCAGCTCCCTGCTGAAGGCCTGGGAAGAGTAGTGGAAGATGGCTGCTGTGGCCATGTGGGGCACAAACCAGCAGACAGAGAGATCTCTGTAACTCTTTCAACAAACCCCAACAGGAGACCAGGGCACTCACTTGTAGCGCAGTCGCTCCTCGCCGCTGGCCGGGGGCTCCTGGGTCACCCAGGCCACCATGGCCTGCAGGTGGGCTGGCTGCAGCAGGAAGTCCAGCAGCTTGCGGTTGACCACCTTGCACTCCTGCAGCACGTCCTCCTCGTCCAGCAGCTCCGGCAGGCTCAGGTCCTCCCGCTCCAGCAGCGTGTCCAGGTGCGAGCTCGTGTGCAGGTCAAACTTCCAAAACATGGCGCCCTGCACACAGGGGCACACTGAGCAGACGACACACCCCGGGAGCCCCCTCCCTGACTCTAGCCGCACCTCACAGCCCAGGATGCCCACCAGCTCATCACATCACTCAGCACTAGGCCCTGGCCATCCCCCTCCACCTCCCACCCCTAGTGGCTTCTTCAACAGTCCAAAGGGTCACTTCATATCCAAGACCTGCTGTCGGCCCACCCTCAGCTCAGGCCTGGTGAAGTGCTTGGTGTGAACCACACGAGGCTCCGGGAGAGACCAACCCCAAGCACAACATAACCTCATGAGGACCGCTGTCTACTGTCCCAGGGGTTCCGGGGGACGGGGTCTGATCCACTCTGGTCTGTGTGTGCTGACCAGATGGAAACGTGCCCTGACATCCAGCACTCGCCTGCTTCTGGCCCGGCAACACCCCAAGGCCCCGTGTGAGGTACAGGGTGGTGGCAGGGGGAGAGAGGAAGGACACACACGCTCCAGGCTGTGGTCGTTGCCTGGATACAACACCACACAAACACACCCAGCTCATCCTCTCCCCACCCGTGCCTAGGATAAGGAAGAGGAAAAGTTGGGGGTGGGACTCCCAGAACAGGATCAGAGCCTTCAGGGAGTAAGAACACTGAGCTCCCAGCACAGGCTCAGACCTCCTCCACCCAGAGCAGAGCTGGCAACACCACCCTGAGACCCTGCGAGGCCCCACAGACAGCAGACCCCACTCTGCACATGCCCTGGGAACAGGCACCAAGCACAGCACTGTCACCAGCCCATCAGATGGGGCAAGGCCACACTCACCTTCCCTTACGCTGACACTGGCCAAACTCACTAGCGGTAAGGTGCCTATCAGAGCTGCGACCACCTGCCCCAAGTCACGGTGAGGAACTCTGAAGACAGAGAAGTGCTGGCCTGGGGCGGGGACACTCCTCCTCCAACACAGCCACATCTCTGTCCGACACTCCCTCCAGGACCAGCTGTCCCCCTACAAAGGCCTGCAGCCCTAGTCCCCAGGAAGAGCCAACTACAGATGGAGGAACAGGCCCAGGAGGAGGCTGTCCACTCTCGGGGCAGTGCCAGCCTTGTCCTGGCTGGACAGGCTGAGGTCCCCCGGAGCCACTGTCCCTCTAGGCAGTGTCAATAGCCAAAGGATGGGCCAACATGTGCCCGCCTCACCACAGGACAGGCACAGCCAAGGCATCAGGAGTGACCTTCCTCCCCTCTGCTTCCCAGCTCCGAGCTGTGAGAAGACATCCTGGGTGCCCCATCACAGTCACATGTCCTGAGGCCCACAGGCCTGTAGTGGGGGCAGGGGACACTCCCTGGACAGGTGCACCCCAGTGCTTCACGGTGATAAGCCCATCTTCGCACTTCAGGGCTATTATCTGGACCAGGACTCAGGACCGATCCCCGGGCAAGCACCCCTGGCCCCATTTGGCAGGCGGGGCCGCGGAACAGTGCAGCCCACAGCCAGTGCTGCAAAAGGACTCCTCACAGCAACTGCCTCGCCCCTTCACAGGGTGGTCTCACAGAACCAACGACTGACTCCAACCTAGTCCGCTCCAGCACCTGCTGTGCCTGGGCAGCGCCTGGCCACAGCCAGCTCTGGTTTAGCCTGAGAAGTGCCCAGTACAGGGTCTGGCATGGTGGGCTAACAGCCAAAGTCTTTACCTTGAACGCGCCAGGATCCCATATGGGTACTGGTTCTAATCCCGGTTGCCCGCTTCCCATCCAGCTCCCTGCCTATGGCCTGGGAAAGCAGTCGAGGACAGCCCAAAGCCTTGGGACCCTGCACCTGCATGGGAAACCTAGAAGAGGCTCCAGGATCCTGGCTTCGGATCGGCGCAGCTCCAGCCATTGTGATCACTTGGGGAGTGAATCATTGGACAGAAGATCTTGTTCTCTGTCTCTCCTCCTCTTTGTATATCTTACCTTGTAATAAAAAAATAAATAAATCTTAAAAAAAAAAAGTGCCCAACAGGCCTTCAGTGGACTGTGCTAAGTGCTACTCTGGGGTGCTGTGCTAAGTGCTACTCTGGGGTGCTGTGCTAAGTGCTACTCTGGGGTGCTGTGCTGCAGCACCTTGCGCTTCTCCCCAGACATCGTCCGGGCGGCAGCAACAGGCGCCTTGCTCTCTGTAACTGTCTTGCTTTTCTTTTAAGATTTACTTGTTTATTTATTATTGGAAAGGCAGATATACAAAGAGAAGGAGACATAGAAAGATCTTCTGCCCACTGGTTCACTCTCCAAGTGGTCGCAATGGCCAGAGCTAAGCCGAGCCGAAGCTAGGGAGCTGGATGGGAAGTGGGGAAACTGGGACATGAGCCAGCACTCATATGGGATGCTAGCACATGCAAGGCAAGGATTTAGCCACTAGGCTACCACACCAGGCCCTGTAACTGCCTTTCCAATCATCATCATCGTCATGGTCATCATCTTCCCTTAGAGCAGCTAGTGTTGGGGCCCAAAGGGTTAAGCTGCTACTTGCAATGCTGACACTGCGTGTGGACACTGCTCTGAGCCCCAGCTGCTTCTCTCCTGATCCAGTTCCCTTCTCATGCGCCCGGCTGGTATAAACACCCTGAGAGCCGATCAGAAGGAAGGCAACTCCATCACAACTTAGTTAAAAATAAGCATCTTAAAGACTTAAAAAAAGAGGAAAGACTGTACACTACAAACGCTTCCCCCAATCCGAGCCAGCCTCAGCGCCCATCCCTCTAGCAGCCCCAGCTGAGATGATGACCAGACCCCTAGACCCACACAGCCTCCCACAGCTCTCAAATCACCCCAAGTCTACACTGGCTCCTTTGGTCTTCCCACCCATTCCACACTTCATTTCTGGAACCTGCTATGACCGATGCACCTTGGCAACAGCACTGCGTCTCAGGATCTCCTGACAAGTGCTCTCTGTCAGAGGACCACCCCCAGCCAGTCAGGCCAAGAGACTCCCCAGATGTGCAGTCCCCCTGTGGCTGCACTGTGCTCAGTACTCCCACGCTCCCACACGACCCCAAAGCTTCCCCCAGCACGCTGCCTGCCCATGGCCAGCACCCAGCACAGAACCACCATGTTCTCATGAGCCCTGGGTCACATCTGTCAGGGCAGCTGTAAAGGGAAGTCATCCCACAGCAGGCGTGGGGCTGGCAGGCGCTGGATCGGACGGGACGAGGATGAAGCCCCTGCTTCACGGGGAAACACACAGCTTACTGTCCCTACACAGTGAAGCCCAACATGTGCCAGACACTGGGCCTCAAGTCACCCCTCCCCACCCGAGTTCAGCTATGCGGCTGGCCACCTGACAGCCCCCGTCACGGGTGAGGGAACTGAGGCCCAGTGAGGCTGACTCACCGGCCCACAGATGGTGGCAGCAAGGATGGATTTCCTGATCTGGGTGTACCTGGGACCAGAATAATCTCAAAGGGTAACCGCCAAAATAATCAAGACTGCCAGTTTCCGGCCAAAGCCCGTGCTGAAATGAACAGCTGAGAGAAGCTCTGGGTGGTGAACACATGACCACTGTCCACGCACAGGAGCAGCGCCCGTGGCAGGCCAGCGCTGGAGGGACAGGGACGACGGACACAGGCTTCCTCCACCATGGTCACGTCTCCACGACACCATGTCCACAAGGGGAGCTCAGAGCTCACCTGGGCAGCAGCTTCAGCTATAACCTCAGGACTGTTGTGCAACTGACTGGTGCGCAAAACCATGCAAGCATCACTTTGCAGGCTTTGTGCAGAGTAAGGATGCAAACGCAGACACACTGTCCCAGGCTCCAGCTCCCACCCTCCGACTACAGGGAACTCACTGGGAACCCCAGGTGTAGGCAGAAAGGGTGGGTTTTACTCCCACTGCTACTGGGTGACAGCCTGCAGACTGTAAAACGGGCACGCATCTGGCAGGGGCTACTGGGAGCTGGGCAACCACAGGTGGTCCTTGCACAGCTGGACCTGAGAGGTGTGAGCTTCCCCTAGTCTGTCCCCAGCACCACTGGTGGACAACAGCCACACCCCAAAGGGTGACACCTTTGTCGACAACAGCGGGATACGTTCCTCAGTCCAGTGGCCTCCGGGGCTCAGCTGCTCTGCCTCAGATCACTCACACTCCCCGCCACCCCCACCCTTTCCAACCTTCAGCAACTTCAAGAAAACGGAAGTGACTACCACTGGTGTTCAGAACCGTTTGAAACCCTGACTCTGGCTGCAGAGGAAGAGGAAACTGAACACGACAAACGGAAGCCACTGCCAACGATAGCCACCTCTGGGCACGCCGTCTGCTGGCTCGGCCATCGCCCCGGTTCCTGGTTTGTCCTGGGGGTGGCGGGCCCCAGGCCTCTGTCGCAGTTCCCCTGTGCCCCTGTCAGGAGCCTACAGTTCCTTCCCCAGCTTCGGACCAACCCACAGCTCCCACTGCAGCTCCCGCCGCCCTGCAAACACAGCCCACTGCCAGAGAGCTGCAGGGCTGCCTTTCATCTGCCCACTTCTCCCCTGCCCAGGGCCCAGCACTGGGGAACGGAGGTCAAGGCACAGAGGCCTTTGGGAAGGCCACCAGGGACAACCACCAAAGCCACCTCAAGGTGAGGGTGCCGACACCAGGACAGTCCTCAGGCTGGACCAGCACCCTGCTCCTTACAAGGCCTGGCAGTTCAGACAATGGGGAACTATGACCCACCTCGTCCCCGTAAGCCCCCCATCCCAGTCAGCGTCTGGCTTACTCTGCGCAGGGGGTGGGGGACTCAACGCCCAGGACAGGGTACAGGTAACAGCAACCCCACCACTTCAGAGCTGGCCTGAGCAGGTGCCACAGCCACCCAGCGAGGCAACTCTGGGGACACGTGTAAGCAGCGTTACTGCCACCTGAGGAGGGAGGCCCAGAGACCACCCCAGGGGCCACCCCTCCCCAGAACGTAGGCCGGGCACCAGCTCTGGCTTGCGGAACAGAGTTCAGGGAGCCGCGGCTGTGAACGCTGACGTCATGAAGGACACAGACTGAACAAGCTTAAGGGGGGTGGGGAGCACTGCCCACAACACCCAGTCCCAACAGAAACCAGCTCAAGTCCCAGCAGCTCCGCTTCCAGTCCAGCTCCCCACTAGTGGCCCAGAAAAAGCAGCAGACAGCCCAAGAGTGTTGGCCATGACACGCACGTGCAAGACTTGGATGAAGCGCCCGGCTTCCGCCTGGCCCAGCCCTGGCTCAGCCCTGGCCACTGCGCATGCACAACCTGTCTCTCCCTTTCTCATTATAACTCTTTCAAAACAGGTAAGTAAATTGTAAAAGAAATAAAAAAGGAAATAGTAAGACCAATGGCTTTGCAAAGTCCCTGGGAGAAACAGAGCTGGGTGAACAGGGTGGCACAGGGCAATCAGAGGTCAGCAAGGCTTGCGTTCAGTCTTATCTCAGCAATGAGAAATCTGCGCGGCTGGCCGCTCCTCCTGTCACCTGAGAAACAGCTCAGACACGGTGACTGTAACACTGACACGGGTGGCGGTGGGCCCTGCCCCTTGGCACTCCCACACCCCATGCCAGAATTGGGCTCAAGCCCCAGCAGCTCTGCTTCCCAGCCTGCTGCCTGCTGCCGTACCTGGGAGCAGCATGGGGGGGTCAAATGTTCGGGACCCCCCCAAGCACGTGGGAGATCCAGACAGAGCTCCTGGCTCCTGCCCAGCCCCGGCTACCGCAGGCAGCGATGCGAACATGAAAGACCCCCGTCACTCTAACCTTCAAGTAATTCAAAACTAAAAGTAAAAACCACAGTGTGGCATGGAACGGACAGCCTGTCCCCCCACGCTGGTGCTGGGCGATTCTGGCGCATGCGTCCCCCAGTCACCTCATCTCCCCGACGGCGAGCAGGCCCGCTCCCCCCACCTGCCCTGGCCTCCTGCGTCCCTGACACACACTTCCGCCAGGAGGCCTCCCTGACTGCCAGGGCGTCCTCTGCACGCTGCCCGCAGCACCTGCGCCTCAGCTCTGCAACCCCATCCACTCCCAGGCCAGAGCCGTGGGGGAGCTGTCAGCACTACCCCGAACCGAAGGGGTCTCTGCTAAGCTCGCCTGGCTGAAGTCCGAACACAGGGGGTGAGGGGCGCGGGCCGGAAAGACGAGCAGAAGCCAGAGCCGCCAGGAAGGCCGGTGCCCACGGGAGGCCTCCCCGCGTGGGGCTCGGCCACAGGGCGCTGGCGGCGCCCAGTCAAGCAGACCAAACCAACCTGTCAAAGCATTCCCAGGATCCCGGGGTGACACCCGTCCTCCGTGAGAGCCCCCCAGGCATGCCAGGATCCTGAGGCCGCGCACGGGGCCCAGCGCGCCCGGCCAGGACAGCACGCCTGCCGGCAGAGCGACACGGGCACGCAGAGCCAGCCCGGCGCCAAGCACCTGCAGGCACGAGCAGCCCCCACTGCGACCCCAGGATGCCAACCCCAGAGCCAGTCGCGGGCTGGCTGCCCAGGACGCACACTGAGCCAAGGGCTCCTTCATGCCCAAGAGCCGGGCACCTGAGCCAACCGAGCCGGCAGCACCACCGCGTGCACGCCAGAGCCACCCCTCAGACAGCACAGCTTCCTTTCCAGAACCTTCCAGCCCGTCAGGCAGGTGCACCACGCACCTTCACATTTCTGCACGTGCTGCTCCTCCCCACGAGGCCCTTCCTGCCACTCTCCATCTGTCACCGCCTGCCAGCCACGCTGGGCCAGCTACACCTGCCTGCCACCCCGCCGGGCACAAGGGACACAGGCAACAGAGGACAAAGAGCAGCGGGGGCAGGCACGTGAGGTCACAGAGCCCGGCGGGGCCAGGGGCAGCCTTGGGGGGCTGAGGAGGCTGACCCAAAGACCTGGGGGCACTGAGGGAGGGACCTGGGGGACCTGGGGGGAGACCTGGGGGACCTGGGGGGAGACCTGGGGGACCTGAGGGGAGACCTGGGGGACCTGGGGGAGACCTGGGGGACCTGAGGGGAGACCTGGGGGACCTGGGGGACCTGGGGGACCTGAGGGGAGACCTGGGGGACCTGGGGGGAGACCTGGGGGGACCTGGGGGGAGACCTGGGGGACCTGGGGGGAGACCTGGGGGACCTGGGGGGAGACCTGGGGGACCTGGGGGGAGACCTGGGGGGACCTGGGGGAAGACCTGGGGGACCTGGGGGGAGACCTGGGGGGACCTGGGGGGACCTGAGGGGAGACCTGGGGGGAGACCTGAGGGGAGACCTGGGGGACCTGGGGGAAGACCTGGGGGACCTGGGGGGAGACACGGAGACACCTGGGGGACCTGGGGGGAGACCTGGGGGACCCAAGGGGAGTCGCTGAGAGACCTGGGGAACCTGAGGGGAGACCTGGGGGACCTGGGGGAAGACCTGGGGGACCTGGGGGGAGACCTGGGGGGAGACACGGAGACACCTGGGGGACCTGAGGGGAGACCCGGGGGCCCTGGGGGGATGCGAGGGGAGACGCCGAGAGGCTTGGTGGGGCGCTAAGCGCAGACATTAGGGGGCGCTGAGGACAGACTTGCGGGAACGAGGGATGACAGCACTGACAGGCTGGTGGAGACTTACGGGGACCGCGAGAGGCCGGCACGGGAGGCAGCCAGGGAGAGCTCGGGGCGGCGGGGGCTGAGGGGCCCGGGGAGGCCGAGCCGGGGCGCTCACCTGCGCGGGGGGGCGGCGGCTCCTCACACTCGGGGCTCATCGGGGCGCCCCCCCCGCCCCGCCGCCGGCGGCTCCGGCCCCTGCTGCGGGGCGCGGGCTGTGGGGGCGGGGGCGGCGGCGGGGTCGCGCGCACGCGCCCTCGGGCCGGGCGGCCTCCGCCGTCGAGATGCGCCGAGTCCGCGGTCAGCGTCCACGGGCGTCCGGCCGGGTGGCGAGGAGAGGCCGCGAGGGGAGGCCCACGGGCGAGGCGGGGGAGCGCTGGGCCGAGGCGGCGGGGGTTGGCTGGGACGCGAGGCCCGCGCAGGCGCCTCGGCACAGACAGACGGAGGAAGTCACCCCGGTTTCGCCCGCCCGGCCCCGTCTGCCGCTGGAGACGACAGCGTCTTCCTCCGCCGTCCTAAAGGGCCGCGCTGTTAAACAGCGACCGACGGAAGCCGAGCACCCCTTCTCTAAGGAACCCTGTCCCCCAGAGCCGTAGGTCTCCCAGCTCGGCCGCCGGCTCGGGGCCTCGGCCGCCCTCCGCTCTCCGCCACTATCCCACAATCCCCGGAGCGCAGGGGACGCCGGAGGCCCCGCCCTCCCGCGGGCGTCTCGCTGCGCGCAGGTGCGCCAGGGTCGGGGCGCTCGGGCTCTGCAATGCGCCTGCGCGCTGGGCCCCGGCGCCCTGCCCTCCCCGGCCCCCCGAGCAAGCCCCGCCCCTCCAGGCATCCCGCCGCAGGTGCGCCTGCGCCGCTTCGCGCCTGTGGTCTTCCGGGCGCGCACTGCGCAGGCGCCGCTGCCCACCCCGTCGCCGGCGCTGTGGGACTCATTTCCACGGGCTGACGGACATTTTGTCCTGTCGTCTGTCCCGCCACACCACGCCCGTCCCATCCCTCGCTCTGGCTCCCGCAGTAACGGATCTGCGATGGCTCCAGGGTTCGAACACAGAGTGCTTGCCCCCGCGTCCTGACCTCTGGGGACACCTGCTTCCCAGCCCTGTCGGGGCGTCCTCCCAGGCCCGTCCCCTGGAGGGGCGCTGCGGACCCTCTCTGTCCACTTTGGAGCAATTTCGGAAGAGCCACCTGCGCCAGCACAGGAATTATTGAAAGAGGGACAGGTCTTCCACACGCTGGTTCATTCCCCGAATGGCCTCGGTAGGCCTGAGGCCAGGCGCTTCCTGGGTTGACCCCAGGGGTGCAGGAGCTCAAGTGCCTGCCTGGCCCCATCATCTCCACTGCCTTCCCAGGCACGTTGGCGGGGATGGGAAGTGCAGCAGCCGAGGCTCGAACCGGTGCCACCACGGGCAGTGCTGTGTGCGCATACCCATGGGAAGGCTTACTCAATCTTCATTTGAGGATCGCGTTACTAGGTTGTGTGTGTGAATGTTGTGTTTTCGGTGGAGGAAAATGCCGGTGTGAGTCTGAGCCCAAGACGCAGAGGTGCTGAGGTCCCAGGGCAGCGTGCGGCTCCCCTCTCCGTTCCCTTGGGGCCCTGGGCGGTTCCAGGAGGCCCACAGTGTGCCTTCACTCTGTTGACAGGAAATGACCTCTCGGGGCGAGCATCCCTCACCCACACACACACCCACTTTGTTCCTTGGGTGTCAGGCTCTGTCTCCCCAGCAGAGTGCATGCATCCCACCCTTACCCAGGGGCCAGAGCATGGCCATATCCAACCACTGAATGAAAGGCCTCCCCGTGAGAAGGTACGGATGGCGCTGTTGTTCATGTTGGATTAGGAACGTACTTTGGGTCACGCCCCAGACGGCTTAGTGGGAATACTTGCAGGGGAAGGGGCCTCTACCGACCAGTTATTGCATCTCCTGGCCTCAACCCCCATGCGGCGACCAGGAGGGGCCTAGTTGGAGCCAACCTGACGCCTGTGTGCCCTACAGGAGGCCTGTGCTTGGCAGCCGTGGCAAGAAACTAAGCAGACATCGCCAAAAGTCAGGGTGATGGAGATGCAACTTCTGTGCCTGCTCACTCGAGCAGTAACGAAAGGTGGATCTGATCTCCAGTGCTCAGGTCCTGCAGCCCAAACCCTTCTTAAGTTTGCCCTGGATGTAGGAAGAGGGGGAAATAACCCATATCAGCTCAAAAATCCTCGTGAGCAGAATGAGCTGGCATGATTGGGGCCAGGGAGCCAGGATCTGAGGAAATGGTGTGTAGCTTTTGGCGCGAGCCCCTAACTGTGGAGTCAAGGGCTCCCTCTCGCTCAGGCTGCAGAACTGGTCACTCGGACACAGAACGGCCTCCACACCACACCTGGCTGCAGTGCCGACCCAGAACCACTGCCCGCCTCTTTAACGCACCGGTCCTGGCTGCCTCCATCCCCAGAGCCAAAGGGGTTCTGCTTAGAGGAAGCGGGTCACATGGTCACTACAAGGCATGCTGGGAAGCAATGGAGGAACCGGAGTCTCGTGGTTGCTGCAAGGCACCCTGAGAAACAACCTCCAGAGGAGGCACCCTTCCGGTCTGGCTGGCAGAGAGGCTGGCAGCACAAAGGGGTGCCGTTCGGAGAGGAGGGGCAGGAGAGCAGAGCTGCACAGTCAAGAGCAGCACTTTATTCGTCCCACAGCTCCCAGGTCCCCCATGTGCTCTCCATGCACGCCCAGAGGAGGAAGTAGAAGGGAAAGGGTGTGAGGGCGAGCAAGGCAGGGATCTCCCAGGGACCCACACGGAGAACCCCGGCACGCCTGGCACCCAGGCACCAGCCAGGCCCAGCAGCGGCTCCGGAGAGGGCCACGAGGTCAGGGCGAAGGGGCCGAGTCACCCGCAGCCTCATCGGTCCATGCTGTCATCCGTGGGGCTGGAGAAGCAGGTCTGCAGCAGCTTTTCACAGAACTCCAGCTCCTCCTGGAGGTGGGGGAAAAGAGAGCCCTGAGCCCCCAGCCCCCCAGAAACCACGGGCTTCCCCAACTGCCCTCACCAGCCTGGATCAGCTGGAGTCCCAGCTGTGGGGCAGCCCTGTCTCTCCCTGCCCAAAACCCCTTCCGTGGACACAAACCCAGCAACAGGCAGGACAGGCGAGCTACATAATAACAGGCATGTCCATGACAAGAACAGAATGTAGACTAAAATGACAGCCGGCTGCTTGGGGGACGGGAGAGTTCTTGTGATTTCCAGCACAAGATCCTGACACTTGGCACTGAAGAGCTTTTCTCTTGCAAAGAGCCCACTGCAGGGACCTGTGTGCAGCCGAGTGGACGGCTCCAGCTGGGTCTGCTGCTGACCCTATGGGGCAGAGGCTCAGGGGACCGCGTGCCTGCCACCGACCCGTGTTGGGCTGTGTTCCTGTCCCCACCCTGCCGTGGCAGGCATTTGGGGACTTCTGTTAACAGGCTTATTTCTTTGAAAGCGTTAAAGATGGAACTATCTCACTACCCAGATGGCCGTCCCAGCTGAGGGCAGGGGTAAGGAGCTTCTTCCAGGTCTCCCAGGAAGTGGAGCAACCGGGAAGTCAGTTGCTAAAACCAGCACACAACAGATAAACAGGCAAAGGATATAAACAGTTCCTAAGAAAAAAGAAATGGCCAATTGCTACAAAGTGGCTGGGAATGCTGCTTTCCAGCAAGAAAAATGTCACCCTGAAGTCCCCTTGTCCTGGCCAGGACCCAGGTTGCTGGCAACACTGTGGTCCCAGTGTCGAAGGGTGGCAGCAACATGGCACCAGCTGACCCCTCACCCTCATGTCCCCAGCAGGCGGCAGCAACCACTGGCCCTGGAGGGGACCCCACGCTGGGGCCCAGCCACTCACCTGGTATTCCTCATGCTGCTGCAGCAGCTGGCAGCGGTGGCGGAGCAGCTCCTCCAGGCCCAGCTCGGGCTCCCGGCACTCACGCACCCCCTGGGGGAAGTCTGTCACCAGGCTGTGGGCGACATGGGAGCAGACCTAAGACCTAGGACCTGCTGCTGCTCCCACGGGGACCTGGCCATTCAACTACCCCGCAGGGGACAAGCATTCCACACTTCCTGCTGCCCGCCAGGGGTCAGGAAGAGGGTCGTGCAAAGCAGGGACACTTTTGTGGACACTAATGTGCTCATCTTGTGTGTGAGGAGGCGGCAGAACAGGAAGCTTTCCTTCCCTGGGGAGACTGCCACAGCACCCACACCTGAGCACATCCACGATGCCTCCCCCATGGCCCCAGAACCCTCCTCGACAGGCAGACCACAACCCCAGGGTCCCCACCTGCACAGGGCTCCGAGCACATGCTCATGGAAGGGGCTATGCTCTGTGCGTACAAGGGCCACCAGCTGCTGGACCATCCCCATGGAGCACAGGGTCCCTGGGGAGAGAACCAGGGTGGTCAGAGGGACAGCCCCAGCCGCACCCCCCTCCGGCGACCCCCATCCTCCCTCGGGGCCACCCACCTTTGTGCTCGGGGTGGCCCACCAGCAGGTTCTGCAGCAGGAATGCTGACTTGACCTTGAGCTTCTGCACCTGTTGCTGCATGGCCCGCATCAGCACAGAGAAGCCGTCGAGACGCAGAAACTGAAGCAGCCCGGCCTCCTGCTCCCGCACCAGGCCTGCAGAAGGGCAGGACAGGGTCACGGTGCCCACCGTCCTCCGTCATCCCCACTACCCAGTGACCTCACTGGGGATGGCTACCATGCAGTCAACAGCCGCTGAGCACTTGGCACGGGCCAATTGCAAACAGGAACTGACTCACTGCAACCTGAAGGAGCCACAGCTGTGCAAACACGGTCAGTGCCACTGCACCTCACACTGGCCTCAAGGACATGGCCTGCAACCTAGGGGGACCCCGTGTGTAGGGGGTGCCAAGTCTGGAAGAAGACACGGCGGCTGTGTGCACTCTATTAACTGCATGCTGAAGCTACAAGAGTTCTGCTAGGGCGAGTGCCTGGCCCAGGAGTCAGCATCCCCACATCCCACAATGGAGTGCTGGTCCAGTCTCGGCTCCACTTCCCACCCAGCTTCACTGTAGCACACACCCCGGAAGCCAGGAGACACTCCCATCATGGGGGAGACCTAGGGGCTCACGGCTCCTGGTCCTGGCCCGGCCCTGCCTGTGGCCTGGGAAAGCAGTAGAAGACGGCCCAAAGCCTTGGGATCCTGCATAGGAGACCCGAAAGAAGCTCCTGCAGGTGGCAGAGGTGCTGTAAGGCATAGGGATCCCACAGACAGGTGCCCGACAAGCAAGGAAATGCTGGGTTCAGACTCCTCTTGGCGTGTTCCTATGGGGCCTCCTTAGCCAGTACCCTCTCTGTGGCAGGGACATGGCTGTCCCCACGTCACATGGTATGAGAAGACTGAGTAAATTCATCCCCCGCTGGGAGCCACCCCACTTCCCCCAAGCACAGCCCACTGACCCAGCACCCTTCTCCCAGGAAGCAGTGGGACGACAGTCCAGCCTACATGCCAGGCCAGACCCCCTGTCAGACGGACAGGACGGCAGCCCCCCACAGGCCTGTCAGCATGGAACTGCATTGCGAGCACACAAGGGGCAAGGCTGGAGGGTGTTGCGAGGACCCACAGCGCCTGAGCTAGCCTCACGCAGACAACACGCCGGGGCCAGCACAGCTGTGTCCACAGTGCTCAGGACTGACCCATCACCCTCGGCGACCAGCTGCTCCGAGCAGTGGGGCAACAGATGGAAGACCACTGCCCCAGCATCCAGCACAGAGTCCCGAGGAGCCCCAGGCCGCACCTCACCCACCTGCCCGCAGACCCGGGGGACACTCACAGGAGATGGCGAAGAGGGCCTTGACACGCACCGTGTCACAGGCGTCCCGGTCGAGCAGCCGCAGCAGCTTGCGCAGGGCGCCGAGGCCCAGCACCTGCTCCTGGATGGCGGCCACATTCTGGCTGCACGTGCCGATGAGCTGTGCCGCACGCCACCGCAGCCCGGCCGCTCCCGCCTCCAGGTACCGGCCCACCAGGAGGTGCATGCCCGACAGCTGGCAGAAGTCTGGCAGGGAGCAAGGAAGGGCCGGGCGTGAGCAACTGCCTGGCTCACGGCCTGAACCCTGGGACCTGAGGCAGGGCTGCATTTGCAGTTGGGGTCCTTAGAGGGCAATGAAGCTTCAGTGAGTCATACCCAGACCCTAACTCAGTGGGATTGATGCACTGTGTTTTTAAAGATCTATTTATGTAAAAGGAAGAGTCAGAAAGACAGGGACAGAGAGAGATCTTTCATCTACTGGTTCACACTCCAAGTGACCAAGTGGCTGCGACAGCTGGAGCTGGGCTATGGCAGGGATTGGAAGTGAATCAACAGTTGGAAGATCTCGCTCTCCTTTGCTCCGTGGCTCTGCCTTTCAAGTACGTGAAAATAAAAAAAAAACATTTTTCTTGTAAGAATGAACAGAAGAGACTTGACAGACTCGCGGGGCCAACCACATGGGGACCTAGGAAAATGCTGCACCTGCAACGAAGCAGGGACACCAGCTGGGAGTCCACTCTGCCACCCTCACCAGCCGCTGCGGGAGCCTGTCAGTGGCCATCACTGTGAGGCCAGCGGGCTCCCAGGGCGTGTCGCCTCAGTACTGTCAGCGTGCCAGGCTGCCACGCACTGGATGCCAGCTCTGACCTCCCGTCTTTGTGATCATCACAACACCCCCTGGGGGAGAAAGGCACCCTAGCCCAGGTTTAGTGAGTCCTGGGACCTGCTGCTTGCCCCATGAGGATGGCGGCATGGGGGTGGCGGTGGTCCCTCCCAAAATCCTCTGGGGCCCCCTGCCTTCCTGACACAGGCCCCACAGGATGGCGCACAGGGGCCCATGTCCTCAGCATCAGCCCAGGGGAAGTGACCCAAGTGCTGGCAAGCAACTCCAAGGCCAATGGGACAATGGAGTATTTCTCAGCTATAAAATGCCATGAGAGGGCCCGGCGCAGTGGCCTAGTGGCTAAAGTCCTCGCCTTGAATGCGCCAGGATCCCATATGGGTGCCGGTTCTAATCCCGGCAGCTCTGCTTCCCATCCAGCTCCCTGCCTATGGCCTGGGAAAGCAGTCAAGGATGGCCCAAAGCTTTGGGAACCTGTACCCACATGGGAGACCCAGAAGAGGTTCCTGGTTCCCGGCTTCAGATCAGCACAGCTCCAGCCATTGCGCTCACTTGGGGAGTAAATGATCTGACGGAAGATCTTCCTCTCTGTCTCTCCTCTCTGTATATCTGACTTTGTAATAAAAATAAATAAAATATTTTAAAAAAAAAATGCCATGAGAGTTCACCCATGCAGAGCACACTCAGGAAAGAAGCCTGGCTCCCCTCAGCAGGCACAGCTCCCCTGCTCCCCGACCTGCGGGCAGGGACCTGCTCAAGTTGCCATACAGGTAGCAAGCCCCATCACCAGCCTGGGCCCTGAGCCCTGCACACCTGCCACCCTGGCTTGCCACCCTGGCAGCCCCCTCTGCTCACCGCGCTCTGCGGCTGTTTTGGCACGGCAAGCACACCCCTGCTCAGGGCCTCAGCGCTGGCCCTTCCCGCTGCCCTGTGAGCTCAGACCTGACGCTAGGCCTCCCTTAACTGCTCCACCCTCTACTCCAGGGAATGGCTGTGGACGCCTGCACATGACAAATGACGGGTGCCCAGGTATGCCAGGGAAGTGACCAGCCTAGGCTGCCACTGGGGCTGGCAGCATGGGATCTCCATGGCCACAGGGCGGGGAGGGTCTGGCCTGGCGTTGTCTACCTGCGGCGTTGTCCATGTTTTCACACAGGTCTGAAAGCAGCTCCAGGGCCCCCTCACGCTCCTGCTGGTCCGTGGCCAGCTCAGCCTCGCCGGCCGAGGAGGGCAAGGGCTGGGACAGCACACGCAGGCAACTCTTCATCTGCTCCACCTCCTCCCGCTGGCCCCGGAAGGCGGCGGACATGGCCTCCTGCAGCCACTGACGCCTCTGGGGTGTGTGTGGGGGGACACAAAGCGACACCTGTCAGTAATTTGTTAAGGAGGAATACAGGACAGCAACATCTGGGGACCCAGAGCTTTTTTTGTTCTCACTCTTCCTCAGGCCTTGGGTGGGCAGCCACCCTGCTCCTGCTCCAAGGGCAGGCGTGAGCTGGTCGGGAGCAGATCTGCCGTGTGGTCCATGTGCAGCCCGTTGATAGTGTGGGCGCCAGCAGGGGGACAGCCAGGAGGGCAGGGCCTGACACAGGATGTCTCCCCTATGGGACAAGCGTCCTGTCTCTGTGCTAGGGAGCGGTGGGCAGAATGCACAGGAGGACATCGAGCCGTGGCCCCAGCTTCCACACACAACCTGCCAGCACCTCCTTCCCTCTGGTGCGGCACCTACGGAAGTGCCCCACTGCCGACTGTCCCTGGGGAATGAAACTGCTCCCGGGGAGGGCTGCAGGCCCGCAGCTAGCCCATCATGCAGAAATCTCCATAGCAGAGACCAGCGAGGAGGTGTGGAGTAACAGGCTAAGCTACCACTTGCAACACTGCCATCCCACACAGGTGCCCAGTTCTATGGCCAGTTGCAATCCTTCTAATCCAGCTCCCTGTTAATGCAACTGGGAAAGCAGCAGAAAATGGACCAAGTTCCTGGGTCCCTGCACCCACGCAGAAGACCCAAATGAAGTTCCAGGCTCCTGGCTTCACCCTGGGCCTGCCTGGGCTGTTGCAGCCATTTGAGGAGTGAACCAATGGATGGAAGCTCTCTCTCTTTGCATAAAATCTGCCTTTCAAATTAAAAAATGAATCATAGCACAAGACAGAGCTGTACCCAAGCCCTCTGGGATGTTCTCTCACCACAAGGCTGTTCTGCCTCCCAAGCACTACCAGCATCCTACAAACCCTCCTCTCAGGCACTTGTGGGACCTGACCTTCAGGCCACAACGACCCCAGCCTGGCCTGCCCCCACCCCCTTGGGCCCAGTCCCGGGCCTGTCATTCCCACCTCCTCACTCAGAGGCCCCTCAGCCCACCCCCGGGGCCCCTCGTCCTCACCTCCTTGCTCAGGGGCCCCTCCTCCTCACCTCCTCACTCAGGGGCCCCTCATCCTCACCTCCTCACTCAGGGGTCCCTCATCCTCACCTCCTCACTCAGGGGCCCCTCATCCTCACCTCCTCGCTCAGGGGCCCCTCGGCCCGCTCCTGGGGCTCCCTGTCCTCACCTCCTCGCTCAGGGGCCCCTCCTCCTCACCTCCTCACTCAGGGGCCCCTCGTCCTCACCTCCTCACTCAGGCGCCCCTCATCCTCACCTCCTCACTCAGAGGTCCCTCAGCCCACCCCCAGGGCCCCTCGTCCTCACCTCCTCACTCAGGGGCCCCTCATCCTCACCTCCTCACTCAGGGGTCCCTCATCTTCACCTCCTCACTCAGGTGCTCCTCATCCTCACCTCCTCACTCAGGGATCCCTCATCCTCACCTCCTCACTCAGGTGCCCCTCGTTCTCACCTCCTCACTCAGAGGCCCCTCGTCCTCACCTCCTCACTCAGAGGCCCCTCATCCTCACCTCCTCACTCAGGCGCCCCTCATCCTCACCTCCTCACTCGGGGGTCCCTCATCCTCACCTCCTCACTCAGGGGTCCCTCATCCTCACCTCCTCACTCAGGTGCTCTTCATCCTCACCTCCTCACTCAGGGGTCCCTCGGCCCGCCCCCAGGGCCCCTCGTTCTCACCTCCTCACTCAGGCGCCCCTCCTCACCTCCTCACTCAGGGGCCCCTCGTTCTCACCTCCTCACTCAGAGGCCCCTCGTCCTCACCTCCTCACTCAGAGGCCCCTCGTCCTCACCTCCTCACTCAGGCGCCCCTCATCCTCACCTCCTCACTCAGGGGTCCCTCGGCCCGCCCCCGGGGCCCCTCATCCTCGGACCTCCTCACTCAGGGGCCCCTCGTCCTCACCTCCTCACTCATGGGCTCCGGAGGCGGCTCCGGCTCCTCGGAGCCCGCCGTGACGGCCATCTGCAGCAGGCCTTGCAGGTTCCGCGGGGGCCGGGAGTTGCCCGCGCCGCCCGCCGAGGAGCCGCCGCCGCCGCCCGAGGAGCCGCCCTGCGAGGCCGGGGGCAGCGCCAGGGGGAGGCGGCCGCCTCCAGAGCCTTCGTCCGCCATGCGTGCGTTGTGGGATGGAGAAGGCGCTCACGGTGCAGGCGTCCCGGGAGTCCCGGCGGGGCGGTTTCGCTGGATCTGCAGACGAGCCGACGCTTCAGGTGCGCGCGGAGCCCCGGCATGGTCCCGGACACGCACTGACCCCCAAAGCCGCCAGCATCTCGTCGTCCTCCCAGCAACAGGCCCCACCCACTCTGCCTAGCAACAGCCCCATCTCCCCTCGGCTGCGCGAGTGCCCATCTCCTAGCAACCCCTCTGCCATCCTTGCAGGCAGCAAGGCCTGCCCCTCGGTCTCCTCGGTCACCCTAGCAACGGGTCCCCTCCTCTCCAAAGGCGCCGACGGAGCGGGACCGGGCTCACCTCCAGCACCTCCAGCCGCGGCCGATCCCTAAACCCACACTCGCCCGCACCTGACGCCGCTGGGCGCCGCCATCTTGACAGGAACTACGCACATCGTGCCCGGAAGTGCCGTTGCATCCCCGACGCGGGGACGAAGCGGCGGCTGAGGCCGGTCATCGCGGGGTTCCAGGATCCTTCCCGCCGGGCGGTCTCGCTCCTCCCGGATGGGCTCCTCCTCCGCCTGGACTCCTCCTCCTCACCCGTCCTGGGACCGTCCCCCACGTCAGGCCCCGCTTCCGGGGTGAAGGGCACCCCACCCGCACCCTGGTCCCCACCCCAATTCTAGGCCTTCCGGCCCCTGCCAGGGAATCCCACCTTCTCTTGCAGCCCCGCTCCTGGCTTTAGGCCCCGGGCCACTCCACGCACCGTTCCTGCAGGTGTGGTGTCGCCCCCCAAGCCTACATTTTCCCTCCATCTGGGCATCCACCTTGTCTTCTGAAGCCCTAGGGGTCTCACCCCTGATATTCTGGGGAGCCGCCTGGAGCCCTCCTCTCTCCACACTGGTCCCTGCAATGGGGATGCCAGGTGACTTGAGAGAAGCCGAGGATTCTGTGCTGACCATGGGGCCCAGGCGTGGGAGTCTCCTAGGGCCAGCCTGGTGGGCCCAGGTGCTACAGTGGACAGGGCTTAGGTAAACCCCGGCCTTGGTTCTGGAGAGGGGGCAATCCCCCTCCAGACCAAGGTTGTTGGTTCATGTCCCAGTTTACCACGCAGCTCCCAGCTAACATGCCTGTGAAAGCAACGGAGGAAAGCCACAGGGCTTGGGTCCGTATACCTGTGTGGGAGACCCAGAGGAAGCTCCTGACTCCTGGCTTCAGCCTGGCCTAACCCTGACCGTTGCAGCCACTTGGGGAGTGAACCGTTAAATGGAAGATCTCCGTTTCCTTCTCTCTATAAATCTAACTTTACAATAAAAATATTTTTAAAGATACACTTATTTTTATTGGAAAGATTTGCACAAAGAAAGAGAGGCAGAGAAAGATCTTCCATCCACTGGTTCACTCCAACTAATCTGAAGCCAGGAGCTGGGAGCTTCTTCCAGGTCTCCCATGTGGATACAGGGTCCCAAGGCTTTGGACTGTCCTCAACTGCTTTCCCAGGCACAACAGGGAGCTAGAAGGGAAGAGGAGCAAGAAGCAGCACCCATATGGGATCCCCATGTGCAAGGTGAGGATTTAGCCACCAGGCTATTGGGTCAGGCCCAAAAATAAAGGTTTTTTAAAAAAAGATTTATTGATTTTTATTGCAAAATCAGATACCTAGAAAGGAGGAGAGGCAGAGAGAAAGGTTTTTCCGTCTGTTGATTCACTCCCCAAGTGACTGCAGTGGTCTGGTCAGAGCTGTGCCAATCCGAAGCCAAAGGCCACGAACTTCTTCCAGGTCTCCCACACAGGTGCAGGGTCCCAAGACTTTAGGCCATCCTCGACTGCTGTCCCAGGCCACAAGCAGGGAGCTGGATGGGAAGTGGGGCTACTGGGATTTAAACCGGTGCCTGTATGTGATCCCAGCGCATTCAAGGCGAGGACTTTAGCTGCTAGGACACTGCGCCGAACCGAAAAATAAGTTTTTGTGTTTTTTTTTTTTTCAAGAATAGGTTTTTAAAAATTGACTTCACTAGGCTTTAGACAAGGTGTAGGCAGGATGGGGCTCCTTCTGCAAGCTCCACCTTCCTCGGCCTCCCCCATCTCAAGCCCACCCTCGTGTGGTGGCTGGTGGACACATGGCTGCCACCTCTGCTTCTGTCTTGTCAAGTCGCCCTGCAGGACAGCCCTCGTGATTACATGGGTCTCACTGGCGCACTTCAGTGACCTGCATCTCAGGGTCTGCACTGTAGCACAGTGCATCAAGCTGCTGCCAGCCTGCCAGCAATCCATACAAGCGCCGGTTCAGTTTCTGCCTTCTCCACTTCCGATGCAGCTCCCAGCTGATGGACCTGGGAATGGAGCAGGTGGCGGCCTGCGTGCATGGGCTTCTGCTCCTATGCAAGGAATCAGAGCTTTTGGCTCTTGCCTGGTGCAGCCTTAGGTGTTGGAGCCACTGGGGAGTGGACCAACGTCATGGCACATCTTCACCTGTCCCTCTCACTGTGCCACAGTGCCTTTCAAATAAATAACTAGGGCCTGGCACAGTAGCCTAGCAGCTAAAGTCCTCGCCTTGTACATGCCAGCCCCACTTTTCTTCCAGCTCTCTGCTCGTGGCCTGGGAGAACAGTTGAGGACAGCCCAAAGATTTGGGACCCTGCACCCACGTGGGAGACCCGGAAGAAGCTCCTGGCTCCTAGCTTCAGATTGGCAGAGCTCCAGCCATTGCAGCAACTTGGGGAGTGAATCAACAGATGGAAAACCTTTCTCTCTGCCTCTCCTCCTCTCTATATCTTTGACTTTCCAATAAAAATAAATATTTAAAAATAAACAAAAAAATAAATCTTTTTTTTTAAAAGAAACAATACCTGAAGTTGGAGCCAGGAGCCTCTTCCAAGTCTCCTGGGTGGGTGCAGGGGCCCAGAGCATTGAGCCATCCCTGTCCGCTTGCCCGTGCCATAAAAGGGAGCTGGATGGGAAGGATGGGAAGTGGACCTGCTGCGGCTTCAACTGACACTTGAAGGTGGAAGATTAGGCTGTTGATCCACAGCACCAATGCAACAAATTTTTGCTTTAAATGTAGAATATCTCTTTCTCTGCTTCTCTGTGACTGTCTTTCAAGTAGATAAATAAGTATTTAAAAAAAAAAAATCCTGGGACCAGCAACATGGTATAATAGGCCAAGCCCCCTCTCTGTCTCTCCTCTCTGTAACTCTGCCTTTCAAATAAATATGAAAGAAATTGGAACTGGTTTATATTTACTTAAAGTAGCGCGGCAAGCTAATCCTGCACCTGTGGCAGTGGCATCACGTATGGGCACCAGTTCCTGTCCTGGCTGCTCCACTTCTCCAGCTCCCTGCTTGTGGCCTGAGAAAACAGCAGAGGATGGGCCTGACACGGTGGCCAAGCAGCCAAAGTCCTCGCCTTGAATGCACTGGGATCCCATATGGGCGCCGGTTCTAATCCTGGCAGCCTCCACTTCCCATCCAGCTCCCTGCCTATGGCCTGGGAAAGCAGTTGAAGATGGCCCAAGGCCTTGGGACTCTACACCCGTGTGGGAGACCTGGAAGAGACTCCTGGTTCCGGCTTCGGATCAGCACACTGGCCGTTGTGCGCACTTGGGGAGTGAATCATCTGACGGAAGATCTTTGTCTCTCCTCCTCTCTGTGTATCTGACTTTGCAATAAAACTAAATGAATCTTTTAAAAATAAATAAAATCCTTACTCAGTTCTGCAGCCCTTTTGTATGAGGTCACCTTTCTGAGGTTATGGGATTAGGATGTAGGATGGTACAGGCCTGTCTCCCAATGTGGATGTGTGTTTTACATGTATTTACATACGTGAGCATAATCACATGCAAACACAATCTAGGCGTGTCCGTGACGTGTGATTGTGTACGACACACAGCTACAACATGCTGATGACCCAGCTGGAAGCCCCCACATGCCCGTGAGTGCGGGCGGCTGCGTCTGCAGTGCAGCTCCTTGCTGACGTGCCTGGGAAAGCAGAAGGCGTGTGCCCACCCCGAGCCCGCCAGCCCGTAGGACACCCAGCTAGAGTTCCTGGCTCCTGCCCTCGGCGTGGCCCAGCCACGAACGTTGCGGCCATCCAGGGAGTGAATCAGGGATTTTCAGTCTTGCTCCTCTCTCTGTGAGTTCGCCTTTCAAGTAAAAATAAACAAATATTTTAAAGCAAACAGAAGCGCCCGGCACAATGGCTCGGTGGCTAAATCTTTGCAAGGGCCGAGAACCCAGCTCCCTGCTTGTGGTCTGGGAAAGCCTTGGTTGGGACCCTGCAACCCATGTGGGGGACCCAGAAGAAGCTCCTGGTTCCTGGCTTCAGGTTGACTCAGCTCTGGCCATTTGGGGTGGAATGAACCAGCGGACAGAAGATCTTTCTGTCTCTCCTTCTCTGTGTAAATCTGACTTTCCCATAAAAAATATTTAAATAATAATAATAAATGAAAGGCACCGAACATCAGGACCCACACCACCCCGCTCCCACAACGCTGCTGATCGCTTCCACGGCTCATGTCCCCTCCAGCTCCTTGCCTTTGTCCACACAGCTCAGCCCCGTGTCTCGCTTCCTAACCTGCCTCCCCAGTGCTCCTTAGCAGGGATCAGGACTCCCTGGGGCATTGGCACCTTGCTTGTTTACTGGTCTGATGACCCGCCCCTGGCGCTCGCCTAGAAACCCCATGGGCGGGGACTTCAGCTGGCACTGTTCCCTGCCCTGCCCTGGCCATTGGGGTCAGTGCCAAGCTCAGAGCGGGCACTCCCGGAGATGGGTGGCATGGGGGTGGCAGGGCAGAGACTTGGGGGGGGTGTCTGTCTAAGAGACTTGAGAGAGAAGTGTCACCTCCAGGGGACCTGACAGGAGATCTGATAGGCAGTGGGAGGTGAGCAGTGAGGTGGCAGTGAGGTGGCAGAATGCGCGACCTGCATACTGCGGGATTGTACAGGAGGTACAGGCACCCCCGTGGAGGCTGAGGGTCAGTACAGGAAACACACACACATTCACGGTCCCCAGGACCCGGACCCCTGGCTCCCTCATGGAGGCGGAAGGAGCTGTCCAGGATGGCGCACCTCCTGTGTGCGAGCGACCCTGGGCTGTGACAGGACACGTGCTGAGGCCCGTGTTTGCACAGGCTCCCCCCAGGAGGCCTGGGTCAGGGGAGCAGAGGTGTCTCCCGGCACCTGCCCTGCAGCTCTCTCTTTGTCCCTCTCTCCCTGGGCTCCGTCTGTCGCGGTGTGCAGCCCGGCTGCCATCTCAGCCTCCCTCTCCCTGGCTCTCTCCATCTCTGCCTGAGTGTCGGCCCTACCCCGCCCTGTCCTCCATCCATCCTTCCTGCTCCTCCATCCCTCCGGCTCCCAGGCCCGCCCCCTTCCCGCCTCCCGCTCCCCTCCCCCCCTCCGAAAGGGTTAACTTTGGGGAAGGGCCCGGAGTCCCCGGATGGTGATGTCAGCGTGCCGGAGAGAAAGGACGAGGTGGCGGGGGGAGGCGGAGAGGAGGAGGAGGCGGAGGAGAGAGGGCGCGTGGGGGGCGGGGGGGACCTCGGCCCGCAGCATCCGCTGGCCCGCACCTCGGACCCCCCCCAGCGGCGGGAGGCGCAGCCAGGGGGGGCCGGCCGCACCCGGGCTGGGCAGGGGGGGCTGCGCAGCCCCCCCGGGCCATGCTGACTCCCGGGGCCTGACCCCCCCTCCCCCGCCCAGGGGGGGCCCAGCCCAGCCCCCTGGGGACCCCCGGAGAAGTGGGGGGCAGTCGGGGGGGCCGGAGCGGAGCGGTCGCCGGCCCCCACCGGAGGGACGGGGCGACCGGCCGCAGGGGGGGCCGGGGGACCAAGGGCACCATGTCGTCTGGGGCCAAGGAGGGGGGCGGGGGCTCCCCTGCCTACCACCTCCCACACCCACACCCACACCCACCCCAGCATGCCCAGTATGTGGGCCCCTATCGGCTGGAGAAGACGCTGGGCAAAGGACAGACAGGTGAGCCGGGGGAGGGGGCAGAGGGCGGGACTCGGGGTGTTGGAAGGGCAGGGGCTGCTGGCCCCGACCCCTGGCTCCTGCATGGATGTCCAGGATGTGGCACCTTCAGACTCTGGGCTTCTGGGGAGAGGGGGCTGGGGGCTTGGACCCCTGGGTCTGAGGGAGGAGGGCTGGGGGCCTGGACCCCTGGGTCTGAGGGAGGAGGGCTGGGGGCCTGGACCCCTGGGTCTGAGGGGGGAGGGCTGGGGGCCTGGACCCCTGGGTCTGGTTGAGGGGAGTTGTTGGCCCAGATGCTCCAGCCCCGTGGGGCAGAGCTTGGAGGGGCTCCAGGCTGGGCTGCAGGAGCAGGCTGGCGGGCGGGAGCTGAGGCGGGCGGGTGTTGGTGCAGTACCGCAGCAGGCTGGGGTGGAGGTGCATCCACCGTCCACCCCTGGAGCCTCAGCCTCCCCCCCACCCCCCCGCGGAGGGGCCTTGAGGTGTCACTGTCCCCCTTCCAGGTTACACTGGGTCACTGTGGGAAACCCGAGGGAGAGAAAGGGGGCCGTGGGTAGCCTTTCTCCCAGGAGTGGCTAGGAACCGGGACCCACAGCTAATGAAGGCAGGCGGGGTTATAGAGCTTCCTTCCTGCCAGGTGGGAGCTGAAGAGCCAGGGCTGGGGGTCCAGGGTCAAGACTGCCAGTCCTGCTGGGAACATGAGGACACTGCTGAGCTGGATCTCTGGGTTATGGGCGTGCAAGAAGGAGAGAGTGGCCTGGCCCCCCCACTTCTGAGCAAGCAAGGGCTGGAGTCCTAGGTCCTGCACGGAGGCCGGGCTCAGGGGCTAGGACACATTTAGGGTTTGTGTGCCCCCAGCTAGGGCTGCATCGAAGAAAGGAATCAGGCAGCAGGGTTTGGCAGGAAGTGGAGCATGGTTTGGGGAGGGGCCAATGTGGGGAGACATGGGGTGTTGAAAAGGTTGACAACTGGAGGAGTGCGGGCAAGGGCTGGGTTGAGAGAGAGGCAGGCTGCGGGAGGCAAGACGGTGGTCAGGGCTTGGACCAGGGAAGTACATGCTGAAAGGACCGGTCAGGGGAGGGCAGGCCGGGCGGGCCCCCAGGAGCTCAAGTGGTGTGATCCAGGCCACTGTTCACCTTCATGGGTGGCAAAGGGGGGTCTGAGGCAGTGGGGCTCTGGAAGAACACCCCACATCATCACCATGCTCCCTCGCCAGGGCTGGTTAAACTTGGGGTCCACTGTATCACGGGTCAGAAGGTTGCTATCAAGATTGTGAACCGGGAGAAGTTGTCAGAGTCCGTGCTAATGAAGGTATGTGTGTACATGTGTGTATGTCTGTGTGAGCTGGTGTCGATAAAGGTGCCTGTCTGTGCGTGTGTGTTCATGTGTGTGAGCTGGCACAGGAGGTGTGTGCTCACATGTGTGAGCAAGTGTGACTCCATGCTGATGAAGGCGTGTGTGTTTGTACCCGAGTGTGCCCGTGCAGTGGCAGGGCCCGGGTCCCCTGGGGCTGCGGTGCAGGTGGCAGGCCATGCTGAGTTCTGCCCCTGCGTGTTCCTCCTGCCCCTCAGGTGGAGCGAGAGATCGCCATCCTGAAGCTCATCGAACACCCGCACGTGCTCAAGCTCCATGACGTCTACGAGAACAAGAAATATTTGTAGGTATTTATAGACACCCAGCTCTCCTGTGCCCCCCGTGCCTTCCAGAAACGAGTCCCCCGGGCAGGACCACATGTGTCCCCCTGGTGCCACACTGGCCTCCCCGGTCCCGGGCTGCAGGTTCATGTGTGGTCCCATTTCCCAGGACCCAAGAAGCCCAAGGTGACCCCATCAGATGCACGGAGGGCTCTCTTCCCCACATCTGGGTGCCGTGGCTGGACACCCCAACAATGAGCCCCCTCAAAAGCTCTGAGTCAATATCTCAAAGTCAATGACCTCTCCCCCCGCCCCCCGCGCCCGCCTCCCAGCCCAAGAGCAGAGAGGAGGGATCCAGCTGTCCAGGCTACAGAAAATGAGACTCTTTGTCCAAGGCGCTGGTGACCCGCAGGACAGCTGGGCTGGGAAAGGGACAGCCCTCTTGCCCCTCCACTCAGTGCCCGGGATGAACTAGCATTCATCAGATGCTGGTGCAGGCTTCCCCTGAACCAAGCTGCCCAAGCCCCAGGGACTCATGGGAATTGTAGTTCTCAGGCTCTGTCAGGTGTGGCCACAGGGAGGGGCCAGTGTTATGACCTACTCTGCTGTCAGTAGGTCTTGGCCATCCAAGGTCTCATAAGAAATCAAGCTTTTGTGTCGCTGTGAGTTGGCGAGGATTGAGGTTTTAACCTCTCAGAGACTGATGGGATTGGGGTCTTTAGGATGGCTGATGGGAACTGGCAGTCCATCCCAGAGGCTCATGGGAGTTGGAGTTTTTAACCTCTCAGGGACTGACTGCTGCACTCTCGGACCTCTGAGGAGTTGGTTGGGACTGACCCACATTGGCACTGTCACTGCTCAAGCATCTGTGGGAATTGAAGGTCCTCCATGTAAGAAGCTTTTGGGAATTTGAGGCTCGGCTTTTCAGGGGCTAATGAAAGTGGGAGGGCACCTTTATTTCTCCAGGTCCTCTGATTGGGGTCCGTGCCCACCACGTGCATCAGGAGGTGTCTCTAAAAGTGCTACTGCCTCGGAAGCCACCTAGGAGCCTCTTTATCCCAGGGACTCATGGAAATTGCAATCTCTTCCTCCTGGAGACTGACGGGACATGGAATCTCTCTCCTAGGGGTCCCTGAAATTGGGGTTCTCTGCCTCCCAAGGGGAGGCCAGCCTCTTTGGTGTCTTCTAGCCCTCTGCCCCGTCTGTCTCTAGGTACCTGGTTCTGGAACACGTCTCTGGGGGAGAGCTCTTCGACTACCTGGTGAAGAAGGGAAGGCTGACACCCAAGGAGGCTCGCAAGTTCTTCCGGCAGATCGTGTCAGCCCTGGACTTCTGCCACAGCTACTCCATCTGGTGAGGGCACGGCCCGAGGGCTGCCCACAGGGCAGGCCCGGGCACGCTGAGTCAAAGCCAGTGCGGTCAGCCCCCAGTGAAGCTGTCTTCCTTTTGAAAAACATTGTGGGGCTCCAACTCACATGCCAACCCATCCGCCCTTTGAAGCTTATGATTTCAGTGGTTTTCCATATATTCATGGTATCATGTGTCACTTCTATAATTTTGTAACATTTTCATTACTTTGTGCCCATGAAGCAGTCACTTCCCATTGGCCCTGCCCACGGCCCTTGACGAACACTAATGAGCTTCCTGTCTCTGTGGCCTGACCACTTGAGACATTTCCTACCAGTGGACTCCTGGAGTGCCATGTCTGGTGGGTCTGGCGTCGTTTCCTCAGCAGTGTATCTCCAGGGGTCATCCACACTGACCCTGCACCAGAGCCTCATCACGCTCCTGGCTGACCAATATTCCCGTGTGCCAGACCCCGTTTGCTTTACTCACATGTCCACTGGGGGCATTTTGGTTGTACCACCTTCTGAGCTAATTCCCTTGGGTACACACAGGCCTGGAAGGGCTGGGTCATAGGAAAACTTTGTCTTCTAGTCTGCCAAACTGCTTCCTGAAGTGGTTTGACCGTTTGCCATGTCTGCAGCATCCCATCCCCACACATCTTCACCAACCCGTTACCGTCTTTCGGTTTGTAGCCATTTGATCAGGTGTGACATGGGATCTCCTGCTTTTGATTGGAGTTCCCCGACGATCGCTAATGTTGTCAATCTTTCTATGTGCTCGCTGGCCATTTCTGTATGCATAGATATAGATATAGATATTTTCATATATGTATTTATTTATTCGAAAGGCAGACTTACAGAGAGAAGGAGGGCGTCATTCACCCTCTGGCTCACTCACCAATTGTTGCCCCGGCCAGGGCCAGACCTTCATCCGGGTCTGCCCCATGGGTCATGCCCCACTGCCTTCCCACGTGCCTTAACAGGGAGCTGGATCACAAGTGAAGCAGCCGGAACTTGAACCGGTCAGTGCCTGTATGGGATGCCAGAGCTTCAAGCAGTGGTTTAACTTGCTGAGCAGCAGTGCTAGCCCCTGCATATTTTCTTGATGCAATTTTCATTTAGATTTTTGCCCATTTTAATTATTCTTAAATTCTTGTTATTGAGCTATAAAAACTCTTTATTCTAGTTATTTTTTAAAAATATATTTATTTTTATTGGAAAGGCAGATATACAGAGAGGAAGAGAGGAAGATCTTCCCTCTGATGGCTCACTCCCCAAGTGACCACCACAGACGGTGCTGCACCAAGCTGAGGCCGGCAGCCAGGAATTTCCTCCAGGTCTCCCATGTGGGTGCAGGGTCCCAAGGCTTTGGGCCGTCCTCGACTGCTTTCCCAGACCCCAGGCAGGGAGCTGGAAGGAAAGCGGGGCCACCAGGATTAGAACCGGCACCCATATGGGGTCCCGACATATTCAAGACAAGGCCTTTAACCGCTACGCTATCATGCCAGGCCCTTTTTCTAGTTATTCTTATCTTTAAAAATAATTCCTGGGGCCCAGACTGAGGGCTCACTGGCTAAATCTTCACTTTGCAAGGGTTAGGATCTTATATGGGCACCGGTTCATGTCCTGGCTGCTCCACTTCCCATCCAGCTCCCTGCTTATAGTTTGGGAAAGCAGTGGAGACGGCCCAAAGCTTAGGGATCCTACACCTGTGTGAGAGACCTGGAGGAAGCTCCTGGCTTCTAGCTTCAGATTGGCTCAGCTCTGGCTGCTATGGCCATTCGGGGAGTGAACCTGCAGGTGGAAGATCTTTCTCTCTGCCTCTCCTTCTCTCCATAAATATCCTCTGTCTGTCGAAGTCTTTTTTCTTTTAGGCTGATTTATTTGAAAGACGGAGTTTATATCTGGAGAGATACACATAGAAAAAGGTCTACCACTAGTTCATTCCCCAAATGTCAGCAGTGGCCTGGGCTGGGCCAGGCTGAAACCAGCAGCCAGGAGCTTCTTCCGTGTCTCCCATATGGGTGCAGGGCCATCTTCTACCATTTCCCCAGTTGTGTCATCAGGCAGCTGGATCAAAAGAGGACCAGTGGGTCGGGCCTGACGCGGTGGCCTAACGGCTGAAGTCCTTGCCTTGAACACGCCGGGATCCCATATGGGCGCCGGTTCTAATCCCGGCAGCCCCACTTCCCATCCAGCTCCCTGCCTGTGGCCTGGGAAAACAGTCGAGGACGGCCAAAGCCTTGGGACCCTGCACCCACGTGGGAGACCCGGAAGAGCTCCAAGCTCCTGGCTTCGGATTGGCATAGCTCCAGCTGTTGGGGTCACTTGGGGAGTAAATCATTGGACGGAAGGTCGTCCTCTCTGTCTCTCCTCTTCTCTCTATATATATCTGAGTTTGCACTTAAAAAAAAAAAAATAAGGACCATTGGAGACATGAACCAGTGCTCATATGGGATGCCCACATCACAGTGGCAGCTCCTTTTTCTTTTTAAGATCTATTTATTTATTTATTTATTTATTTATTGCAGAGTCAGATACACAGAGAGGAGGAGAGACAGAGAAGAAGATCTTCTGTCCAATGATTCACTCCCCAAGTGACCACAATGGCCGGTGCTGTGCCAATCCAAAGCCAGCAGCTTGGAGCCTCCTCCAGGTCTCCCACATGGGTGCAGGGTCCCAAGGCTTTGGGCCATGCTCTGCTGCTTTTCCAGGCCACAGTCAGGGAGCTGGATGGGAAGTGGAGCAGCCGGGATTAGAACCAGCACTCATATGGAATCCCAGTGTGTTCAAGGAGAGGACTTTGGCTGCTAGGCCACGCTGCCAGGCCCCCATCAGTATGTGTTTCCAAAATTTCATTTGTTAGAATGTAATATAGTTTGTATTAAATTTTTTTTGAAGATTTATCTCATTTGTTTTGAGAAGGAGGTTAAACTTCTGCCACCAGTGCCACCATCCCATACAGGCAGCAGTTTAAGTCTTAATGGTCCACCTCCCATCCAGCTCCCTGCCTGTGGCCTGGGAAAGCAGCAGAGGACGGCCCAAAGCCTTGGGACCCTGCACCTGTGTGGGAGACCCAGAGGAGGCTCTGGGCTCCTGGCTTCAGATCTGCTCAGTTCCAGCCATTGTGGCCACTTGGGAAGTGAATCAGTGAATGGAGGATCTTTCTCTCTGTGTCTTCTTCTCTCTGTATACCTGCCTTTCCAATAAAGATAAATAAATCTTAAAAAGAATAAAAAAGCAGGGAGCTGGACCTGAAGCAGAGAAGCTGGGACTTAAGCTGGTGCCCCCGTACGTGATGTTGGAAGCACAGGTGGCATTTTAGCTTTGCAGCACTTTCCGACCAGTGAAGGTGTAACGTGGATTATCCTTGTCTTTCAGCCTGCTTTGCCTGTTCATGGCCCTCTCCTTTAGCTTTTTGGAGGTGGGGTGGGGATGCAAAGGGGTTAGGTTTGGTTGAAAACACGCTTCGGACCATCAAAGCCCTGTCATGAAAGCTCTGACCTGCAGGGGGCGGTAATCAACAGCCTTCACCACAGGTGTGACCCAGATTAAACTGCAGAGCTGTGGAGTTCACCTTCCCCAAGGCATTAACCTTAAACCTGGAGCAGCTCTGGACGAGAGGTTCCGGGCAGGAAGCAGCAGGAAGCAGCACCGTGCTCGTGCTCGGGGTGGAAGCATTCTTCTTTATTATGCGTTTTGGAAATAGTCCGAAAGTCTTTTTTTTTTTTTAATGGCTACCTTATTCTCATGTTTGGGAATACAATATTACCATGTCTTGGGAATTCCCTACAAAATGACCCAGACTTGAGGAAGGAAGGAAGGGCCCTGAGTGGGCAGGAGGGAGCCAGGGCCAGGGCACAGGGCGTCCTCTTCCTCGCACCATGGGCCCTGCTTGTGCTGGGGGTCATCAGACGTCCCCAGATGTGTCTCCCTCCAAGGCCTCCCAGCTGAGCGCCGCCCGCCTGCCTCAGCCACAGGGACCTGAAGCCCGAGAACCTGCTGCTGGACGAGAAGAACAACATTCGCATCGCGGACTTTGGCATGGCCTCCCTGCAGGTGGGGGACAGTCTGCTGGAGACCAGCTGCGGGTGAGTGGGGCTGGCTGCCCGAGCCCCCGGGGAGGGCCTCGAGCCTGCCTGAGACTCACGCCGCCCATCTCTGTCCCTCAGGTCACCCCATTATGCGTGTCCCGAGGTGATTAAGGTGAGTGCCGGGCTGGTGGAGGGGACAGAGGAGTGCAGGTGGCAGTGGGAGAGGGTTGTGGCTGACTGGACCCTTCTCCTGGCCAGGGCGAGAAATACGACGGCCGCCGGGCAGACATGTGGAGCTGTGGGGTCATCCTCTTCGCCCTGCTCGTGGTGAGATGCCCTTGCTACTCTGGCTGTGTTTCTAGAACAATCCCAGTGAATCACCCACCAACAGATCAGGGTCCAGGAGCACCTGCTTGGTGCCAGGGCAAAGCTCTCACAGACCTTTGGGTTGTTTTAAGAAGAGCCTCCGGCAGCACCTGCCCGGCTTGGTCAGTGGCTGCAGAGCAGAGCTGGCCCTCAGGACAAGCCTGCAGTACTGCCTTGTCTCCAACAACCAGGCCAGCGGCAGTCAGCCCAGCTCCTGACACAGGGCCTTTGCCCAGGCTTGCAAACATTACTCCATCTGAACTAGCTCCATTGCTTACATAGTAAGGATATGGAGGACATTCTTTTTTATTTTTTTAAAGTTTTAAAAATTTACTTTTATTGGAAAGTCGGATATACAGAGCAGAGGAGAGACAGAGAGGAAGATCTTCCGTCCAGTGATTCACTCCTCAAGTGGCCGCAATAGCCAGATCTGAGCCAATCCAAAGCTAGAAGCCAGGAGCTTCTTTCTGGGTCTCCTAGGCGGGTGCAGGGTCCCAAGGCTTTGGGCCATCCTCGGCTGCTTTCCCAGGCCACAGGCAGGGAGCTGGATGGGAAATGGGACCAGCCGGGACATGAATCGGTGCCCATATGGGATCCCGGCACGTGCAAGGTGAGGACTTTAGCCACTAGGCTACTGTCAGGTCCACAGAGGACATTCTTAAGCTGTCAGTTCAGTGGTCACCTCTTCAAGAACCCTTCCCCTGGCCTCCCTATTCCCACCATGTCAGGTCCCCTTCTCTCATGGCCACTCAGAGTTGTCACCCAGGTTGCAGTCAGAGCCCATGTCCGGGCATTTGTTCTGCTTTGGTTGGCTCCCCTCTGCAACCCCAGACTTGGTGCGTCCTGAGCCCCCATCAACACATGGGTGACGAACAAAGAAGCAGTCACTATGCCCAGCACGTTACCTGAGGTCACTTCGCCACCGCGGAGAGATGTGACGGGCACACGGCTGTTCCCTAGCCAGTTGCTTCGTATGTCTTGGGCTGACAGACCCCAGGCGCTCCTTCCCTGGGTCCCACAGTGCACGGGCACTTGGTGAGGGGCTCAGCTGGGGACCCGGGCGCAGCTCTGGAGCCCACCCAGCTGAGTTCTGTCCCTGGCTCCCCCGCGCTGGCCTGCAGTTCTGAGGGCTCCGGTCAAAGCGTGCTTGTCCAGGCCCTGGAGCTCACTGGATAACGAGCCGTTATGATTTGTCATTTCACGCCAGTAATCATTTGCAAACAGTGCTGAGAAAATGTAGCTAAGCCATGAGCCAGGCTTTGCGGTGCCTTCCCCATCCTGGCTGTGGCCGGGCAGCGTGGACTCTCCTGCCCTCTGTGCTCCCAGTGTTCCACACTCCACCTCTCTGTGCAGTCTGCTGGCATCTTCTGCTTTGCACTGCGGTCGGTCGGTGTTGTTGATCTCGTCCTGGTAGCCACCGGTGTCCCCCAGCCAGAGGCCGTGTGTGGTGTGTGTCGGGAGGAAGATGAGCAGGCCAGCTGAGGTCAGCCCGGTGTGGCTAGCAGTGCTGTCAGTGAGTTCAGTGTCAAGGCAACTGCGTGCAAGCAAGGTGTCTTTTAATAGAAACACCTGAAAATCAGGTTCTGTGGTGGTCGGCTGACAAAGGCGTGCGACCACAGAGGTCACAGGACCCTGGCCGCGCTTCCTTTAGGCGCGATGACTCAGCGTTGACTGTTTCCCGTGGCGTGAGCCCACCACCGATGCTGCGAAGAATGAGAACCGACCGGGCTGCTGTCATTTTGAACCCACACTGTTGCCCAACATGCGAGTATTGGTGTCCCTTTGCAGAGGAGAAATTAAGGCTCATGCTGGCACCTCATGCAACTGGGCTACACCCAAGTTTCCTGTCCCCCAAAATCTGCTCCCAGCTTCCCTTCCCCTTCTCTGTCCCCACACAGCCTGCATTCTCCGTCTGCAGGCCTCAGACCTGGAAGGGACCTTAGCGACTCACACGGTCACCTCCTCCAGGAGGCCTTCCCTGACTCCCTTGCTACACGGGCTCCCCTCGTGCTGCTGGTCACGTGCCTCCCCACTTGACTATGGCAGTGTGACTGTCCCACTGCACACGGATTGAGTGCCAGGCACTGCCCAGCCCAAGCCCCACTAGGGCAGGGGCATGGCCTGTCTGTCCCCTGCCCGCTGTCTCCAGCAGTTAGCTCAGAGCCTGAGGTGCGTCGGGGTGCCATTGGCTGTGCAATGTGTAACAAGTTATTAGCCTGGGAATTCTGACGCTCCTGGGAGGTGGCCATTGTTATCCTAAGTAAAGGTGACTTTCCCAAGGACACACAGCCACCAGCAGCCTTGCTCCTAAGCACTGTTCCCTGCCCTGTGCCCTGTGCCCTGTGCCGGGCTTGGGCAGGGGTCCTGCGTAAACCCCAGAAACCCACTGTATCACAGAGACTGCCGCCGGGGTTCCTGGGCCGGCTCCATAGTCACTGCCTCTCTCTCCCCTCTGTGCCATCTGGGGCCAGCCCGCGCCCCATCGCCAGTGCCTCCATTTCCAGCTGTTGATTGCTCCCGTCCGCAAGGGGCAGCCGAGGCCAGGGCTGGGCCTGTCAGGGGAACTGCCCGTTTGTTGACTGAATGAAGGAAAACCAGAAGTGAGGCTTTCTTGGTTTGTTTTTGGGGCAGCCCGTGGCTGGAGGCCCACGAGCAGGCCGTGTGTGAGGGGTCCCCTTTCCTGCACAGGGGGCGCTGCCCTTCGACGACGACAACCTGCGCCAGCTGCTGGAGAAGGTGAAGCGCGGCGTCTTCCACATGCCCCACTTCATCCCGCCGGACTGCCAGAGCCTCCTGAGGGGGATGATCGAGGTGGAGCCGGAGAAGAGGCTCAGTGTGAGTGCGGCCGGGCGGGAGGGCGTCCTCGGGACCCTTGGGCTGCTGGCTGAGGCGGCGGGAGGGCGCATGCGCAGCCTGACCCTCTGCTCGCGGGCGCGGGCTAAGCCACTGCGCATGCGTACAACAAGCTGGTCGGTCAGGCCAGCGTGGTCGGACTGCGCATGTGCAGGGCCGCAGGCTAGGCCGCCTCTAGGGGGAGCCGTGGTCCACCATCTGGCCAGTGGGGGAAGCAGGGGACGAGGCCCGGTTAGGGGGACCCCAATGCTGCCCCCATCAACTTGACCCCCATGCCTACTGTGTGCACACTGCATGGTTCTCACTTCTGCCTCTCCCATCCACCCCTCACAGCTGGAGCAGATTCAGAAACATCCTTGGTACCTGTGAGTATGTGGGGGACCAGCGCCCGGGTGCCTTGGGGAGGAAGGGGGGGATCAAAGCAGGAGGGCAGACTGGGGGTATGGCCTGGGGTCTCCATGGTGAGTGAGAGAACTTGTACTTGACTGAAGGAATGTGGGGGTCAGAGGGAGGTGGGGCTTGGGCTTGGACGGCTGGTCTGAGGGTGGAGGGCCTGAGGTCTGGACTCCTGGATTCCTAAGACTGGAGCATGGTGTGGCCCTGGAACTCTGACACATGAATAAGCATACTTGTTATACTTTCCTATTTCTCTTCTCCCCACGTCCTAGGGGCGGGAAACATGAGCCGGACCCATGCCTGGAGCCGGCCCCAGGCCGCCGGGTAGCCATGCGGAGTCTGCCTTCCAACGGAGAACTGGACCCTGATGTGCTGGAGAGCATGGCTTCCCTGGGATGCTTTAGGGACCGCGAGCGGCTGCACCGCGAGCTGCGCAGCGAAGAGTAAGACCCCAAGCTGCCCGCACCTGCCCTGTGCCTGCAGTGGGCGAGCCGGCAGGGGTGCACTGTTGGGGGCTTCACTGCAGCTGGGACCCGCCGGGAAGAGGCTGACACACGGCGAAAAGCACGAATAAATGCAGAGACAAAGCCAGACAGCGCCTTATGTAGTGTTTACAAACGGGACGCGCTCTCATGCCAAGTGGTAGCATGGCGCACGCTGATCTGGAAGAACTCAGCCACACACATAGCTCAGGATCATGTCACAGCAGACAACCCAGCTAGGAGGGGCTCGGGCGCCTCTTGGCGCTGACCTCTGACCTCCACCCCCTCCACGTACCCCAAACCCCTCCTTCAGGGAGAACCAGGAAAAGATGATCTACTATCTGCTTCTGGATCGGAAGGAGCGGTATCCCAGCTGTGAGGACCAGGACCTGCCTCCCCGGAATGACATTGGTGAGAAGGCGGGGCCGGGAAGGCGTGGAGGCTGGCAGGCAGGTGTTCCCGGAGAGAAGGGGCTGGGAGTCCAGACCCCAGGACTCCCAAGGGAGGAAAGGGGCTGTTCTGTGACCCTCGTCAAAGCCCCCTACGCTCGGGGCTGGCTCCCCATCTATGTGATTGTAAGGCTGTTCTGTGAATACCTGGGACCACCGGGCTCACTTGCCTGTTGCTCACACGGACCCTCTTGTTCCTCAGACCCACCCCGGAAGCGTGTGGACTCTCCCATGCTGAGCCGGCATGGGAAACGACGGCCAGAACGCAAGTCCATGGAGGTCCTGAGCATCACGGACGCCGGGGGCGGTGGCTCCCCAGTGCCCACCCGGCGGGCCTTGGAGATGGCCCAGCACAGCCAGAGGTGGGCCCCCAGGAGGATGTACCGTTCCCTGCTTCTCCAGCCGCGGGTCCAGCCCCGGCTCCGCCATGTCTGCATGTGGATGGGCCGTGCGGCCACTGTGAGGTCTGCTGAGTCCTTTGAGTCCCTCCCTCCTGACTTGCTCTGCCCCTGGAAACAGATCCCGGAGCGTCAGCGGTGCGTCCACTGGCCTGTCCTCCAGCCCTCTCAGCAGCCCAAGGGTAAGGCCCCTTGTGCAATCGCGGGGGGTCAGGGGTGAAGTCTGCCCTACAAAGTGAGCCACTCAGAGTGCAGCTCCCATAATGCCATTTTGTTTGTGGATGGCCAAAAGCCCAGGGCTTGAACTGTTCCAACCCATTGACCAATGCGTCCCTCTGAAAGCGGGTTCATGCATCCGTTTAGTTAATCGAGCACTTACCACCTCTGAGCTTGGCCAGAGGTGTACCTATGTGCACCCCCAGTAGCTGCTGGGCTCTGAGCATGGTATTAGAGTTTGAGACTGGCACCAGTTGTAATACTACGGCTAGCATGCCTCAGGAGCAGGCACGGTGGGGGTCTCCCAGGACCACCTGGGAGAGGTAGTCCTCACCTGTCTGCATTTGTTCACAGAGTCCTGTCTTTTCCTTCTCGCCGGAGCCTGGGACTGGAGATGAGGCCCGAGGTGGGGGCTCCCCGACTTCCAAAACACAGACGCTACCTTCTCGGGGTCCCAGGGGTGGGGGCGCTGGGGAGCAGCCCCCGCCCCCAAGCGCCCGCTCCACACCCCTGCCCGGCCCTCCAGGCTCCCCGCGCTCCTCAGGGGGCACCCCCTTGCACTCGCCTCTGCACACGCCCCGAGCCAGTCCGACCGGCACACCTGGGACAACCCCGCCGCCCAGCCCAGGCGGCGGCGTCGGGGGAGCCGCCTGGCGGAGTCGTCTCAACTCCATCCGAAACAGCTTCCTGGGCTCCCCTCGCTTTCACCGGCGCAAGATGCAGGGTACGGGGTCCCTGGAGGGTACAGGCTTTCCAGGGTGGCAGGGCCCAGAGGGGTTTCAGAGGCAGGCATTGGGGAGGGAGGAGGAGCTACTGCCAGGACACGCCCTGTCCTGTGAGCTGCCACACGTCCCGGTAGGTCCAAGGGTTTGCGAGCCCCACCTCCGGGGCCATGGCCTAACCAGGTGGCCCTCCCTAGAAGAAGCAGGCAGGAGGTGGTAAAGTGGGTGCCAGCCGCTGGGGGGTGAAGAGCACCCAGGAAGGACCCCCTGCTGGCCACCAGGAGGAGGGCTGACCGCTGGCCGCCTTCTTCCCCTCTCCCCCATCCAGTCCCCACCGCGGAGGAGATGTCCAGCTTGACGCCAGAGTCCTCTCCGGAGTGAGTCTAAGCAAGGGAAGGGCGGGGACGGTGGAGAGGAGGCCACCTCCCCCTCCGTGGCGTCTTCCTGACCCTTTTGCGTCCGACTCCTCGCACTCAGGCTGGCCAAGCGGTCCTGGTTTGGGAACTTCATCTCGCTGGACAAAGAAGAGCAGATCTTCCTCGTGCTCAAGGACAAGCCTCTCAGCAGCATCAAAGCGGACATTGTCCATGCCTTCCTGTCGGTGAGGACTTGCATTGTCTGGCCAGCGCAGAGTGCAGGGCCCGCAGCCCCTGGGGTGCATGACCTCGCCACAGCCTCGTGTCCCCCAGGACTCACAGCACTTGTAGACTTGTAGCCAGCATGTGTGGAGGCAGCAGGAGAACAGGGAAGGTTTATTGTCACATGTGGGATTCATCCCAAAAGCCTGCGTGTAGGGCACAGGATACTACAAATCCCAGCAGGCAGTGGGGCCTGCCCAAGACTTCTTTGTGACACTTCCCTCTAGGTGGTTGGTGGGACTTCTAGTTCCCTGGGCAGGCAGCTTGCCACTCCCTGGTCTTACCCTGTCTGTGTCCCAACCTCCGCTCAGATCCCCAGCCTGAGTCACAGCGTGCTCTCACAGACCAGCTTCAGGGCCGAGTACAAGGCCAGCGGCGGCCCCTCCGTCTTCCAGAAACCCGTCCGCTTCCAGGTGGACATCAGTTCCTCCGAGGGCCCAGAGCCCTCCCCGCGGCGGGACAGCAGCAGTGGTGGAGGTGGCGGCATCTACTCGGTCACATTTACACTCATCTCTGGTGAGTCTGGACTAGGACGGTGGCCCGGGAGGGCCATGAGAAGAAGGCGGGGACAGCTTGGCCCGTGTTGACCCAATGAATGACCCCTCACATGAGAAGAGAGCAGCTCCCATCTTTTCACCCTGTAGAGCGGAAGGGCAGAGCTGTGGCACCCTGCACCCAGGGCAGACAGCCCCTCCTCTGAGCCCAGTGCAGCCTAACTCTAGACAATCAGGAATTTGGCTTAGCACTTCAAAAATGCCCACAGGCTGTCCACGAGTGTCCTGGTTTGGGTCCTGGTTTCAGCTCTCTGCCAACACAAGCCCTTGGGGCAGAGGTGAGGGGTAAAGGGTGGGTTCCTGCTACCCACGTTGGAGACCCGGACTGAGTGTCCCTGCTCCTGGCATCAGCCTAGCGCAGTCCTGGCGTGTACAGCTGTATGGAGTGTGAAGCAGCAGATGGAAGATCTATGCCTTTCAAATTCAAACTCAATTTCAAGTTGCAAATTCAAAGCGAAAAAATGGATAAAAACTGCAGAAGGCCTTGCTTCCAGCTGGTGTGGTCCCAAGTCCTGGCAACCTGGGCTCATCCCTGCACCTCGTCCACCACGCCCAGCAGACGAGCCTGCGTGGAGGGGCTCTGACCCAAGCTGCCCTGGGCCAACCCAGTCCCAGAGCAGATCTGGCTTCCTGTTTTCTCCACCCCAGGACGCAGACCCCCCTGCGGTTTCAGTTTTAGCACACCCTGGGGGGCCGCAGTGATGGCTCAATGCTTGAGTCCCGAGTGGGAGGCCCCGTTGAGGGGCTGGTTGCTGTGGGCCTCTGGGGAGTGAGCCAGATTCTACAAATCAGTCTTCTATATGAGACAGACTGCATGTGGGTGCTGGTCCCCCCCTATGCAGGAAATGGACGAAGGCCTGGGCATCTGGCCCTGCCCAAGCCTGACCCTCTGTCTCTCCAGGCCCCAGCCGCCGGTTCAAGCGTGTGGTGGAGACCATCCAGGCCCAGCTGCTGAGCACGCATGACCAGCCCTCCGTGCAGGCCCTGGCAGGTGGGTGTGGGAAGCCCTGATGTGCACAGCTGGGAGCATGTGCCCCTGGAGCCTGGAACTTACTCCCTAGCCCCCTGCAGGACAGCCAGCCAATCCCCAGAGATCCCCAGGGGGTCAAGTTTGTGTTGGGGGCAGTGGGCTTCCTGCTGACCAGATGGGGAGCCCTAGCCATACCTGGCCTCCCTGAAATTGAGAGGGAGTGCTGGTATGCCCCAGACCACCCTCCCTGCAGGACTCCCACTATATCAGCTTCCAAGCCTCCCCAACTCTATAGTGAGGCCCCATGGTCCTTAGCAACCAGGGCGGGAAGCTTGGTTGTCGGGAAGGACAAGGTCTGTGCTTCCAGGATCCCGCTTCCCTAAAGCTTGGTGCCACTGGTTGCCAAGGAGCGGGATTCCTTTGAAACCAGGACCAGAGCTGAGGTGACACTGCAGCCTGGGTGTGTTGCTGAGGCGTCCCAGCCCATCTGGCATCAGGCAGCGACCACCAACCTCCGTAGGCTGGGCGGCTTACAGATAATGGGGTAACTCGGATTCAGTGCTGGGTCTGGAGCTAATAAGGCCCGTGACAAAGGCCCCAGCAGATCCTGGACTTGGCTAGGGCTTCTGTCCCAGCCCTAAGTGTGTTAGCAACCTGCTCCCTGGAGACTCCTCTGCCTTCCCTGGGGAGGAGGCAGCAGCCAGGGTGGCCTTGAGTCCCAGGGTCAGAGGCCCCTGCCTGGGACCAGTCTGGGCCGTGTTGGTCTCGGACAATGGCCGCTGCTTACCAGTGACATGCCTGGGTGCCAGGACAGTGCCTGGCTCTCATTGAGGGAACATCACTGGGTCCCCAGGGAGGGCTCTTCTCCCATCCACAGCACTTCCTCGGGAGGGGCTGTTTCTCCATCTCTGGCAACAGGTGGAGGTACTGGGGGGAAGGCCCAGGAATGCCACTCATGCCTTGTGTGTGTAGTGGGGGCAGGCTTAGAGGAGCAGTTATCTGGACCCCCTCCATTTCCTCTATGTGGAAAAAGCAGTTTCTCTCCTGGTTGCCCCAGCAACCAGAAGCTGGACCGGTTACCAGGGAAAGCTGACCTTAGCAACCAGGGGCCCAACCACCCCGGCAGGACCATCAAGAGCCCCCAGGCCTCAGCCACCAGTCTGACCAAGAGGGAGGCCCAGCCTCAGAATCAGGTGGGCGTTGCTATGGCGACAAGGTCCCTCTGCATCCCCACCCCCACCTGCAGAAACCTCTCTGCAGCTGATGGTGAAGAAGTGGCTTCATTCTAAGGGCGCCAGACTGACACGAGAGTGGCCCCCAGCTCACACACATGCAGGAAGCCCCTCTCCCTTAGTCTGACCAGAACCAAGTCACAAAGTCAACCACCATGGACAGAGCTCGGCCCAGCTCCCAAAGCCACAAAGGCTACAGGGGGAGCCTGAGGTGCCGCCCCAGCGGCTGCGGATGTTGTGGGGGGGAGAACTCCCGAGAGACCCTGGGATAAGGAGCCTCCACCTCTTCCTCCCTCACAGATGAGAAGAATGGGGCTCAGACTCGGCCTGCCGGCACCCCACCCCGAAGCCTGCAGCCCCCACCCAGCCGCCCAGACCCAGAGCTGAGCAGCTCCCCCCGCCGAGGGCCCCCCAAGGACAAGAAGCTCCTGGCCACCAATGGGACCCCTTTGCCCTGACCCCAGGGGGCTGGGGAAGGAGGGGAGCTCCCTCCACCCCCTTCCCTGCCCCCCAACTGTGAATCTGTAAATAAGGCCCAAGGAGTTAAGACGGGAGGGTGGGGACACACACTGTCCGACCTTGCCCTGCCGGGATGAGCTCCAGGGCGGGGCCGTGCCCAGTGGGGGGAGGCTTGGGGGAACGGGCGGGGGAGTTGTTTCTATTTTATTTATTGATTAATTTATTATTTTATTTATTGATCTCTCAGTGGGGTGGGGTGGGGGAGGGACGGGAGCTGGTTGGGGCGGCTTAGCAGATCCGGACAGGGCCCTCTGTCCCTGTCATCCCCAACTCTCCCCTCCCTGGGCCCCTCGCCTCCCTTCCCCCACCCCGACAACCTTCTGTACGGATTTGCTTTTCCGGAAGGAATTCTGGTTTCGCGTGATCCTGCCTGCGTCCGTGTCTCTGATTCCACCGGCGACAAAAAAACAATAATAATAATAATAAATAGCCTTGATCAGGGACAGCCGCTGGCCTTGGCCTCTCGCTTGCTGGGCGCCTCTGACGGCAGGGGCAGGGCCAGTGGCAGGGCCAGGCGCTGCTGGCTCTGGCTGATCAGCTCAAGTGCCCTCCACACACTGGCTCCGGGCGGAGCAATCAGCAGTCAGTGGTGCCCACTGCCCCCCCCGGCCAGCCAGGTGGCTGACCAGAGGGGGCCCCACAGTTCCTCTCAGAGGGTGCCCACACTGGCCCCTCCTTGCTCCGGCATCACCAGTGAGACCAAGCCTCGGTCAGAGCGCCTGTGACAGCTGGACCTGCAGGGCGGCGGGCGGCGGGCTGAGGCCGGGCCCGGGGTGTAGACACAGGCTGCAGCCCTCCAGGCACGAGAAGTCCACCGCAAAGAGGCCGAACTGCAGGAAGAGCAACATGGCAGCTGCCCACTCGCAGATGGCAGAGGCGGAGCGCAGCGTCCAGGCATGGAGGATGATCACTGCGCGTGGGGGTTAAGGGTCACAGCCAAGGACGGGGGCTTCCCCGCACACTCTGCCCGGCTCACTCCCATCCTCCACCTCGGCCGGCAGGCCACAGCAGCCCTGACCTAGCTGCTGACCCCTGTCTCCCACTGTCCCTCCCCTCCCCCATCCCGCTCGGCCCAGCCAGGCAGCCCTGCCTCCTCCCTGTGTCACCCAGGCCAGCCTCTCACTGCCCCTCTCAGGTCTGCCCACGGCTGTTCAATCCACCCAAGTAGGTGTCAGCTCTCGCCTCCTCCTGCGTAGCCAGCCACCTGAGCTCTGTCCCTGTGGCCTCCCATCAGACCACCAGGCTCAGGCGTGGGCTGCGGGTGGGGCAGCTGGATCTTGCCACTCAATAGGTACCAGCCAAGAACAGAATCAGCTCCCACCTACTCTGAGTACCTGGTCTGGGCATCCATCTCCATGTCGGCGGAGAGGAAGCTGACCCCCCAACAGGGCCAGCTCTCCCGGAACACTGGTGCCCGCTCAGACTCCCATCCCCCCTCCAGGCCACAGTCCGCAGCCCTCCCACCTCTGAACACTCCACAGCACCCATCAGAGCCAATCAATATGACAGGCAACTTCAAAGACCCGGAAACCCAGGCTCACCCACAGGCCACTCTCCATCCAGTGGGTGCAGGTGAATGTTTAACCACAGCCTCTGGTTGGTGGCACTGGCCAGTGAAAGGGGGGTCACGCCCTTCCCTGGTGGCCAGGGCAGAGCTAGGACTCATCCTGTCTGAAGCCAGTGTGGGTGATGCCCCAAGCTAACTGCTGTCCATAGACCACAGCTAGGTGAGGACCTGCCAGTAAAACCCAAGGTGTACCTAGCTGCCTTAGGGGCCCTAAGCCTGCGTGGAGGCCTGTGCCAGGGGAACCGAAGGCACCACGATCTCTCGGACAAAGGATACTGGCCACGATGAGGGCAGTGCAGAGACTGCAAAGGGCCAGGCGCAGCTGCCGGATCCAAGGCGCTCCAGGTTGGGGCAGGCCCTTGACCCACCATGAGAGGAGCAGCTGCAGCCAGAAGTAGACGTTGCCCACGATGAAGGCCAGGAAGGCCCCCGCCAGGTGGGTGGGCAGCTGGTTCTTCTCCTGGGGAGGAGTCAAGTGGGAAACCGTGTGAGGGAGTCACCCCACATCCCCCCCTACCCCGCACCCAGCGCCCCAGGCTCTCCTCACCTAGTAAATGCAGCCTTGCCCCATCCGAAGCCTGGGGCTAAGCCTGTAGCACTAGCATAGCCCATAAAGCCGCCTGTAGCACCCCAACCAGTAAGGGCCCTCTGTCCTCTTTTCTTTTTTGTTTGTTTATTGGAAAGGCAGATAGAGAAAAGGAAATACAGACAGAAAAAGATTTTCCAGCCGTTGGTTCTGTCCCCAAGTGGCCGCAACAACCAGGGCAGAGCTGATCCAAAGCCAAGAGCCACTTCCAGGTCTCCCACATGGGTGCAGAGTCCCAAAGGATGCACAAGTAGGGAGCTGGATGGGAAGTGGAGCAAGTGGGACACAAACCAACAAAAAGAGATCCTGGTGCATAAAATAAATAAATAATAATTTTAAAAAATCCTGGTGTATTCAAAGCAAGGATTTAGCCACTAGGCTACCACGCCGAGCCGTCTGCTCATGTACCAGAGAACAGTCCAAGACCTTGGGCCTCCTGCCCTCCTCCACCTTGGCAGGCTTAGAATCTGCTTCCCAGGAGGCCATGCGGCTGAGCCCCCTCCAAAGACCCCAGGTCCCAGAGCCACCAACAGCTAGCTACCCACCTGGAAATTGGCCACCATGGAGGTGCCCAGGGTGCACAGGAGGCCAGTCCACAGGACGATCTGGTTAAGCCATGTCCGCACACCCCAGTCCCGGAGCTGATGGTAACGCAGGATACAGGTCCAGGCAGCTGGCAGGAGACAGCAGGGGGTGGGGGACCACGGGCTGGGGTCCCAGGGCTCCCCTGGGTGGGCCTGGCACTGGGGTCTGAGGGAGGAGGGACTGCGTTGGCACATACCCATGGCAGCACCCATGTTGAGGAACTGGCTGAAGATGCAGCTCTGAGGAGGGTAGGATCCGCAAAAGCTTGGGGAGGGAAGGCGGAAGGTGTCGCACGTGGGCCGCCCCCTCTGCCCCCAAGCCGATGTCCCCACATCTCTACCCCAGTCCCCGAGCTACCTGATGTAGGGAAAGCCCTCTGAGAGGTCCACTGTCCTATTGATCACAGCAATTCCGAACCTGGGGTTGAGGGACGAGAAGACACGTGCTGTCAGCTCTTTCTTGTCTTCTGGCCACAGCCGGGTTCCTAGACCCTACTGCGGCCCTCCCCCACCGGCCTGGGCAACTCACACGATCCAGATGCCAGCAGTAGCCCACAGGGCCAGGAAGATAGGCAATAGAGACAGATAGCCCCACATGCTGGGTTCTGCACGGACGGAGAAGCTCCGGGAACCTCTCTCGGTGTCTGTCTCTGTCTCTCTTTCTCTCTGTATCTTTTCCCTGTCTCTGCTACTCTGTCTGTGTCTCTTACGCTCTCTGCCCTTTCCCACTTCTGCTCTGACTCCCCACTCAGTAGCTCTCAGGTGCAGGACCAGCCCCGAGGGTGGGCCCAGGTGTAGCCGATCTGAAGCCCCATTGGCTCCGGGCAGCAGTGAAGAGCAGACCTCTGATAGGATCGACCTTGCTAGCTGCGGGCATTTTTCCTGCCTTCCCCACTCCTAATCTCTTCCTCCTTCCCATCCCCACATTTGTCCCTGGGAGCCTGCTCAGCCAACCCAAACTCCTGGGCACGCGTATCTGTCCTAAGTGAGCCAGGACAGGAGAGTGTTTGTGTATATTTGTGTGACAGCTTTAAGGGGAAGAGTTGCGGTTAGGCTGGGGATATGGTGGTGGCGGCCATGACTTACAGAAGCAAAGTCCAGGCTGCGTGACCGGGAGTGGCCTTGGGGCTGACGCCATGGAACTCACCCCTTGCCCTCCTGCAGACTGCCACTTCCTGGCTCCTCCAGCTTGTGGGGGCAATGTCCAGATGCATAGTTGCTGATCCTCCAGGGCTCAGCTTGCTCGCCCACCCTCCCTCCAGCCCCCAGGACCCCGGAAGCCCGAGCTTTTCTATAATACTTGTTTCTGGAGTCAGGTCTCTCCCAACTCTGGTCTACCACGAGACCTAGCACCCAGGCCCTGCCCGTCCCAGGGGTCTTCTGGGTGTGGCTCCTGGCCCTAAGTTGCTATGTGGAGTCCTTGGGACCCGGCCTGCCTTCTCCTTTATTCTCTGCCCTTCAAGACACGTTGATGAAGAAATCTTCCATCTCCTGGCTCACCTCCCACATGACTGTAAAGCCAGGCACCTGGGGCTCCAGCCAGGTGTCCCACAAATGTGTAGGGCTCCTGTGCTGTCTTCAGCTGTCTTCCCAGCGACATTCACAAGGAGCTGGATGGGAAGTCGGGCAGCTGTAACTCAACTGGAGTCGTAAGCAGTGGCTTCCTGCTATGTCACAGTGCCGACCGGCAGTGACATTTATAACACATTCATAATGTCAGGCTGCCATCCGATGTTCTCCCAACCCCAGGAGGCCTTAAGCCCATGACGCAGTCACTCCCAGCCCCTGGCGACCACTGAGGTGCTGTGTCCCTGGCCTTGCCTGGGGTCCTTGTGTAGGTGGATTCCTGTAGGATGCTGCGGTCCTTGCGTCTGGATGATTGTGACATTCTCGGCTCCAGCCCATGATGGTGGTTAGAGGGGCTTGTCCCCTCTGCTGCGTATGGAAACGTCACTGGCATTTTGAGAATTTTTTTTTTTTTGAGAAGATGTATTTATTTGAAATACAGAGTTACAGAGGGCAAAAGAGGAAGAGACAGAGAGAGAGATCTTTTATCTGCTACTTTGCCCCCAAATGGCATCCACAGCAAAGCTGGGCCAGTCTGCAGCCAGGAGCAGGGAGCTCCATCTGGGTCTCCTGGTTTGTTCCCTTGCACCAACAGGGATGGGTCCACCCGGCCAGGGTCAGGCCCAAAAAAGGCCCCCAGCCAATAAGACTTCCTAAAACCGAGAGAACTGGGGATTCCTGGCCACTGTCAGCAACTCTCCTGTTCACACCAACAGTATCATTTTCTGTCACTCTTGCTTGCTCAAAAATCTTCCAGGCCAGGCTGGCCTCCTGGCACCACTGTGATGCTAATTCCTGTCCCGGCTCCCTGTTAATGGACATAGGAAAGCAGTCGAGGACAGTCCAAAGCCTTGGGACCTTGCACCCATGTGGGAGACACAGAAGAGGCTCCTGGTTCCTGACTTTGGATCAGCTCAGCTCAGGTTCAACCGTTGTAGCCACTTGGAGTGTGAACTAGCAGATGGAAGATCTTTCTCTCTTTCTATCTGTAAATCTGACTTTCCAATAAAAATAAATAAATCTAAAAAAGAAAAAAAAAGATGGGCTGATGTGGTAGCAAATGGCTAAAGTCCTCTTTTTTTTTTTTTTTTGAAAGATTTATTTATTTTTATTGGAAAGACAGAAGAGAGAGAAAGATCTTCCGTTAGATGATTAACTCCCCAAGTGGCCACAATGGCTAGAGCTGAGCCAATCCGAAGCCAAAAGCCAGGAGGTTTTTCTGGGTCTCCCACACGGGTGCAGGATCCTAAGGCTTTGGGCTGTCCTCTATTGCTTCCCCAGGCCACAAGCAAGGAGCAGGATGGGAAGCAGGGTTGCCAAGATTAGAGCAGGCACCAGTATGGGATCCTGGCACGTGCAAGGTGAGGACTTTAGCCACTAGCTTACGGTGCCAGGCCCACAAATATATGTTTAAAAACAAACAAACGAAACACAAACAAACCATGCACAAACCAGCTAACTGCTGAAGCAGGTGTGCGGTGCATGGCTAAGGACTTCTCCAAGGATCTTCACAGAGGCACTTACTGTTTTAAAATGGCAGGGCTTCAGCAGCAGGTAGCGCTTCAGCAGTTCGTCCTACCTACTCCAAGAACACCTTTCTTAGCAATGGAGCAATTGCAAGGCCTGCTTGGACCATAAACCCCAGAATGCCCCTCTGAGCGCGGCCAGCACTAGGTCGCCTGTGGCTGCAGCTTGCTACACAGGCACGCCTTGTCCTGGAAGCCCGTGCCTAAGGGGTTTAAAAACGCTAGACATGTCAGGCAATAGGATATGGTAATGCAAGATAAGCCCCAAGCCTTAGCTTTTGCATGGACTGGTGTTCAGTGCTCAGCTTTGTCTCTCCCTGTCAGGCCTGGTGAGGGTGTGCAGGGGGGTGTCTCCTCGTCGGGGGCCGATGCTGTGATGCTGTGGTACCACAGACTGAGAAGCTACTGTAAAGCCAGCATCGCGTATTGGGGTGCTGGTTTAAGACCGGGTTGCTCCACACTTTGGATCTGGCTCCCTGAGAAAGCAACGGAAGGTGGCCCAGGCACTTAGGGTCCTGCCTTCCATGTGCAGACCAGATGGAGCTCCTGGCTCTGGCCGGTCCTGGCCGTTGTGGGCATCTGGGAGGTAAACAGCAGATGGCTGGTCTCTATTTCAAAGCACAGTGATAGGAGGAGGAGGGGCACGGATCAACTGGTCACTTGCTTGCAATGGCCAAATCCAGCACCAGGAATTCCAGCCTGGTCTCCCACACAGGTGCAGGGTCATCTTCCACTGCTTTCCCGGGTGCCTCAGCGGGAAGCTGGATGGGAAATGGAGTGGCTGGAACACGAACCATCATCTATACGGGATCCTGGCACGTGCAAGGCGAGAATCTAGCCACTAGGCTATCACGCTGGGTCCCTCTCCCCAAATTTTAATACCATTCTCCACCTGATCATCTCACTCTCCTTTAGCATTTTAAAACCCATAACTGCGGATTTCTTAGGGCTATTTCAAGCCCTATTTCTTCGTATTTTCATTTTGCACTTTTTCTGTATCCCATTTGGAAACAGGTTCGTGTCCCAGCTGCTCTACTTCTTAGCCAGCTTCCTGCTAATGTCCCTGGGAAAGCAGCAGAGCGTGGTCACAGTGCTTGGGCCCCCGTTACACATACGGGAGCCCCGAGGAAGCTCCTGGTTCCTGGCTTCAGCTTGGCGCAGCCCTGGCCATAGCTGCCATCTCTAAGCAGATGGAGCATGTCTGTGTGTGGCTCACACACAGCAGCCCAAAGCTGGTTATCTTGCCTTCAAACGTGGCCTTCTCTTGGTGTCTGGAACCTGGTTGGTCACTGATAAGCGGGGTGGGTTCTGTGTGCCTGCCTGTTCATGCAGACAATGTGGTGGGCCCATTGCTAGGGTTCCAACCCTGTGGTAGGGGCTGGACAGGGAGTGCCTGCACTGTGAGCTCCCCGCAGATGCCCTGGGTGCTAGGTGTCTGACACGCTCCGCTGGCTTATGATCTAAAAGATGAAATGACAGAGAGGGAGAGAGAGGAGGAAAGACAAAGAGAGGAGAGAAAGAAGAGCAGTTTTGAAAGGATTGTTTGGGGGGCAGCATGGTGGCTTAGCGGGAGTGGAATGTTATACCGACATGCGGTCGGAACCCTGATCCCAGTCCCAGCTGCTCCACTTGCACCCCATCCTTGCTAACGCACCTGGGAGAGCAGCGGAAGATGGCGCTCCTACTTATCCTGCCCATGCACGTGAAAGACCCAGAAGAAGCTCCTGGCTTTGGCCTGGCCCACCTCGGCTAGTGTGGCCATTTGGGGAGTGAGCCAGTGGCTAGGAGAACTCACCATCTCATTCTGTAACTCTGCCTTCCAAATAAACAAAAATTTTAAAGTAATTTTATTTTGGGGGCCTGGCACATTAGCCTAGTGGCTGAAGTCCCCACCTTGCATGCGCCAGGATTCTATATGGGTGCCAGTTCTAATCCCGGCAGCCCTGCTTCCCATCCAGCTCCCTGCCTGTGGCCTGGGAAAGCAGTTGAGGACAGCCCAAAGTCTTGTGAGCCTGCACCTCTGTGGGAGACCCGGAAAAGTCTCCTGGCTCTTGGCTTTGGATCAGTGCAGCTCTGGCCATTCTGGCCACTTGGTGAACTAGCAGATAGAAGATCTTTCTGTCTCTCCTGCTCTGTGTATATCTGACTTTCCAATAAACGTCTGCCCATGAGCACCGTTGATCAGGGTGGGGAGGGTTGTAGCATGGAGAGAAAAGGGTGGGACAAACGCTTCCAACATCCCTTTGTCCGCTCTTCTGTGTCTGGGTTGGAGGTGGGGAGAGGGACAGGGCTGCTCCCAGACACCAAACTACACCAGAACCTGGGAATGGGGAATACCCGCTTACCTCACCTTAGAAATCTCGATGTGGAAAAGAATGTTCTGAAGGTACTGCTGCAGTGGCTTTGCTAGTCTGAGTAGCTGTTGGTTTGCTGCTCCAAGGCTGAGCAAATCCAAGGTCCAGTGGCTGACAATCCGGCCCAGTGTGTCCACTTCTCTGAGGTCACTGGCTGCCAAAGCTTCACCAGAAAAGCTGTCCTGTTCTGTGCTGCAGCATTGTTTGTTGTTGTTGAAGATGTATTTATTTTTATTGGAAAGTCAGATAAACAGAAAGGAGGAGAAAAAGTGGATTAGATCTGTTTGGTGATTT